TCTAGAAGAACCACACAAAAAAAATCTTACCTTTGTTTCATTATTGGTGTGCAAATTTTGCTAGTAAGAAGATCCCTCCATGAGGCCGCTTAGCACAGTAGGATCTATAGCTGTACACCTAGATATTGAGCTTGAGTACATTCTGCATATCCGAACCCTTTCCTTGCGCCTGAGGCCAAGGAAGAATGAGAAGTCCAAAACTGTAGACACGGCAGAAGAGAACTTTTGAGTCTTGGACTAAAGCCAAGGTCTATTTGGTGGATATGACTTGTGGTCCACTCCATCTTTTAGTCCGACTCTGAAATAAAAAAAAAAAAAATAATAATTCTAGTATAGTCTAGAGCTTGGAGTTGGACTGTGTTAGGGACCCTAATACCAGGGACGGATCAGGGGGGGGGGGGGCACAGGGGGCATCCTAGATCTAGATCTATCAAGTAGTCTTTCATGTAGATCTAGACCTAGACTCTAGACTAAATCTACATCTAGAGTAGATCTAGACCTGGGTCTGACCGTAACACTCTAGGACCTCTAGATATAGTTATAGATCTAGAGTCTAATTTTCTTTCATAAAATTTTACCTTCAAAACAATAATCCTAGGACCCTATTGATTTTTAATAATTAGTCCCTAGGCCTAGCCCTAGGCCTAATAGATCTAGACCTAGAGTCTAGATCTATCATTTATAATTAGACCCTAGGCCTAGATCTAGACCTAGCTCTAGATCTATAGACTAGACTAGTCTAGATCTAGAGTCTAGACCTACTAGACTAGCCTCTAGACTAGACTATATCAGGATATCAACAAAAACAATAACAAGGCAATGCTAAAATAAATAAGGGATAGATCTAGGGCCTAGGCCTAGATCTAGGCCTAGATCTTGATTCTAAGCCCAAATCTACAACTAGTAGCATAACTAGTAAAACCAAAATACTACTGCAAGAATAAACTAGACTAATGAGTTTGTACCTGTCTGTCCTAACCGAATAATAAACGTCGTTAGGTAATTACTATTGAACCTGCATGAATTTATATGAATGGGACTGAAAAGGTTGAACCGGTGCAATTCGTCCACTTTGAGAGTGATATAAATTGATTTTATTTAAGACTTCGTTCAGTTACACAAAAATGAAATTGCATAATAATGAGAGGAACATTTTTCTTCTTCAAAATAACAGATTTGTTATCAACAGAATTGATATTTTCAAAGAAAAACAGATTTTACTTACTTTTCAAGGACTCTCACTGTAGTTAAGCAAGGCCATTTTGTGATCGATTTACCCCAAATTGACTAGCCTTGATTGCAGACACCTAAAAATCTATTTTAGCTTAAAATCGATTTGATGAAACAGCTCACATGTATCGGTTTTAAGCTAAAACTGATTCGGCCTTAAAATTGATTTTTAAAATCGAAATCGATTTTAGTTGATGAAACACCCCCCTGGTGTACTTTTTTGGGGAGGGGGGGGGGGGGGGCTTGGGGGCAGTTACCCCCCTTCCCGAAAAAAGAAGATTTAAAAATATTTTTGTTTGCTAATTCGATACCAGTGATTTACAAACAATGCTTAAATGGCGTGATTTTCCCTGAGCTTCCACGGGCTCTACCCCCTGGACCCCACCAAGGGTCCTAAAGCGGGCCCCTGGTTGCTCAGCTGACTGTAATTAAGTGCCTAAAACCCCTGAGACCCCACCACGGCCCTAAGGCGGGTCCCTAGATGCTCAACTGACCGTAATTAAATGCCTACACCTGAGCTTTTAGGGGCTCCGCCCCTTGGACTTCGCTCCAAATAGTGACCTCCATGCCAGTGTCACAAAATATGCTCATCCGCGCGAAATTAAATGCTTAAAGCCCCTTGAACTTCCAGGGGCTCCGCCCCCTGGACGCTCATTTGACCGTAATTAAATCCCTCAAACCCTTGAGCTTCACGGGGCATCGCCCCTTAACCCCTGCCGGGACTTTGCCCCGGACCCCACACCAATTTAAGCGCCACTTGCTTTGCTCGCTTTCACGCTTTGCCGTACCTGATCGTAAATACTTTACCCCCCCCCCCACACTTTGAAAAACGTTCCTCGGGGTCTGCATGTAACATGTTTGTGGTGGTGATGCGGATTTTTTTTTTGCCCCCCCCCCCCTCCCAATTTTGTTTTGTTTTGCTCATTACGTCACTGCTCCCTCGTCCCTCGCATTTCGTCGTCCCTCGCATTTCGTCGTCCCTCCCCCGCCATGAATAGAAATCGCCGCCCCTGCTCCGAGTGCCAAGCGAGAGCACCCACATGGTCAACTCACGCCACCCTCTAGTCGCGTTACTAAATCACGGAGTAAATCAGTCGGCGTAAAAGGTCGGCATAGCGTTCAGACGGTCACTATGCCGACCTTCACGCCGACCTTACCACAATACGCCGACTAGCTCTAAACACGACCTTTATACCGACCAAAATTGCCATCGCGTGAACACGGCTATAATGGCACCTCTTGAAATGGAATACACTTCGAAAACATTAACTGATGCTATACATGGCAAGTCTCTTACAAGCAAAAGAAACATTTTTTTGTTTACAAAAATAGGTCATTGTTTCACGAAACCGCCATAAATACAAGCTCGCCGACATCCAATTAAACCATGTGTTAATGATTTCATTTTCAATGGGTTGTCGGCGCTCGATTTGATAGAAGCTGCAATAATATTGATTAGAATCAGTTACAGATTGATATTATAATCGCAACTCCTATCTCTTGAGTACACAGTTACGATTGATCGCAACTCTTTATAATTGTTTGGAATCATATTATTGGACAGATCACTGAAAATGGCAAGCTCTGTGAACACTATGTCCAAACGATCTTGTAATATCCATTCCCAGTAAGAAAGTGCCGAGAGGATTCTATTCCGTCTCGTAATGGAACGTTTACTTTTCTCTTGTTTGAATCACATTATTGATTCTTGATACGTTTTCAGTAGAGCTGTAAACGCAGTATTCATATTTATCCTCACATTCTATAGACTTTGCATCGTAATTCTCGTAGTATAGAAGGGCATAAAGCTTTTCAAATTGAATGAATGACATCATTCGTGTGTGTGCGTGTGTGTGTGTGTGTATTGGGTTTTTACAGACGTGTATCAATCAGATATGATTATTTACGTCTGGGGACCGACCTTTAAACGTCACCATCCGAAAGACGTGACTCAGTTTCGAACCTGCGTCCTCGGCTGAATCAGTTTGTAACTTCCACTGTCAGCTGGGTTACAGGCGCACGCCACAACGCATACTTCATTAGTTATCGGTATGTTAGATATTAATATGTTCATTGGTATGTATCTTGTATACAGATAATACTTCTCCTCATACGATTAATACGCCTCTTCGTTTGTAGGGCTAACGAACCTGTAGAGGATATGAGAAAAAGAAGCGGGAGAGGAATTTCTCGAGAGCGTCTCCTCCAGATTTTTGTTTTCTTTGCCTCTTCCATGAGAATTTATTTTTTCACTATATTTACATGTTATGCATATTTACAAACATTCACAAAACACAAACAATATTTATCAAAGGTGAACAATGGAATATTCGCTAGAAATTACAACATAGCAATTATTTTCTTCACTTCTTTGGCATTGAATTGTTTAATTCCTGAATGTTTCAGATAAGACTTAAATGATAAAATGAATTCAACGGTCAGTCTTTTGTATATGCTGCAATTTTTTTTTTATCTGTTTCTTAAATAGTAATTGTACGAGGTAAACTGTGCAAAATTTATCATAAAATTTATCAATTCAAACTTCGTTTTTTTTTAAATAAATTTGATACCCAATTAACAACTCCATATTTATTACTATTTCTTCTTCAAACATAAAGTAGATCATCCTAGATATAATTTTCCAGTAAATATGAATCCTTTAACAATACAACAAATGATTCTCCAGTATGCACAATTTTACCATCCTTCTGATTATGCTATGTTCCATTCCCCCCCCCCCCCTCTGTTAGTACTTAAGCAAAGGGACTACATACGTTGCAATTCCTATCCGAAGGACTTCGTATAACGAATATTTCTTAATCAAGAGGCAGTCTTGGGCATCGTCTTGGTTTCGAAGTCGGAACCTCTTGGTTACGGGACCACTCCTTGAACCACTGAACCATCGCCCTCCTGATGTTACAGGTTACACAAGTTGAATACAATAAGGATATCTATACAGCCACCAAAAAAAAATCCTTTTAACAATATTATATTCAGTAATTCATATCTATTGAAAATATAAATGTTGAAACACTGTGAATAGTTGTACAACATAGCCTGAGAGACATTTTGGCCCCGAATTCACAAAGGAGGTTTGTCGACAAACCTCCTTTTCACTGCTTTTGTTTTTGACAAACCAAGGTTTGCAAAAACGCGTCAAAACGCGTCGTATGACGGACATAAACCTCGGTTTGTCGACAAACCTCCTTTGTGAATTCGGGCCTTAAAGTTCTTAGGTTGTGGGGTGCCATCTAGCAGCACATCACCGGACAGGCCTTTTTGACACAGGTGTTAACAATTTCTGATAAAAAATTCCCACATTTTCAGAAGCTTCAATATTATCTTGACAAACTCTGATAAACAAGCAAGCACTGACAAAAAAAACATCTCAAAATGATTATGTTTAAATAAAACAAAAAACAACCTTATGCTAAAATGTATATTTAGATAATTTACAATCTCATTATCAATAAATTGAAAATACAAATCGGTAAATCATAGTATCGGCACATTGATATATATTTCGATGTGGTTCTTGATCATTTATGTTCATTCATTCTGTTTGTGCTATTTCATTTAGGCACAGCCATCGTGTAAAGTACAATTGGACTACAATTCTTTTGTCAATAAGCAAGCCAAGAGTTCAATCAATATGTTCTATTGAAAGCTGTTATGTGGGATTTCCCCGTTTGAGGGTGTATTGCATCAAAATATTGGTGGTGGTTATTATAATGCCACTCATAAATATATCATATCTTAAACAGGCGCCATTTCCAATCTGCTACCGTGAGGCTATACCAGGCAGTTCCGCTACCAAGCAAGGTAATAATATACACGTATATTTTTCTCACTTCTGATTAATAGTAAAATATTGCAAAGTTTTTAGATAATTCAGAACGACATTAAGGCTTATAATTATGCAGTGGTAAAATAGATAATTGAATCATGTTTAAACATGATGTTTAAACATCAGTATTGCATTTTTGTCGATGTGAGTCACGGAAGTACATGCGCGCGCCATGTTTTATCACATGGCTAATATAATAATGTAGCTCTATCTAGCAGGTTCAGGTTCAGTCAAAATAATGAGGCAATCCGCGCGTACTATATATCTTGCTCTATGTACTACTTTATTTGTCTGACGGGGGTGGGGCGGGCACAGGTGTCAACAATTGCTAACAAATTAAATTCCCCTAATTCCCAGAAGCATTGTTATTATCTTTAAAATCTCTGATAAGCAAGCAAATGAGGAAAAACAGAATCTCAAATGATTATCCTTTAAATAAACCTTTATGCTAATATTTAAAATAACCACCACTTCCAGATAATTCACAACCTCATTATCTTAAACGTGAAAATAATGATCGGCAAATCATAATATAGACACATTGCTAAATATTTCGATCGGTTCTGGATCATTTATTTGCATAACGTCACTCATATTTCTGACAACAACTGTTTGTGCTATTTCATTTAGGCACAGCCATGGTGTAAAGTACAATTGGACTTCAGTTCTTTTGTCAATAAGCAAGCCAAGAGTTCCATGAATTTGTTCTATTGAAAGCTTTTATGTGGGATTCCCCCGTTTGAGGGTGTATTGCATTAAAATGATATCATAATGCCACTCATCAATGTATCATAATTATCTCAAACAGGCACCATTTCTAATCTGCTACCAAGAGGATATACCAGGAAGACCCGCTACCAAGCAAGGTAAAATACACGTATACTTTCCTCACTTCTGATTAATATTAAAATATTGCCACAGTTTTTAGGTGATATAGAACAATATTGAGGCCTATATGTGGCAGTAAAATTGAGTTCATGATAATTGAATGTTAATAGCTGAATCAGGATTGCATTTTTTGTCGATGTGAGTCACGGAAGTACATGCGCCCGCCATGTTTTATCACATAGCTATTGTATGTAGCTCTTTTATGTAGCAGGTTCAGTCATGTTTGATTTGATTGTCTGCATATTTGTTTTGTTTGTTGTTATAAAAAGTATTTCATGATATAAAAGATGCAACTGTTCCGATTATTGAAGCATAAATGAGTTCATCGACAAAGAGTGCATGGTTTGGGTAGCTATAGGAATCAATAGTACAAATATTATAGGTCAGATGATCTGGCCAGGATTATGTGGGCAAAATACACATATGGAATATTATTTCCTTACAAAAGTTTTAAAGCAAAACACGAAGACACCACTACGAGATCACTGAAGTCCTACAGTTGTTCAGTTCCTAAATATATATATATTTTTTAATTCAGTCGTATCAATAGTCATTAAAGGTAAAGACCAGTATTGGAAACGCCCCAATTTCAAAATATGAAATGGAAGCTCTTATTACCAATCATGTGAAAGAGTATGTTTTGACTAAATACATGATGATAACAATTTTTACGGGAAACCGCCTACTAATAATGTGGTAAATTAGTTTATCTATTGGTGTGTGAGAGATAAATGCACGTGTGCGTAGTCCCATATACATCTTACTGTGTACAGGGCTTGTAACTTTACCAAGACTGGGCCAAATTTCTTATCATTTTGATTATTCCAAAACCTTGCAGTACACACCAATACTTATATGCTAGATGATCAACCTTTTCTGATCGATTTCACAACGTTTCTTTCACAAAGCAATCGCATGACCATAACTGGTCTTTATCTTTAAGATCATGAACAATTAGGATTAAAATGCGTGGACAATTATAGTACAAGATGAAAATGGATAGTCATACTTACTGTACATCCAGCGTATTTGAATATATTGACAATTTAACTCAGATAATTCTGCAAGAACAGCCTATCAAAAATGTGTTAAAAGAAATGTAAATAAAAATCGAACCCAGGGTATAAAGTGTTTTACCATATGAGAAATATTGAGCTTTAATACAAAATTATATTATTTTTCGCTCTAAAGTACTGATACTTCACTTTTTGTTTTACTAATCATTTCAGAGATGGCCAATGCTAGTGCTATAATCATCACCGATTCTCTCAATCTTAAGATCACTGCGAAGATTCCGCTCGGAAATATCAAAACCCTCTTCGTCGATCTTGGCTTCGATCTCGTAGACATCGAGAAGAGGGATGTCGCGACTCATTCAAAGAACGATTTAATTACCGCTCTCCTGACCGCGTGGAAGACTAAACATGGCAACGGTTTGGACCAGGCCGAGACTCTGAAGCATGTCATGAAGGAAAATGGCGTCGACGAGGCCGTGAAGTTGATACAAGCAGGTAAGGAAGTTATTGTGATGTAATCATTGGCGTAGCTACCAGGGGCAAGAGGGGCATGAGCACCACCCCCGCCCCCCCCCCCCCCCCAATCCATCGAAAGGTGAAAAGAGGAGCAAGAGAAAGACAAGAAGGAGAAAGGAAAAGCAACGCGAAAAGAATGATGTTGGACGACACCCCCTCCCCCGCACACCCACAATACACGAACACTCGCGCACATACTCCCTTACTCGATGGCATTGTTTTCACTATTTGGGATAATTTCTTTAGGTTGTATAATATACCCATCATCCCAATACACCAAAAATGCTTAAGATAACATATTGCATTTTTAAAAATAATTGCTAGGACAATTTCCAATAATAATTTTCTCGTTTACTTATAGCTAGATCCTTATAACCTATCCCACATATCACATAATATTTAATTACCTTCGTGGATTTTCTATTCATAATTATCTATAATTAAGCTATGTTACAAAAGAAAAAATGTGACTGTTATAAATGTATTAATCCGCACCTCTTATTTGTGACTCTTACAGCTATTGACAAGGTCATTCCACCTGCAGTTACGGGCCTACTGCCTGACGCTACCGCGTTGCCAACATCAACAAACGAAAAAAACAGCCCAATGAAACACTAGACATCTTTAAAATTCATCGGCATTCCCCCTTTCTCTTTCTAAAATTACGAAGGAAACTTGACGCAATTTTCCGGAGTTTTTGAGGGGTGCATTTTTACTTTTTAAACAAAGATTGTTCCTGACAACCTCAAAGCTTGCCCGATGTTTGCTCGATATAGCAACAAGCAATGATGTATGCAGACTGGATTCCAAGTATTGTAGTTTATTCATTAATACCAGATAAATGGATTAATAAGTTCGTGACTAGGTCGCCAGGAAAGAAACTTTGAAGATTGTTCGTAGACCGGTCTATTGTCGTACAATCCCCTGCATCCCAATATGTGATCAAAATACCAACGACTCTTTCAGGGGGTGCTGCAGCATCCCAAATCTTTGCACCCAGCTCCATTTCCTCTTATTGTATTCGGTATTCGCGTCAATGAAGGCATCGATTCTTTTCTGTAATATGGATTGAAAATATTTTCTGTACTGATTTCCTTGACTTAGCCACTTACTGTTCAAATGTGAAAAACGAAGATCATTGCAAAATATATTGCAGTATAATAATTTTTATGATTAGAAGGTTATTCATGTCGACTTTTGTTCTTAGTGGATAGTGTTTCGACTTCACAGATCAGATAAAGGATCTGATAAAGGAGAATTAAATTTTTAAAGAATTTTTATCGCATTATGATACAGACCTTATTGATTTTGTAAATATTCACTTCTCTAGTACTATATATTTTCTAAATCACGGCAACAAAATTGATTAGGGCATTTCTGTATTCTTTTCATGTTCATTGTGTAGTTTCCATGCTTTTCTTTACAGATAAGTGAGTTGATTTTGCGTACCTTACTATATTAGCCCTATTTCGTAAAATTCTATCTCTGATAATCAAGAGATATTTTCTTAATGATAAGGATATGCTGCAGGTTTGGATTACCAAGAAATAGTTAAGAAAATCATTTGTTATACAGTGAGCAGGGCGTTACGAGACAATTAAACGAAATGGATGTAGATATCGACTAAATATTCAAACAAGCTATCCGAACGCTTTCCAAAAGGAATTTCTTTTTTTAACAAGAAAAATATTAATGTTCTCCTTTGGTGTTACATTTGCCGAAGATGTTGATAAATTTGTTCGTCATAAATTACATTTACTGTTAGCAATATATCGCGATTTGTCCCGGCAAAGGTCGAAAACTACTCTTTATTTTACCCAATGGAATTTATCTTTACCTGCTTTTCACAAAATTGACTCATGTTTCACCTTCAATTTTGTCTACAAACCTTAAGTATTTCATATAATTCTGTATGGGTGTTTTATATGTTTTTTCATTTTGGTGTCATTCGATTTTAAAGGGGATTTCCACCCTGATATGAAATTAATTTTAATAGAAGCAGAAAATGAGAAGAACAGGTCAGCGAAAGTTTGAGCAAACTACCGATTAAAAAGAAGAAAGTTATGAATTTTTGAAGTTGCGATCAATCAAACACAAATTGGCATCACTGAGACGTTTTTTTGCGAGGTCCTCTCCGATTTGTTTTGTTCATAAAGTTTCAAAAACTTTTAATTGTTTCCATTGCTCTCAGGTCTCAGGCTCGTTTTGCATATATTGTGTACATGATTGTAGATGCCTGTCAGTTTCAATTTACTTTCGTTTTATTTTACTTATACCCTGAATAAAAGTTTTTGAAATGAGAAGTTTAGAAAATGGCATACTTTGTTCGAATGTTCACGGCAAAGTGCTTGGTATCACCACAAGATGTGTATTAGTCATCAACTACGTAAACATATATCATAATGGTAATCATTATCATCTTCTTCATTATCAACTACATAATCATATATGTTAATGGTAATCATCATCATGATCAACTACGTAATCATATATCATGATTGTAGTCATCGTCATCTTCTTCATTATCAACTACGTAATCATATATCAAAATGGTAATCATCATCATCTTCACCATCAAATATGTAATCATATATCATAATGGTAATCATTATCCTCTTCTTCATTATCAACTACATAATCATACATATTAATGGTAATCATTATCATGATCAACTACGTAATCATATATCATAATGGTAGTCAACGTCATCTTCTTCATTATCAACTAGATAATCATATATCAAAATGGTAATCATCATCATCATCACCATCAACTATGTAATCATATATTATATGTATAATGGTAATCATCATCATCTTCTTCATTAACTACTAGATAATCATATATCACAATGGTAATCGACATCATCAACATCATCAGCATCAGAGTGACCTCATCCTTCTCATCCTTCTCCTCCGATCCTCCTTCTCTTCATCATCATCATCATCATCATCAACACTTTATCCTTATCATCACCATCACCATCAGTATCATGATCATCATCATCATCGTAGTCGTCATCGTAGTCGTCATCGTAGTCGTCATCATCATTAACTTCACAATATTTCGACAATAGATTCCTTATTAAGATTACATGACGATGTAATAAAATATCAAACGGTTTTCTTTGAAACTTAACGTATCAAATAATGTGATTTATTATCACCCGAGCAAAATTCACATATTATTCACAAAAATTTGGGCGTGATCTAAACGTGAAGTTCAGGCTTCAAACAACCTATTTTCGCTCCAGTAATATCGAGGCGGCAGAAATGAAAAAACTGTGTGAAGATATACTTGGCTTCAAAAATTCTACATATTGGGTGGATATAAGGTGTATTTTGTTAAATTCTAAAGTTGATGGAACCCTAAACTACATCAGTGCATGTTGTGAACTCGCATGTAATGCAAATACTTTCACAAATAGTATACAAAAGAGAAAAGATCATTTAATAATGATAATTTCTAAGCATGTTTAAACTTATATCGTAACGTTTGTAAGGGATATCCAATAAAGTAAAAGAATCGAACAGTAGAATCCCCAATATTTTTCCTAAAAAGTGGATTTACACCCCTACATTTAGAGAGTGACCCTGTAAACAAATGATTTGATATGGTGTATACTGCGCTTTAGGCATCCATGAGCTAACTCCAAAACTGACTTTTGTGACAGAGAGATATCACAAAACCATCTATGATGTATTATTGTGAAGTCTTCAGTGTTGTAGTCAGGGGCGTACGCAGGGGGGGGGGGGTTTGGGGGTTCAAACCCCCCCCCCTTTGGTATTTTTATGTATGTAAACCCCCCTAAAAAAACCTAAAACCTTTTTTTTTTTTTTTTTTTTTTTTTTTTTTTTTTTTTTTTTTAAAAATTAGACCCACGGCTAACCTAAATAAGGTGAACTTACCCCCCCCCCAACGAAAAAAAAATGTCAAATTATCAAATTTCGAGACCCCCAAAAAAAAAAAAATGTGTCCGCTTACCCCCCCCCCCCCCCCCCCCACTGAGCGACTTTTCGGCTGGCTTAGTCGTTGCGATTTTTTTTGACCTCCAAAAAAAAAAAAAAAATGTGTCCGCTTACCCCCCCCCCCCCCCCCCCCCCCCCCCCCCCCCCCCCCCCCCCCCCCCCCCCCCACTGAGCGACTTTTCGGCCGGCGCGATTTTCAAATTTTTGGGAGCAAAATATTTTAAAACCCCCCCCTTGAAAAAATCCTGCGTACGCCCCTGGTTGTAGTAACCAACGTCTGTCACAAACAAGGTCTAATGCACTTTGTACCCATTGTGGCACACGTACACTCCATAGAAATTACAAATTATAAAACGAGTAGAAGTGACAATAACAACGATGAATATACATTTGGACAAAACGATTATCTGTTCTCAACTTTTTGATCTAGGTCGCGAAAACTGTTTTGGTTCTCGTATTATTCGCAGTAAGTCAGTCATGAACGTAGAGATCTATTCTTCCTCTCAGTTAACTCAAAGATACAACCGCAGCCAAACCTGTATATTAAGGTCACCCTTTTGAAACACAAAAATTGGCCACTGTAGACAGTTGGCCTCCTAGGCACTTTTTCAACATAATCCTCCTAGAGGGAGGCAATGCAGGTGATCACTTTAGACAGATGGCCTTCATAAAGAGGTGGCCACTAAGACAGGTTGACGATACATGTACTGTCAATATTGATACTTTTTAATCACATAATTATGACCAATGCGCCGGTCCTAAAACTAGATGGGCACTGGTTTTCAGAAAATGAGACGCATGAAATTGTAATATGTACTCAATTTTGCACAGTTCCTTTTTATTTTTTATTCCAAATGCATTACCGAAGGTCTAAATATCAATACCAGCTTTGTCATCTTACAATATTTGGGGGAGCTCATAGACTTAATGTTTATTCTGAAGAGGCGGGTCGTCTGACCATTTTGAATTGTCCAATCACATCCACTCTTCTGCATCACGTGTCACTCCGATGACGCAACAACCCAGTGGAGCGCTGTACGTGTCCTGGTTTTGCTCAATCTGAAACGAAATCAGAATAAACTATTCATCATCTAAAGCATTATTACAGGCACGTTTATGAAAAGAAATGGGGAGGGGTGGGGGGGGGGGGGGGGTTTCCATGTAAACAATACATATTATTATTATTATTATTATTATAACAATAACAAACATTAACTCTTTATTGATTGCCTGAATTGATGTAATACGAAAATGAAAGGGTCGGTCAGTGAAGCTTTTTGCTGGAGCACTTTTCTTTTCTGTTCGAGTTATATCATTTGCATTTTTCTTTATATTTGTAAGTTAGAGGGAGTTAGAGTGGCTATAAGTTGCTAAAAATGTATGGGATTCTATCTTAAAATCAGCAAAGATAAATGAGCTTAATAATGTAGCTCGGGATGTAGCTCTATCTAGCAGGTTCAGGTTCAGTCAAATTCCGCGCGTACTATATACCTTGATGTCTGTACTACTTTATTTGTCTGACGGGGGTGGGGCGGGCACAGGTGTCAACAAATGCTAACAAAATAAATTCCCAGAAGCATTGTTATTATTTATAAAATCTCTGATAAGCAAGCAAGTGAGGAAAAACAAAATCTCAAATGATTATCCTTTAAAAAACAAAACATTATGCTAATATGTAAAATAACCACCACTTCCAGATAATTCACAACCTCATTATCTTAAACGTGAAAATAATGATATAGGTGAATCATAATATAGACACAAAAAGGCATTGATATATATCTCTATACGGCACTTGATTATTTATTTTCATAACGTCACTCATATTTCTAACAACAACTGCATGCACTATTTCATTTAGGCACAGCCATGGTGTAAGGTACAATTGGACTTCAGTTCTTTTGTCAATAAGCAAACCAAGAGTTCCATGAATAATTGAAAGCTTTTATGTGGGATTCCCCCGTTTGAGGGTGTATTGGATTAACGATCGTTTAAACACTCTCTCATTTTAAGTTTTACCTTAACATTTTTTTTTAGGCCGCCATCCTTGTCAAGCTTTGCTTATATGATTGCGGTCATCTGCACTTTTCCAACATTATAGTTCGGATGATACTTTAAATTTATGATGATAATTATGTTATGGAAATATTAAGTTTCGTTAGTATATGTACATATATTATGTAAAAAAAACATTTTGATATGAAGAAATTATTGTTTGTACATGTTGTATTATACCTTACATTTATATGTTCTTTGTTATTCAGTTATATTATATTTGGAAAAATGCAGAAATAAAATAAAATAAAATAAACATAAAAATGATATCATAACGCCACTCATCAGTATATCATATCTCAAACAGGCGCCATTTCTAATTTGCTACCAAGAGGATATACCAGGAAGACCCGCTACTAAGCAAGGTAATAATATACACGTATATTTTGCTCACTTCTGATTAATAGTAAAATATTGCATAGTTTTTAGATAATTCAGAACGAAATTGAGGCTTATATGGGGTGGTAAAATTGAGTTCATGATAATTGAATCTTAATAGCTGAATCAGTAGTGCATTTTTGTTGATGTGAGTCACGGAAGTATGAGTCCGCCATGTTTTATCACATAGCTACTGTATGTAGCTCTATCCAGCAGGTTCAGGTTCATCTATTTTCATAGATTCACTCATATTTCTGACAACAACTGTTTGCGCTATTTCATTTAGGCACAGTCATGGTGTAAGATACAATTGGAGTTCAGTTCTTTTGTTAATAAGCAAGCCAAGAGTTCAATGAATATGTTTTATTGAAAGCAGTAATGTGGAATTCCCCCGTTTGAGGGTGTATTGCAATAAAATGATATCATAATGCCACTCATCTGTATTATCTCAAACAGGCGCCATTTCTAATCTGCTACCAAGAGGATATACCAGGAAGACCCGCTATCAAGCAAGGTAATATACACGTATATTTTTCTCAGTTCTGATTAATAGTAAAATTAGCCTAGTTTATAGATAATTCAGAACGACATTAAGGATTATAATTATGCGGAGGTAAAATTGAGTTCATGATAATTGAATTTTAAACATCAGTATTGCATTTTTTTCGATGTGAGTCACGGAAGTACATGCGCGCTCGATGTTTTATTTCAGAGCTTATGTATGTAGCTCTATCTACCAGGCTCAGTCATGTCTGATTTGATTGTCTGCATATATTTGTTATTTGTTGTTATTGTTACCCTCTCTTCCTTTCTCTAGCTCTCTCTCTCTCTCTCTCTCTCTCTCTCTCTCTCTCTCTATCTCTCTTTCTCTCTAGCTAGCCCCCCTCTCTTTCTCCCTTTTTTTTCTCTCTCTATTTCATTAAAAGAATTTTGGTTTTTATTCAATTAATAATATCATATCAAGACGATTGGATCGACATCCTTTAAAGTGAACCTAAGATTTAATAAGTATGTCTTACAAGTTGAACATCACAAGTTTTAAAAAAAGTGTGAAATCGATTATTTATTGAAGCGCTCACAGTCGTCATGTTTCCCTTTGGTGCATACTTTACATATTTCCTGTCTTCTAACTATTGTGGTCAAAAGAAGTATCAACATGAAGAGGCGCCATTTCAAATCAATACATGCTTCACTAAATGATAATTATGATCACCTAATGATTCAATAAAATAATGGAAGGTATAATAGACTTTGATCAATGACAATTGGAGTCTACCGTATTATGATCGTTATTGCATGTTAGTGTACATTTGTTACCAATTCAATTCAATTCAATTCAGAACTTTATTTCAGACTCAGCTGCACAAGGCAGTGGTCCATAAAACATATGTTACATATAGATAGGGATAATAGCGGAGTATGAACATGATGATGATAATAACAACAAATCGTACAAAAACTAAAGAATATAACAAACTAAAAACTATACTACGTATATACAATGTAACTGTAACATGTAACCTGTATCTGTAAAATTGATAACAGAAGACCTACAGCAATCTAACTCTAAGCTGTACCTGTAACTGCAATATTAAAATAAATATATGTATAACAAAGTGAAGTTGTCACTTAATTGTAACAATCTCTGCTCACTAACTAGAACAATTAATATACTAATAATAGATAACTAGATATTATAACAAGCAACAAGGACTAAGGACTATACTGCAACCATAAGAGGCTGGATAATCCTTGGTAAAATCATGCAAAATATGATCAATTCCGAGGTGTAAGCAGGCTATTAAGCCAAAATTTCCAGAGGCCCGATGTGTACCTAAGGCAACTATACGTGGGGTTCACTAATACCTTTACAATACCATTCTCAGAGACATCTACTCTCCGGATGAACTTATACATGAGATTTCGTAATACAGCCGAACAGACTGGAACATTCAACTCAGCAAACATTACCCTAAATAGGAAATGTAGCAAAAAGATATACACAAAACGCAAAGAACAAACATATTTTTCCTCCAAAACAAACTGCTGAAAATGAGGAAGTACTGCAGGAAATCAATCAACCTTTCTTTACACAACATACAAAATCGAACCTAGAATATAAAGTGGTTCATCATAATAGAAATCTGAAGCTACAATACAAACTGATTGTATTTTTTGCCTAAAAACACTGATACTTAATTTTTGTACTTATCATTTCACAGATGGCCGCGGCTAGTGATGATAGGCCTATAATCACCGATTCTCTCAATCTTAAGATCGTTGGTATTTTCCCATTGAACAAAATCGACGACGTATTCGTTGAACTTGGCTTCAAGCAGGTAGACATCGAAAAGAGGAGAGTCATCGCCCAGTTGAGTTCGTCGCTCGACCGTTTGGTTACAGACCTCCTGAGCTCGTGGAAAACTAAACACGGTTGTGGATATGATCAGGCCCAGACTCTGAAGGCTGCCATGAAGAAACATAGCATCGACGGGGCCGTGGAGTTAATACAAGAAGGTAAGGAAGATATTGTGACGTAATAATTGGCACGAGGGTCATCCAGCCCCCCCCCCCCTATCCCATCGAAAGGTCAAAAGAGGAGAAAGAGAAAGACAAGAAGGAGATAGGAAAGGCAACGTAGGAATAATAATGTGGTACGACCCCCTCCTCCACATACACCCACAATACACACACACTCGCGCACATACTCCTTCACTCGACGGCATTGTTTTCAATATTTGGGATAATTTCATTAGGTTGCAAAATATTCCTTGCCCCCAAATACACCAAACATGCTCAGGATTCAATGACGCATATTTTAATATTTTTTTGCTAATGAAAATTTCAACAATAATTTTCTCATTTCATTGGGGCTAGATGATTATAACCTATCCCACCTATCACAGAACATGCATGTACTTACCTCTGTGAATTTTTCTATCTATAATTATCTATAGTTATCTATTTTACAAAAGAAAAAAATTACTAATATAAATATTACCCCTCTCGTTTGTGTCTCTTACAGCTATTGACGAGGTCAATCCACCAACGAAGGGCAGTCTGCCTAAAGAGAACGTTAATACCCTGCCTCCTAATCTGCTATAAAAAAAACACGAATCTTGACTCCCTGCTCCGTTTCCTCTCATTGCAGTCGGTATTCGCGTCAATGAGGGCGTTGATTCTTCTCTGTAAGATGGATTGAAAGTATTTTTTGTAATGATTTCCAAGATGTAACCACTTACTAGTCTAATGTAAAAAACTTATTAATGTCGACTTTCATTTGTATAGGATAATGTTTCGACTTCACAGATCAGATAAAGGATCTGATAAAGGAGAATTAAAAAAAAAAAATTGTATCGCATTATGATGCAGAACTTATTGATTTTATAAATATTCACTTCTCCTATACTATATATTTTCTAAATCACGGCAACAAAATTTATTAGGGCATTTCTGTATTCTATTCATGTTCATTGTACTCTATCCATTGTGTAGTTTTCATGCTTCTCTTATCAGATAAGTGAGTTGATTTTGCGTACCTAACTATTATAGCCCTATTTCGTAAAATTCTGTCTCTGAGAATCAAGAGTGATTTTTTTAATGATTAGGATATGCTGCTAGGTTCGGATTACCAAGAAATAGTTAAGAAAATCATTTGTTATACAGTGAGCAGGGCGTTACGAGACAATTAAACGAAATGGATGTAGATATTGACTAAATATGCAAACAAGCTATCCAAACACTTTCCAAAAGGGATTTCTTTTTTTTAACAAGAAAAATATTAATGTTCTCCTTTGGTGTTACATTTGCCGAAGATGTTGATAAATTTGTTCGTCATAAATTGCATTTACTGTTAGCAATATATCGCGTTTTGTCCCGGCAAAGGTCGAAAACTACTCTTTATTTTACCCAATGGAATTTATCTTTACAAGTCCTGCTTTTCACAGAATTGACTCATGTTTCACCTTCAATTTTGTCTACAAGCCTTAAGTATTTCATATAATTCTGTATGGGTGTTTTATATGTTTTTTCATGTTGTTGTCATCCAATTTTAAAGGGGAAGTTCACCCTGATATGAAGTTAATGTTGATAGAAGCAGAAAATGAGAGGAACAGGTCAGCGAAAGTTTGAGCAAACTACCGATTAAAAAGAAGAAAGTTATGAAATGTTGAAATTGCGCTCAATCAAACAAAATTTGGCAATTAACACTGTGATGTATCTTGCGAGATATATAAAGTTTCATAAAGTTTCATTTTTTCCATTGCTCTCATGTCTCTGGTCCATTTAATACTGTTGTGTACATAATTGTGGATGCCTGGCAGTTTCAATTTAGTTTCGTATTCTTTTACTTATACCCTGAATAAATGTTTTTGAAATGAGAAGTTTAGAAAAAGGCATACTTTGTTCCAATGTTCACGGCAAAGTGCTTGGTATCACCGCAAGATGTATATAAGTCATCAACTACGTAAACATTTATCATATTATCGTCACCATCACCTACGTAATCATATATCATAATATTAATCATTATCATCAGCAACTACGTAATCCATATATTATAATGGTAATCATCATCATCATCTTCTTTATTATCTACTACATAGTCATATATCATAATGGTAATCAATATCATCATCGTCTTCATCATCAGAGTAACTTCCTCCTTCTCCTCATCATCCTTCTCCTCATCCTCCTATACTCTTCATCATCATCATCAACACTTTATCCTTATCATCACCAACACCATCATCATCATCATCATCATTAACCTCACAATATTTCGACAATAGATTCCTTATTAAGATCACACGACAATGTAATAAAATATCAAACAGTATTCTTCGAAACTTAACGTATCAAATGATGTGATTTATTTTCACCCGAGCAAAATTCACATATTATTCACAAAACTTTTGGCGTGATCTAACCGTGTAGTTCAGGCTTCAAACAACCTTTCTTCGCTCCAGTAATCTCAAGGGAGCAGAAAAAGAAGAAAAAATGTGTGAAGAATTGTAATTGGCTTCAAAAAGTCTACATATAAAGTGGATTGTTAAATTCTTAAGTTGGTGGAAGCCTATACATCAGTACATGTTGTGAACTCGCATATAATGCAAATACTTTCACAAATAGCATACAAAAGAGAAAAGAACATCTAATAATGATCATTTGTAAGCATGTTTTAAAATAGATCATAACGTTTGTAAGGGGTATCCAATAAAGTAAAAGAATCAAAAAGTAAAATCCCCAATATGATTCCTAAAGGTGGATTTACACCCCATACATTTAGGGAGTGACTCTGTAAACGAAAGATTTGATATGGTGTATACTGCGCTTTAGGCACAGAGAGATACCACAAAACGAACTATGATGTATTATTGTGAAGTCTTCCGTGTTGTAGTAACCAACGTCTGTCACAAACAAGGTCTAATGCACTTTGTACCCATTGTGGCACACATTGCATAGAAATTACAAATTGCGACACATGTAGAAGTGACAACAATGAATACAATTGGACAAAACGATTATCTGTTCTCAACTTTTTGATCTAGGTCGCGAAAAGTGTTTTGGTTCTCGTATTATTCGCAGTAGGTCAGTCATGAACGTAGAGATCTATTCTTCCTCTCAGTTAACTCAAAGATACAAACACAGTCAAACCTGTCAAGATTTCAAGATTCAAGATTCAAGATTTGTTTATTTCTTTCCACTTGCATAAAAAAACATTTCATTCAGTAACAGTAGTAACAAGTTCATCGTAAACTAGCATAAAAACATTAACAATGAAACAGTTATAAAGACTTTAACAAATGTGGAAAAAGAGGTGGTCTGTTAAAAAAGCACAGCTTGTTAAAACACAGATCACCTTTACAGAAACAACATTTTTTTTAAAAGAAGTAGGTTATATTACAGGGGGAGGCGGACTAATACTAATCTAGTTACCTATACAGACTATAAATAAATATCAGATCTACCACTAATTTACAAAATATGGTAGACTAAAAAAGAAAACAGAATAAAGATAATGGAAAAGTAAAGAAATAGGGGAAGGAGGATAATGTACAACACGGGGGGGGGGGGGGGGACAATGCTATTCCAGTTACCTATATTGAATACTAATAAAAATCAGATCTATTCACTGTAGGTGTACAGTAGATGAAATTTCAGCTTACGTTTGAAGACAGAAGAGCTTACAGACTGCCTAATAGAACAGTCTAAAGAGTTCCAATACTTTGGTCCAGTATGTGCAAGTGTATTAATCCTAAGCTGAGTTCTAGCTGATGATACATGGTATAAGGCAGCCTGCCTAGTAGAGTATTTGTGTATTTGGTTATTCTTTACAAAAATAGATGCTATTGACATGGGAGCTTCACCCTTCTCCAACTGATACATAAGATATCCCAGATATAGAAAATATATATCTTTTACCTTCAGCATTTTATTTTCGTAAAATAGCTTGTCAGTGTGAGCACGCCAATCAGCTGCCGAAATAATTCTCACTGCTCTCTTTTGAATGAGCAGAATTTTATTTAAGTAGGATTTGGCTGAGGCACCCCAGGCTAGCACACCATAATTTAAGTATGTCAAAATTAAGGAACAGTACAACATGCTAAGTATTTTTCTTGGGAATACAAACTTCAATTTGTTGATCATACCAACATTTCTAGAGAGCACTTTACTTAAATGAGTAGTATGCATCTTTCAAGTCAATTTATCATCAATGTGGAGACCTAAAAATTTAATAAATGAGACCTTTTCAATATTTACCTGATCAAAGACTACATTACCAGGCATTACTGTTTCACTATTACTAAATAACATATGTTTAGTTTTTAATAAGTTTAGTGACAGTTTATTTGCATGAATCCATTTAGTCAATACACAAAGCTCTCTATTTACAGTTTCTAAAAGAGTATTTAAGTTTCTATGAGAACAGAATACACTTGTATCGTCTGCAAATAGCAAAAAAGAAAACGTCTCTGAGGATTTTGGAAAATCATTTACATATAAAATAAAAAGCAGGGGACCCAAAAGGGAACCTTGAGGTACTCCACACGTGACGGGTAACATATCTGAACAAATTTCGCCGAGCTCCACAAATTGCTGTCTGTTACTAAGATAACTTCTAAACCATTCGAGTGCAGGTCCTCTTACCCCATAATAAGAGAGCTTGTGCAACAAAATATTATGGTTCACCGTATCAAAAGCTTTGGAATAATCCAAAAATATACCAACCGTATGGAGGTGTTTATCAAGTGCCGAAGATATTTTGTCTAAAAGACATAAAACAGCATGAGAAGTTGTGTGTTTCTCGCGAAAACCAAACTGAGAATTTGAGAAAACTTGACACGACTTCAAAAACTTTATCAATCTAATATATACAAGCTTTTCCAAAATCTTGGAGAAGACAGTAAGTAGAGAAATTGGTCTATAATTACCAGTTTCTACAGGGTTCCCTTTTTTATATATAGGCACAACTTTAGCTATTTTCATTTTTTTAGGAACAATTCCATGCATTAAAGACAAGTTATAAATGTGAGTGAGAGGTACGACTACAAATGAAATTACTTCTTTTATCAAATCATTAGTTATACCATCGTATCCAGGGCTCTTCTTCCTTTTCAAGCCACTTACAACATCTATAACCTCAGAATTCACTACAGGAACAAAAAATAAAGACTTTTCATTTGGACTGGTTAAATAATTTCCATAGGTTTCCTGTATATCAGGTATGGAGCTAGACAGAGTAGCACCAATGTTAGAAAAATATTCATGAAATGCTTCACACATAAGTTTCTTGTCTTCAATAAGACCATCCTTCCAGGTGAGTTTTGTAATACTATGTAGTTTAGGATTGGTTTTCAAGACATTTCGAATAACTTTCCATGTACCTTTAACATTATTACACGTAGACTGGAATTGAAATTGATAATAGTCTTTCTTTGCTTGGCGCAGAGCAGAAGTCAATATATTTCTATAGTTAGTATACTTAAGCTTGGCTACACCAGTCTGCTTTGCTTTGTATCTACAAAACAAACGATTCTTGTTATTTATTGACCTGAGTAAAGACTTAGTGACCCATGACATACGAGGTACTCTTTTATATTCTTGCTTACTTCTTTGCACCAAGGGAAAGCATCTGTCATAAGATAACACCATTATATACATGAATTTATCAAAAGACTTATCAACTTCTGTTTCACATAAAACTTCGTTCCATTCAACAGTTTCCAATTCTCTCTTAAATTTTGTTATATTTCCCTGAGTGAATTTCCGTGTTAACTTATCACAGGATTCAGTACAAGAACTCCTTAATGCTAAAGATGTTCTAGCAAATATAGGGAAATGATCCGATATATCGGCCACTATTATACCAGCAGTGGGAATAGGGTGCAAATTGGTGAAAATATTGTCAATTAAGGTTTGTGAGTTATCTGCTACTCTAGTTGGCTTATTAATCAGAGGAATCAAAGAAAATGTCTATCAAGGTCACCCAATGGAAACACAAAAAAGTGGCCACTGTAGACAGGTGGCTTGTCCTGTCTAGGCACGTTCTTCAACACACGTTTCTTACTAGAGGGAGGCAATATGGGTGATCACTTTAGACAGAGGTTGACGATACATGTACTGTCAATAATGATACTTTTCAATCACACATGACCAATGCGCCGGTCCGAAAACTAGATGGGCACTGGTTTTCAGAAAATGAGACGCATGAAATTGTAATATGTACTCAATTTTGCACAGTTCCTTTTTATTTTTATTCCAAAAGCATTACCGAAGGTCTAAATATCAATATCAGCTTTGTCAACTTACAACATTTGGGGGAGCTCACAGACAAAAAGTTTATTCTGAAGAGGCGGGTCGTGTGACCATTTTGAACTGTCCAATCACATCCACTCTTCTGCATCACGTGTCACTCCGATGACGCAACAACCCAGTGGAGCGCTGTACGTGTCCTTGTTTTGCTCAATCTGAAACGAAATCAGAATAAGCGATTCTTCATCTAAAGCATTATTACAGGCACGTTTATGAAAAAAATGGGAAGGGGGCGCCAGGTGGGTAAACTCCTCACAAAGAAAATAAAAAGAAGACACATCAACAACAAAGAAAACAACAATAACAAACAATAACTCTTTATTGATTACCTGAATTGATGAATGGTCGGTCAGTGAGGCTTTTTCCTAGAGCATTTATTTTTCTGTTTCAGTTATGATTATAATTTGCCTTCTTCTTATATTTCTAAGTTAGAGGGAATTAAAGTGGCTATAAGTTGCTAAAAATGTATGAATTCTATCTTAAAATCAGCAAAGATAAATGAGCTTAATAGTGTAGCTCGGGATGTAGCTCTATCTAGCTGGTTCAGGTTCAGTCAATGAGGCAATCCGCGCGTACTATACCCTGTTGCCTGTACTACTTTATTTGTATGACGGGAGTGGGGCGGGCACAGGTGTCAAAAATTGCTAACAAAATAAATTCCCTTATTTCCAGAAGCATTGTTATTATCTTTAAAATCTCTGATAAGCAAGCAAGTGAGGATAAACAAAACCTCAAATTATCATCCTTTAAATAAACCATTATGCTGATATGTAAAATAACCACCACTACCAGATAATTCACAACCTCGTTATCTAAAACGTGAAAATAATGATAGGTAAATCATAACATAGACACATTGTTATATATTTCGATCGGTGCTTGATAATTTATGTTAATAAATTCACTCATATTTATGACAACAACTGTTTGCGCTATTCCATTTATATAAGGCACAACCACTGTGTGTACAGTAAACTTGGACTTCATCACTTCTTTTGTCAATAAAGGCAAGTCCAATGGTTTCTAATGGTAAATCAATAATGATAAATCATTAAATCATTAATGAATATGTTCTATTGAAAGCTTTGACGTGGAATTCCCCCGTTTGTGGGTGCATTGCATTAAAATGATATCATAATGCCACTCATCAGTATATCATATCTCACACAGGCGCCATTTCTAATCTGCTACCTTGAGGATATACCAGGAAGTTCCGCTATCAAGCAAGGTAAAATACACGTATATTTTGCTCACTTTTTATTAAAAGGAAAATATTGCCTAGTATTTAGGTGATATAGAACAATATTGAGGCCTATGTGTGGCGGTAAAATTGGGATCATGATAATTGAATGTTGATAATTGAATCAGTATTGCATTTTTTTCGATATGAGTCACGGAAGTAAATGCGCGCGCCATGTTTTTATCACATAGCTAATGTATGTAGCTCTATTTAGCAGGTTCAGTCATATTTAATTTGATTATCTGTATATTTGTTTTTTGTTTTTATTGTTTACCCTCTCTTCCTTTTTGTTCTCTCTCTCTCCCTCCCTCTCCCTCTCTCTCTCTCTCTCTCTCTCTCTCTCTAGCCCCCCTCTCTCTTTCCCTTGTCCCCCCCTCTCTCTCTATTTCATTAAAAGAATTTTGGTTTTTATTCAATTAATAATATCATATCAAGATGATTGGATCGACATCCTTTAAAGTGAACCTAAGATGTAATAAGTATGTCTTACAAGTTGAACATCACAAGTTTTAAAAAAGTGTGAAATCGATTATTTATTGAAGCGCTCACAGTCGTCATGTTTCCCTTTGGTGCATACTTTACATATTTCCTGTCTTCTAACTATTGTGGTCAAAAGAAGTATCAACATGTAGAGGCGCCATTCCAAATCAATACATGCTTCACTGAATGATTCAATAATATAATGGAAGGTATAATAGACTTTGATCAATGACAATTAGAGTCTATTATGATCGTTATTGCATTTTAGTGTACAGTTGTTACCAAACAGGGAATCATGGAAAATCACCACTATTGGTGGAAATGTAGTTCCTTGTATGAATGTCAGACATTACCCTAAATAGGAAATGTAGCAAAAAGGTTTACACAAAACGTAAAGAACAAACACATTTTTCCTTCAAAACAAACTCCTGAAAAGGAGGAAGTACTGAAAGAAATCAATCAACCTTTCTTTACACAACATACAAAATCGAACCTAGAATAGAAAGTGGTTCATCATAATAGAAATCTGAAGCTACAGTACAAACTGATTGTATTTTTTGCCTAAAAACACTGATACTTAAACTTTTGTACTTATCATTTCACAGATGGCCGCGGCTAGTGATGATAGGCCTATAATCACCGATTCTCTCAATCTTAAGATCGTTGGTAAGTTCCCGCTAAACAAAATCGACGACGTATTCGTTGCACTTGGCTTCGATCAGGTAGACATCGACAAGAGGAGAGTCGTCGCCCAGTTGAGTTCGTCGCTCGACCGTTTGGTTATAGACCTCCTGAACTCGTGGAAAAATAAACATGGCTGCGGTTTGGACCAGGCCAAGACTCTGAAGCATGTCATGAAGGAACATGGCGTTATGGAAGCCGCGAAGTTGATACAAGAAGGTAAGAAAGATATTGTGACGTAATCATTGGCGTAGCTACCAGGGGCAAGAGGGGCATGAGCACCACCCCCCCTCCAATCCATCGAAAGGTGAAAAGAGGAGCAAGAGAAAGACAAGAAGGAGAAAGGAAAGGCAACGCGAAAAGAATAACGTGGTACGACACCCCCTCCCCGCACAAACCCACAATATACGCACACTCGCGCACATACTCCCTCACTCGATGGCATTGTTTTCACTATTTGGGATAATTTCTTTAGGTTGCATAATATACCCAGCATCCCGATACACCAAAAATGCTTAAGATAACATATTGTATTTTTAAAATAATTGCTAGGACAATTTCCAATAATAATTTTCTCGTTTACTTAGAGCTAGATCCTTATAACCTATCCCACATATCACATAATATTTAATTACCTTCGTGGATTTTCTATTCATAATTATCTATTAAGCTATGTTACAAAAGAAAAAAAATGTGACTGTTATAAATTTATTAATCCGCACCTTTTATTCGTGACTCTTACAGCTATTGACCCCGGCTATTGACAAAGGCCATTCCACCTGCGTTCACGGGCCTACTGCCTGACGTTACCGCATTGCCAACATCAACAAACGAAAAAAACAGCCCAATGGAACACTAGACATCTTTAAAATTCATCGGTAATCCCTCTCTGTCTAAAATTACGAAGGAAACTTCACGCGACTTTTCGGAGTTTTAAAGGGGTCCATTTTTACTTTTTAAACAAAGATTGTTCTTGACAACCTCAAAGGTTGCCCGAGGCTTGCCCAACATAGCAACAAATGATGTATGCAGCCTGGATTCCAAGTATTGTAGTTTATTCATTAATAGCAGGTAAATGGAGTAATTCGTCACTAGGTCGCCAGGAAAGAAACTTTGAATTTTGTTAGTAGACCGGTCTATTGTCGTACAATCCCCTGCATCCCAATATGTGATCAAAATACCAACGACTCTTTCAGGGGGTGCTGCAGCATCCCAAATCTTTGCTCCCAGCTCCATTCCCTCTTATTGCATTCGGTATTCGCGTCAATGAAGGCATTGATTCTTTTCTGTAATATAGATTGAAAATATTTTCTGTACTGATTTCCTTGACTTAGCCACTTACTGTTCAAATGTGAAAAACGAAGATCATTGCAAAATATATTGCAGTATAATAATTTTTATGATTAGAATGATTCTTTTCTGTAATATGGATTGAAAATATTTTCTGTACTGATTTCCTTGACTTAGCCACTTACTGTTCAAATGTGAAAAACGAAGATCATTGCAAAATATATTGCAGTATAATCATTTTTATGATTAGAAGGTTATTCATGTCGACTTTTGTTCTTAGTGGATAGTGTTTCGACTTCACAGATCAGATAAAGGATCTGATAAAGGAGAATTAAATTTTTAAAGAATTTGTATCGCATTATGATACAGACCTTATTGATTTTGTAAATATTCACTTCTCTAGTACTATATATTTTCTAAATCACGGCAACAAAATTGATTAGGGCATTTCTGTATTCTATTCATTGTGTAGCTTCCATGCTTTTCTTTACAGATAAGTGAGTTGATTTTGCGTACCTAACTATTATAGCCCTATTTCGTAAAATTTTATCTCTGATAATCAAGAGATATTTTCTTAATGATAAGGATATGCTGCAGGTTCGGATTACCAAGAAATAGTTAAGAAAATCATTTGTTATACAGTGAGCAGGGCGTTACGAGACAATTAAACGAAATGGATGTAGATATTGACTAAATATTCAAACAAGCTATCCGAACGCTTTCCAAAAGAAATTTCTTTTTTTAACAAGAAAAATATTAATGTTCTCCTTTGGTGTTACATTTGCCGAAGATGTTGATAAATTTGTTCGTCATAAATTGCATTTACTGTTAGCGATATATCGCGATTTGTCCCGGCAAAGGTCGAAAACTACTCTTTATTTACCCAATAGAATTTATCTTTACAAGCCCTGCTTTTTACAAAATTGACTCATGTTTCACCTTCAATTTTGTCTACAAACCTTAAGTATTTCATATAATTCTGTGTGGGTGTTGTATATGTTTTTTCATGTTGTTGTCATTCGATTTTAAAGGGGATGTCCACCCTGATATGAAATTAATTTTGATAGAAGCAAAAAAATGAGAAGAACAGGTCAGCGAAAGTTTGAGCAAACTACCGATTAAAAAGAAGAAAGTTATGAATTGTTGAAGTTGCGATCAATCAAACACAAATTGGCATCACTGTGACGTTTTTTGCGAGGTCCTCTCCGATTTGTTTTGTTCATAAAGTTTCAAAAACTTTCAATTGTTTCCATTACTCTCAGGTCTCAGGTCCGTTTTGTATCTTATGTATACATGATTGTGGATGCCTGGCAGTTTCAATTTATTTTCGTTTGATTTTACTTATACCCTGAATAAAAAAATTTGAAGTGAGAAGTTTAAAAGATTGCATACTTTGTTCAAATGTTCACGGCAAAGTGCTTGGTATCACCACAAGATATACATTAGTCATCAACTACGTAAACATATATCATAATGGTAATCATTATCACCATCACTTACGTAATCATATATCATAATGGTTATCATAATCATCATCAACTATGTAATCATATACCATAATGGTAATCATCATCATCATCAACTACGTAATCATATATCATAATGGTAGTCATCATCATCTTCGTCATTATCAACTACATTAATCATATATCATAATAGTAATCATCATCATCAACTACATAATCATATATCATAATGGTAGTCATCATCTTCGTCATTATCAACTACATTAATCATATACAGTGTATCATAATGGTAGTCATCATCATCTTCTTTATTATCTATTACATAATCATATATCATAATGGTAATCAATATCATCATCTTCATCATCATCATCATCATCATCATTATCTTCACAATATTTCGACAATAGATTCCACATGACGATGTAATAAAATATCAAACGGTATTCTTTGAAACTTAACGTATCAAATAATGTGATTTATTTTCATCCGAGCAAAATTCACATATTATTCACAAAACTTTGGGCGTCATCTATGTAGTTCAGGCTTCAAACAACCTATCTTCGCTCCAGTAATCTCAAGGCAGCAGAAATAAAAAGAATTGTACTTGGCTTCATAAAGTCTACATATTGGGTGGATATAAGGTGGATTGTTAAATTCTAAAGTTGGTGGAAGCCTAAATTACATCAGTACATGCTGTGAACTCGCATATAATGCAAATACTTTCACAAATAGTATACAAAAGAGAAAAGAACATCTAATAATGATAATTTGTAAGCATGCTTTAAAATATATCATAACGTTTGTAAGGGGTATCCAATTTACACCCCATACATTTAGGGAGTGACTCTGTAAACAAAAGATTTGATATGGTGTATACTGCGCTTTTAAGCACAGAGAGATATCACAAAACGAACTATGATGTATTATTGTGGAGTCTTCCGTGTTGTAGTAACCAACGTCTGTCACAAACAAGGTCTAATGCACTTTGTACCCATTGTGGCACACACTGCATAGAAATTACAAATTGCGACACATGTAGAAGTGACAACAATGAATACAATTGGACAAAACGATTATCTGTTCTCAACTTTTTGATCTAGGTCGCGAAAAGTGTTTTGGTTCTCGTATTATTCGCAGTAAGTCAGTCATGAACGTAGAGATCTATTCTTCCTCTCAGTTAGCTCAAAGATACAAATACAGTCAAACCTGTCTATCAAGCTCACACAATGGAAACACAAAAAAGTGGCCTCTGTAGACAGGTGGCATGTCTAGGCACGTTCTTCAACACATGTTTCTTACTAGAGGTAGGCAATATGGGTGATCACTTTAGACAGATGGCCTTTATAAAGAGGTGGCCACTAAGACAGGTTGACGATACATGTACTGTCAATATTGATACTTTTCAATCACACATGACCAATGCGCCGGTCCGAAAACTAGATGGGCACTGGTTTTCAGAAAATGAGACGCATGAAATTGTAATATGTACTCAATCTTGCACAGTTCCTTTTTATTTTTATTCCAAAAGCATTACCAAAGGTCTAAATATCAATATCAGCTTTGTCATCTTAAAATATTTGGGGGAGCTCATAGACATAAAGTTTATTCTGAAGAGGCGGGTCGTGTGACCATTTTGAACTGTCCAATCACATCCACTCTTCTGCATCACGTGTCACTCCGATGACGCAACAACCCAGTGGAGCGTTGTACGTGTCCTGGTTTTGCTCAATCTGAAATGAGATCAGAAAAAATAAATTCATTATCTCAAGCATTATTACAAGAACAGTAATTATGAAAAGATTATGGGAAGGGGGTATCAGGTTGGTAAACTCTTCACAAAGCAAATAAAAAAAGAAGACACATCAATAACAAAGAAAACGGCAATAACAAACAATTACTCTTTATTGATTACCTGAATTGATGTAATACGAAAATGAAGGTTCAGTCAGTATAGCTTTCTGCTGGAGCACTATTTTTCTGTTCGAGTTTGCATTTTCTTTATATTTGTAAGTTAGAGGATGTAAGAGTGGCTATAAGTTGCTAAGAATAAATGGGATTCTGTCTTGAAATCAGCAAAGATAAATGAGCTTACACTTGTTAAAAGTGACCCTTTAAATCATTCATGAATCTGTCTGATGCATTTCCCTTTAAAGTTGTTATTATTATTATTATTAACATCATTATTATTATGATCATCATTATTATGATCGTCATTATCATTATCACCATTATTATTATTTCTATTATTATCATCATTATTATTATTTTCATTGTGATTATTATTATCGTTATTCTCTATTTTGGATCAAATGATTTGGGGGGGGGGGGCTAAGGAGCAAAGGAGCAGAACAAATTTAAGAAATTATTTTCTTACCACAATAGACCTCCCGAAAATACTATTTCTTCCTGCCAGATCAAAGTGCCCGACCTCTGTAGTCCGGTATTGAACAAAACCGCTCTCATCGGGTGACACAACCGCCAACAATCCAGTTGATCTGATTGAAAAATAGAAAATAAAATTAATGTTCAAAGGGTGAAAAAGGTTATTCCATTAGAAGACAGTAAAGGAGATGGGATTGTAGGAAGGGAGGGGGGGGGATTATTTGAGAATTAATACGAAAGAGGGAGGGCGACGTCACAAAGCGGCAGGTGGAGAGAATGTAGGAAGGGGAGGGGAGAAAGTGGAAAAGAGAACATGGAAAGAATGTGTAAATGAAGGGGGTGGAAGAGAAGAGTGTGAGAGAGGAACTCGGGAAATAGATAGACGTGGACAATGATGAGAGGGAATGAAGTGAATCGACATCTTTATCCTGTTTAAAATTCGAAATTTCAAAATAGAATAGCCATCCTATAGGTGTACTGTTAACAAATGTGGGGTCTCATGTAAAAAAAAAAAACAGAAAAGACAGGCGATATTAGAAAGTGTGACAAAAGTTGTTATGAATGGCGGAAGGATCATCATGATTGAGCATCATCAAGGCAATCATTCGTGGCATAAATTAAGCCAAATTATTGAAGGGAAAAAAGCGGCAACTAGCTAGAGAGGAAACCAATCTAACCCTCGACATCGTTCTTACCCAACTTGCTGATCAGGATTGCGATTGGTAGCGAATATGGGCCCAAGCCGTTGGCAACCGTCTCCGAGGTCACCAAACTCCCGGATGTAGACGCCATGACCTTGGCTATTGGAGTTGCTAGGACTGAGGCCGAACAATCGGATTGTTACGTCACTTGACCCGTTAGATCTCTGAAAGTGGGGGATGCAAACCAAAACAGAAACCTGTGTAATAATGAATTTAAATCTATGCATGTTTATCTCCGGAACCCCTGGTTACTAACTAGCTGGTTAACCAGGGACCCGTTTCACAAATCTTCTTTTTTTTTGAATTGGATTGAATTGGTTTGGTTTATTGAGAAATCACATCAAACAAGCAGCTCGCAGGCTGAAAATGTTCAATTTACAAACAAGTTAAAAATATAGAGAGATATAAACATATACAAAACTAAAATACATATTGTAAGTCATTGCAAGATGAAATCGAAATCGCAAAACAAAGTTATAGAGTAATGTAATAATATACTTTCATGTTGAAGAACCAAGACGGTGGGGAGGAGAGAATGGAGAAGAAAAAAGGAAGTTATTTGACCGAAAGAGTTGAGAAAGTATTTAACAATTGCTAAACAAACATTTCTATTACAAAAAATGAAATTAAGCATTAAAAAAACCCTATTGGATGGGATGAAATTAAACCGTAAAAGTCAAAATGACAGTCTCTATTCCGTTTTCCCCTTTAATATAAATGTAATGACAGCATTCATCTAGATCGAGAAAGTTGTTCAAATGAAATTAAAATGAGTATTTACATAACAATATCACAATATAGTGTAATTTCGAATTAGATATTGCACATTACTTTGGAAAAAAAGACCCAAGTCAAATAATTGGCAAGGGCATGAATTTGTATTAAAAAGAATGTATAAAAGAAGGGAACACTAAAGGCCTAATGAAACAACGGATTAAAATATGTTTACAGTTTTAGGCAGTCTGAGAGTAAATTGGATAAAAGTGTGTATTGCAAACGTGTTATTATACCGGTTTGTTTAAAACCAAATATCTATTAATATGCATGAGAATAAGAAAGTTATTTGTCTAAAAAAAATATAGTACAGAGTGTATTTAACAATTGCTATTGTTAATTGTAATGACATCATTCATCTGAAACAAGAAAAAATTGATATTTGAATAACAATATTACATAATTTCGTATAAGATATTGCACATTATATTATAGATAAAAAGCACAACATTAATATTTAGCAAGGGCATACAATTGAAGTTTTTAAAAAAAAGGAACACTAATGAATTAATAAAATAATGAAACGATTTATAGATTCTCGTTAAGCAGTCTTATTGCAGAGGGCATTTTCGATGACAAACGACAAAAATCAGTGACAAATCTGCTGATAACCAATCAGAAGCAAGGATTTCACTAGCTTTTAACAAAAACTGTCCTTGTCACTGATGACAAGTTTTGTGAATTGGGGCCCAGGTTACCTGCTATGCATGATGCGATCAGTTTAAATGGTATCCACTTTACATGCCATGTCTCAAGTGTGGCAAGCCTCTGCCAAGCTTTGGGGTTGTCTCGGGTACAATTATGCATAACAGTAGTAAACATATCAATCATGGGGATTGTTTCACAAAGACTAACATCGACTTTTAGTTGGACTTAACTATGAGCTTTAGATAATATTTTTTCCTTCAATAATGAATTATCAACAAAATTCTGTAGATTTGTGATCATGATTTTTGTCCCTTATTGAGAGAACAATGCCAGTAAATGGTGAGAGCAAACAGTGGCATAAACAACCTGCCATAGTTAGGTCCAACTTAAAAGTCGATCTTAGTCTGTGTGAATCACTCCCATGGGCTTATAGCATCAGATATGCGACAAAGAAGGACATTTGAGAATAAAAGCGATTTCGTAAAATCGGGACACAATTTACAGAAATGTTGCTAAAAATTAGAGTTTTTTCCAATCATTTTTATCTCAGACAATCAAAATGTTAATTTACATTGAAAACTATTTTCATTGCCACCTTCTCTATAGAGTACCGAAGTGTGACGTCATACTAGCCAAGTTGTCAAGGTAGCTGGTTCCAAACAATTTTGTGCTAAATAATGGTGTGGTGATCACACCAGCGCCAAACATTAAATTTGCCCTGCTCCAGCCCGTTGTTTGAATGATGTCGCGGTGATCCTCATGCGCAGGCTCTTTTGTTTGGAACAAGTAACTGAGACGACACACGAATATGACGGTAACAACTTCGGTACTCAATAAAAGCCTCTGTTCTGTATTGACCACATAACATGATTACATTGTCCCTGAATATTCGTCAAATACATGGGGAAAAAAGAAGAAAATATGCATCGGCCGGGAATCGAACCCGGGTCACCCGCGTGGCAGGCGAGAATTCTACCACTGAACCACCGATGCTTCGATGTTTAAAATTATATCATATTTTGTGATTGCCATGAAATTCAAGAGAAGGGTAAAATAGGTACTCATTTGGGCTCAATTATTATTTTCTTATCGACAACAGGTATACCTGGCTTTAAAAACCATGTTGCTAATCCACCTCACCCTCCTGAAACCGCTTGGTAGCATTGAAAAAGAAATCTTACCAAAGAGGATATTTCGGGGGATGGGAGAGGAGGGGTCGGGAGGGGGTGTACTTACATTTTGTCGGAGGTTGACGGTGCCTCTGAATCGGTGGTATTTTGCCAAGGTAAGAGGTTCAAGCCTCTCGTTCAGTCTCAGTTCACACGCAGCAAAGTCGTACAAATGTGTGTCCTATATATCACAACAGCCAGCAATATAAAATGGGTAAACATTGGATGTAAAAGTTGTTGGAATTGAAAAATAAATTCCTGTGTAGGGGCTTTTTTGTTTATACTCATTAAATATGAATTTATTTTCCTATTTAAATATTCGATGATGTAAAGAAATTGATAGAAAGTGAAATCATTAGATATATACAATTATGATGAAAATATGAAATTAGGATCGTAGCCAAAGGGGTAATGTTTTGGGTTTTCCCGTTAGCTTTGGAAATTTACTCCGTATACAGAGAATCAATGAATAAATTTACATAATGATAATTTATGATTGCCATGAAAATTTATCGACATAAAATTTATAATGTACTGTAATGTTAGTAACATACTTGTGATAGAAGGTATGCTTACATTTTCATTGTCATTTGGCAAATCTTCAGCGGCGGGTGGATTCGACATCGTTATGACTGAAGCCGGTGACCTTGTCGATTGATCTTCACCCTCATATTCGTTGTGATCATCGTCATCAGAGTCGTTCACCGATTCAGTCATTCTCCGACTCTCATTCAAGAGTTCTATCAGGACAGCATCAGCGCTTTTGACGTCTTGTTCGAGTGACGGCGGCGGGGGCGTCCTTCTCGTGTCCATATCCGATTCAACTTCGTGCAGCTCGCGGAGAATTGATATGAGTTTTTGAGAAAGTTCGGCGGGACTTTCTTCTGCTTCGTTAACGATGTGCGGTTCCACTTGGCGCGCTATGTCTTCGACTTTGGCGGGATTTTCTTCTGCTTCGTTGTCGATGTGTGGTTCAACTTGGCGCGCTATCTCTTCGACTTTGGCGGGATTTTCTTCTGCTTCGTTGACGATGTGCGGTTCCACTTGGTGCGTTATCTCGTCGACTTTGGCGGGGTCGTCGCCCCATTGTTCGAGTTTGTCGAGGAAACCGTCAAAGAGTTGAGAAAGTTCATCGCGAGAAATCGTCATGGCTGAAATAAGAAATGTGGAAAAAGATGTGATCAGATGAACCGACATACATCATACGGGCACGGTTATTCAAAGTTAAGTGTGATTGGAAGTTTAGCCTCCCAATCAAAGTAGAAATAGCCTATTTAATTGGAACAAAGGATGGTTACTATCGACTATAATCTGGCATCAGACGAAAATAAGATGCCGAGAGAAGGGCAGGTGACGAAAAATAAATAAGCAGCAGAACAAATCACCCCAAAAGAGAAAACAATTATTAGTTAAGGAATAGAATATAGATAAATAAACTAACTGGAGAGAAAGAAGGACTTTATGGAGGAGAAAGAAGAAGAAGTAGAAGAAGAAGAGGAAGAGGAGGAGGAGAAGGATGAGGGAGAAGAAGAAGGAGAAGAAGAAAAATAAGAAGAAGAAGAAGAAGAGGAGGAGGAGGAAGAAGAAGAAATGGAAAAAAGAACAATCTCGAGGAGGAAAGAAGTGGCGATAAAACGGCAAGAAGGAAAGGAAAAGAATATGGACGTTAACAATGATTGAAAATAACAAATGAATACAAGTTAGATAAATAAATAAAACAGCTAAAAGTCTCAGTTTTAACGAAATATACTAATTTTTTAAATAAATGATAGGAAAAAAGAAAGAAATATGCATGAAGCAAAATGAACCTTACCTTGTGACGATTCAATAATTACTGATAGAAAGACCATTGAGAGTAGTGACAGCCATGTGGCCCGTTTACAAACGTTGAATACATTCATCATGTTGAAGTCTCTATACGATTGAAATAATCACACCGAAGAATATGAATGGCAATTTTCGAGTGTTCCTCCAAAATTAGATGACTGGATGCTAAGTAGTTTTCCTGAGTTGCATTGAGGTTAACTCTTCCAAGTCCAATTTAACTTACTCAATGTGTTGGAGACAAGCTCGGAGTGCATTATGCAGGCCTCCAGTATGCCTAATAAGGCGCCGAAAGGCCATAAAACAGAATTGCCTAAGATGATCGTTATTTTTTAGGTGGAGTTAATTCATAATAAGACTCGAATAGATAGATGATTACTGGTATACCAGCAGTAATACAGAGATGAACGATGACAAAGCATTTAACATACCGCATCGGCGTAATACTGGTACTTGACACCAAGGTAATACAGCTGCAGAATTTGCTGAAATTGAGTATTGGCGGTAGGCGATTTCCAATATACTTATTAAAAAGTATCAGTATTATACCACAGAACACAATACACACAAAATATATTCCCACTCACTGTAAAGCAAAGTTGGGCAGATATTACTTGGCAAATCAACGTTGAGCAAATTTTGTCCAATAGTTGGGTTATTTTCTCCCCACCATTTACTGTATGAAGTTACCCAATGAAAGGTAAAAAATAGGTTGGGTAGATGTTACTTGGGATATCGATGTTAGGCAAAATGTTGTCCAACAATTGAGTTATTTTTCTCCCAACCATTTACTACATGACTATATTTCCCCAATTAAAAATTCAAAGTAAGTTGGGCAGATTTTATTCGACTTGTTTGGCCAACTAGTATTTAATATGTTACACTTAATGGTGAGAATTTGGTGAATTTCTGACTGGGTAAATTTTGTTGGTTAAAAGTTGGGTATTTTCTCTTTATCCAACACTGGGCAAATCATGCAAAATCTTGAATTGACCCAACGGACACATAATTGCTTCAATGTTGGGTAAAAATTGGGCAATTTTTTGCCCCACATTTTTTATGTATTGACGGGGAATTATCGTGAGAAAAACAAAATCAAGGGTGCGAGATTAACGTTGTGAATTATGATTATGATATTCGTCATATAGAATTGAAAATAGGGGAAGTTCTGTCGGTATATCGAGATCCGTGAAGTTATCTGTGTGATTCCTCTTCCTTTATATTAATATGAGCTATGTAAGATTTGAACCCTAACATGAATGCAGGGCCTTATGGTCATGGAAAGGCGAGGGCATTTGGAACTGCCAACATTTTTTCATTAATATGAAACTACAAAATATTAATACTTTGCCCAGAGTCACAGAGTCACTTAAACGGTCATCTCATGATCAGTATACCCCCCCCCACTATTTTTGCACCTGTGCCATATTAACCTAATCGAGTGCCCGACCCAAAGCGCTCTCCTGTAATCATATTTACAAAATATATAATAATAATAATAATATTCAGCTTTTATATAGCGCAAATCACAATAAGTCTCTATACGGGGAAGCGCGTTACACTTTCTGCAGAGAGCCAACCAGGGCACCGTCTGTCAAACAGGCGGGTAGCCAGGGGGACGGCGGGAGCGATCGCCCCCCCCCCCCATAAAAAAAAAGGGAAAGAAGAAAGGAAGAGGACGTAGGACGAAAAAGGATTAAAAGTCGAGAACGGTACGACGAATCGTCTTCTTTCTTTAATAATCTAATGAAACGTCAGAGCTTCCGCGCTATGCGCGGAGGAAGGGGAACTTGATTCAAACAAGGATTAAGAGTCGAGAACGATACAATGAATCGTCTTCTTTCTCGGAAATTAAATGAAACGTCAAAGCTTCCGCGCTTCACGCGGGAAGGGGGAGAAAGTGAATTCAGACAAGGATTAAGAGTCGAGAACGGTACAACGAATCGTCAAAGCTTCGCACGGGAGGGGGGAACTCCCCCCTTCCCCCCACTGGTGAGCGCGCTTCGCACGCTTTGCGTGCTCACTACCGCCCCTAACTGAAATCCTGGCTACGCGCATGCCGTCTGATAAAAGGTCCCCCCCCCCACTCCGGGGTCGGAGGGACCGCATTCGTGTTCCCAAAATCTCTCCAGTAAAGGGGCACTTTTCGCACAGCAAAGTCCGGCCCGAGAATTGTAAAAAAAAAATTTTTTTAAAAGGGGGTGTCTTTGCCTTTTCACCCGAAAATTTCTTTAAAAATGGGTTGTTTTCTTTTTCTCTCTCTCTCTCTTTGGATTCCTGAGAAATTAAAAAAGAGATTATAAAATATCAAAAAGAGGGTGTTTTCTCTCTCTCTCCCTCTCTTTTCGAATATTGCTAATAAGAAGCCACCATTATTATTATTATCATCATAAATAAGGGGTACATTGAGCAGTGTTCTGGATTTAGGGGGTTCGATCCAAAGCAGGAAAAGTCCGCGAAAAGCCCGCGAAAGGGGGGTTCAGAAATGTTGGCATTCCTCGGATACTGTGCTTTCAAACGAGCATACGCGTACCCTAAATAACACTGAAGGGGGGGGGGGGGGGTAAAAAGTTGATATTAATCGCAACGTAATTATTTGCGATTGAGATTAATCGCAACTATACATGTACAAAAGAAATAGGGAACTGCAGAATTGCGATTGATGGATCAATCTTACTATAGGCGGGGCCCAGCATTAACTATAATTAAAACTAGGCAAACTAAGTCGACACCCGGTTGGCTCTGAATAGATGACATGTCATTGTTCTAGAAAATAAAGACCTTCTTTGAAGAAAAGAAAAAAACATATTTTGTTCTACCAGCACATTTGCGTATGGGTTGAATTGATATCGCTATACGATTTAATTACTTCCGATTACCAGGCCAATTATTTCCGAACATGACGCCAAGACGAAATGGGAAAAACATGAAAACCTTGAATTCAGGGGTGGTATAATATGATGAAATAATGTGATAGTAAGACGATGTTATAGTTGTAATAACAAATCAAATTTAGTACAAAGCTGGCTGTATTCGTGTAAAGATTAAAAGAGAAATCGACCTACGCAAGCACCAATTTTGTAGACAAAAATAACCGGCTGTTAAAGGTATACACAGTTTTTGTATATGGACATGAATTTGGTTCAAATGAACATATTGGAAGCATACGCGATCCTACAATATTCAGTGATCGTTGTCGCGGTTGAAATCGAGTCTAAAGTTATGAAATTGTAAATTAGAAACTCTTTATGTTGTACAGCTCCCTCTCAAGGTCAAGATATAAATCAAGTTATAAAACAATGTTTCTCGACGTTGGAGGGATGGAGATGGAGGGCGTCCTAATATCTTTATTTCCACCACTCCACTTTCGGCGTACGTCACATTTGTCAAGTCATGAGAGAGCAACGTTAGGATAAAGAAAGTATAATTAGGCAGATGCCGACAGGGGCCAAAGGGAGGGGAGGGAGAGAGAGAGAGAGAGAGAGAGAGAGAGAGAGAGAGAGGCAAAGACTAGATGAGTGAAGAGCTGCTCAAGAAAAAGATAGGTACATGGATATACAGGCATGTTTAAATACATATTTTTCGTTTTTTAAGGGAAGATAAAGATCGTAAAATCTTTTTCCAGATCAATTATAGATTAATTTCAACAGATAACGTCATATTGATTTTCAACAATTTTCACCACCATCATCATCACTCTCTTCATTATCATCATCACCATCTTTGTCATCAACTTCACACTCGCCTTTATCATAAACATCATCACCACCATCTACATCATAACTACCCTCAAACTCTCTTTATCATTGCCATCATCAATGTCATCACCATCATCATCACCACCATCATCACCATCATCACCATCAGCAGCAGCAGCAGCATTATACAGTACAGAAGTGAAACCATGTAACAACACTGTTGGTTTACAAGATCATTGCATGTATATAAAACATATCATAACATAATTTGCGTTTTATCTACAGTTGTATCAAGATCTGCCTGAACTTTTTTTTGAAATGACCGTCAGCTAGTGCCCTGCTTGAGCTATGGCAAGGGTACAGTGAAACCTGTCTATAAAGACCACCCAAGGGAGACAAGAAAGGTGGTCTTTATAGGCAGGTGATCTTTGTAGACGGGTGCCAATAGTACATGTATCAATGAGAAACCATTTTCAAGGGAAACCAAAAAAATGTGATCTTTGTAGACAGGTGGTCACTAACGCAGGTTTGACTGTACAATCTAAACCCTTTTGGAATCGCATAAATATGTTAAATCATATCACCATATGCACTATGCAAGAACAGTGGATTATTATTTTTATTTGTCATTACATGGCATGGCCTACAAGAAGGCAAAAGCCTGAAAACTGGTACCCCTGATTAGATTAGATATGTTGCATGGCACAAACACTGTTCTTGCATTGCTCATATTATATCAAACTGAAGAAGATGCGAGCAATCCTCAATAAAAACTGAAAGAACTGCAGCTCATATTCCCCAAAGCCACCTAACTGTAGGCCAGGTTTAATCTTGCCTAAACATTCATTCAGATATAACATGGTAAACCGCCACAAAAAACCTAGATTTTCAATTTCTCTTTTACTTGTAAATGAATGGCAATGGCGCAAAACAAAGGTCTGGTCATTTTCTGTTCATTCCCCAGGTCATTTTCTATGGAAGCCAGAAGAAACCGTGTCTTATCGTCTTCCCCAGAATCATATCTGCGCATGTGCTGACCTGCGCAGTGTAGGAGGAAGGTCGCCATCTACTGTCGAACATCGTATTTGCAGTAGGGTCAATTAAGCCAGGTTTAAATTTATGCCAATTTTTAAAATATGGCTTAAAAGTTCAGAGGAATCACGTTGATTGTTCTAATTTTTCCAATTCTTCTTTGAGCTTCTTATCTTCATCGGAGACAGGAAGGTAGTTCTTAAAGTCGAGCACATGACCGTCCAAGAGAAAAGCCGTCAAAGTGAGCTTCTTGATAAATGACCCTGAAACAAAAAAAAATGATGTGATAAAACATATAGGCTTGATTTTATAATTTATTTCATTTTACTTTAATATGTAATAGAAACAATGATGCCTTTCATGGGTGTTCATTACTTATGGCAGTTTTGTTTATACATTCGTTACCTTATATAAATAACGCAGTACCCTTAACAGCTAAAATATTTGTTCTTTCCAACACTTCTAGGAGGACGCTTCAGATAAGACATTAATTCCCCCGTATTATTTTGCCTGGATACGGTAGCTGATTTAGCTGTATTTGTTGCCAGTGGAATAGCATGGGTCCAGCCAATGGCAGAACTTTGTTATAATGTGCCCCATACCACTATTTAAGTGGTTAAACATACATTTATTTATACATGTGAAATGTGTGTTGGTGCTGTAGAATGGCAGCATGTATTACCGCTCTGCAGTGTGTTAATCTTCAGCCATAAAAGTTACACTATACGAGAGAGAGAATGAAGAAGATGAAGATAAGGGGGGGGGGGAGGAACAAAACTGTGAAGTAGGTGAATGAAATGCAAGATAATCAAAAGCAATTAAATGAGGCCATAGAAAGGATTGTATCATCTTCTTATCACATTGCCTCCCCCTCTCCAATAATATTTCTGTAAAGCATTTTGGGACACCTAGATGTATTCAGTGCTACATAAACTCCAAATTTGATCATCTCCATTTTTTCTATTCTAAATTGTTTTTGCCATGAAATGGTGGAATGTGTCCCTACCCAATGCCCCCTTCTAGCTACGCCACTGTTTGTTGTGCTTTACTTACCAAATTCCAGAGGTTTGTGTGAGCAGACATCTGAGATGATGGCAGCCATGTTTTCCTCTAGTTGCTCATTGGTAAGACTTAGCTGTGAAAGGAACAAAACAAATGAAAAAAGGAATATTTTCAATTGTAACAATCTATTTCAAGCTAATGCAGAAATTTTTTAAGGGCTTGATCGAACATGACATGGTAAGGGAACATTTTCAAATGTTACCGTCTATTTCAAGCTAATGCAGAAAAATGTTAAGGGCTTGATTGAACAATTAAGACATGGTGAACTGCAACTACCACACATTGTTTGATCTTGTTTTGATTCATTTGTATTTGTATACATTCTTACTTTTTTTCTCCTCTATGTTATATTATTATCCAAAATTGTATTATCATTATTATTATTATTATTATATTATTTTGGCGGGGGGGGGGGGGGGGGGGGGGGGGGGGGGGGGGGGGGGGGGGGGGGGGATGGGAGGGGTGGGGGGGGGAGGAGTGGGCAGTTTATCACATCATATGGATGTAACAGGAGTAAATATACTGGGGTGCAATCTTCATCACAGGACCAAAATGTGGGCATTATACAAGAAGCCACATTTATCAAAGGTATCACCTTGTTTATACAAAATTATTATATTTTTTATTTAAAAAAATAATATATACATCATTCTTACCTTGCCGATAGCACAGTTGATGGTGTTGTGTTTGCCTTGTACCTTGTATTCATGCCCCTTGCTGTACAGGTTTAACATGGCAGTGATATTGTTGCTAACGGATCCTGTAAAAACATTTCAATGACACAAAAGTTTTAAATAGTACAACGTTCCCTATGCTATCTGTATTAATTTCAACTGTGCCAGTACGCTATTTTATCTTAAACTACTCTCAAACACAGAGAAAGGAAATTATCATCAAAAACAGAAATGTCTTTCTCTGTATGTTAACTTTGTGTTCCGTGTTGGTATCCTTTATGAGCCTAAAAGTTAAAGTTGAGTTCTGGTCATGCGATTGCTTCGATCACTTTGATGACTCCAGAACCTTGCAGTACACACCAATACTTATATGCTAGATGATCAACCTTTTCTGATCGATTCCACTACGTTTCTTTCACAATGCAATTGCATGACCAGAACTGGTCTGTACATATAAAGGCAGGTGTCCCTACATAGTACAAACCTCTTTTAGAAGCAGGGAATCTTTTCCTGAGTTTCTCCTTGAGTTTGGTCAGGCTGGGCATCATTTCCGGGGTGGAAACGCAGTAATCGAATGCCCTGTGGTGTATCCTGTGGTCCACGATGTCTTGGACGGTGTCTGCGTTGCCAACCATGAAAGCTCCTGCATCCAGGGCTGCCTGGGTGTCTGAATCCTGGTCATAGGGAATATGAAATATTAATAATTACATTTCGAGGGCTCAGTGACACAAAGACGTAACTCCATATTTTACCAAAATGAGTATTTGATATCAAAATGTTCTGAAAAATGTGGGCTTTCCAGGAAATTCAAAGATTTAACTCCAACCAACACCCCATTGAAGTCAATGGCTAATGAAATATAGAGTTAACTCCTTAAGGCCAAGTGCTCAGTGACACATAAACCACTTTTTCTCAAAATAGCCAAATTGGAGTTACCGTACGTCTTTGTGTCACCGACCCCTCGATTTGTTTAGCGCTTTTTACTACGTTTCTAAGTGCTTTACAATGTAATTATTACTACCAAAAGTCATTGGATTCATTTCTATAGTGCACATGCTCCACTCCCTGTGGAGTGTTTTAGAAAAAATGTGTCCATCAACAGGTTTTGTCTGTTCTTGTTGTTGGCTTTAATGGCGTTTTCCATTGCGTTGGATGAGTTTTGCCTAGAGCGGCTACAATATATAACCTAGTAAGTATAGTCTCAGAGCTCAGACCCTGTTTTGCATTTTGACTAACAAGTGCCTCCAAACCAACTGGCCACCTGTTAATGCCAAGCCCCGCATGGACCTTTTACTCACCTCTGCGAAACACAACACCTTGTTATCCTCTTTGAATTGGTGCGGTAAGATGACCATGTTCGTAAAGGCAACTACCTTTTTCTGTAAAAATATAACAAGTAAACAATCATCATAAGATAGGGATAGCATCAAAGCAATAAAGAAGGTTTTCAATCAGTCAGTCGATATTGATGACAGTTATATTGAAGATACAAACTATATTAGGAGTAAACCCCTGAATTTAGCATTGAAGAAAAAAGAAAAAAGCAAGCAAACAAATATTAAATCATGGACACAGAACAGATGAACAATAAATGTTTGGAGAAATAATGATCGACATGCACTATGAATATGACAGACAAAGAAAGCGGACAAAATATACAGTTCCTCAGGTAGACAAAGGAACATCCCTTCACTGCTATTATGTAAAAAGGTGAATATGCACGTGACACTGTTCTACACATTTTTACATAATAGCAGTGAAGGGATGTGTTTCTTTGTCTACCTGAGGAACTGTATATTTTGTCCGCTTTCTTTGTCAGTTATGTTCATAGTGATATATAATTATAATCAAAGGCAAGATAGTAGGATGAGATAAAACAGAAAATACTAATCTTTCCCATTTCAATTTATTGCCCCTGGTAGCTTTTATAAAAATATTCTATAACACAAATTGTGTCATCCCATGAATTTGATGATTCAAGCCATTTTTTTCAGGTGAAGTTCCCACTAATTTCACACTTTACATGTACTGAAGCCCATCAATAATGTAACATCACTAAGAAGTAAAAGTGGTCATTCAAGACAGTGGCCTTTGTGGACAATTTATCTGGTATGTTCACAATGGACAATAATGTAAAATAGAAAACATATGAGGCCTAGACAGATGCCTGACATTTTGTCATGAAATTTTATGTTTATTTTATCTTTTACTAAGCAATTACAATCTTTCTTTCAGAATAATTTTGCAGATGCTATTTACATATATTTGTAGGAATATTTGGTGATAATTTTTGGAATTTTGTTAAAGATTTTCACTGTTACTAGAACTCAAGACTACCCTTAATTTCCTTGGGGGAATGAGGATGAAGGGGGACGGTGGGGGTTGTATAAATTGTCACCTATAGCCTGTCATACAACAATAGCCAGAATTGAAGACGACTAAACTATATTTTTTACCTTTTTCTCAAGAGCCATATCTAGAAGAATACTGATGGTGACTGTCCTATTCTTGTAGAGCTCTGGTTTTCTTATGTGCGCCCACTGATCTTGGGATCGCAGCTTGTCCATAGCTTCATGGAAAGTAACCTGGAAAGGAGAGAGATGAAAGCGGATTCTTGCTGTTATCCAATCCTCATAATAAGTTCATTTGTATGAAATCAAACAAATTAGAGAAACAGAAGGACAAAGGTTTGAAATAATACAGACCAATAATAGGAGAGTTATGAATATTTGAGATATGAGATCACCAAGTCTATGCGAATGTATTTTTCTCCTCAGGGCCTTCTCCCTTGTAGCGCTACCTACAATATATTATGGATAGCATATTGTTATAGGCCCTCTACAGAAAAAAAACCTTCCTGAGTCATACATTTTTGAAAATTGAAATCTTAGTCATTTTGTGTGTTGGAACAAATGGGAAAGTTGTCCACCACTACATCGCAGAGACATTTCCGTTTCAGCCAATTTGGGGAGCCCATACAGTGATAAGTACTTTTAAGAATTCACACTTTCTCATTTATTGTCCAATTCCATTCAAACTTTCTCCAGTCCACTTCACTAATTTTTCTGTTTCCTTTAGAGTAGTTTGCTATCAAGGTTAGTTTTTCCCTTCTACTCCTTCTAGGCCACAGGTAGTAAAGTTCCTGCAAGGATAATAATGTTCTACTTTATACACAGAAACCTGCTAGAGCAACCACTTGTTTAGAAAGACCACAGATTTAGAAGACAACAATTTTGTTTCCCTTGAAATGTATTCCTGTTCTGTAGTGTACAATGACCACCTGCCTGTAAAGACCACTGTTATTGTCGCCCTTGGCCAATCTTTAAAATACAGGTTTTTACTGACTATTTGTTTTGTCCTGAAGTAGAAACAGGATTAGGGTTGATCCAATTGAAGACATCTCAAACCAAGATCAACCCATTGGCTACTGAATTCACAAAATGCTATAGGCTTAAAACATGGATTATTGGGTCCAGTATGCAATGGGTGAACTATGAAACAAGACATTTAACCCACTAAATATGGCTCCTGAAAGTTCATTTTTATGGGATAATTACTTGTTTACAATACAAGCGTGGGGGGATCTTTAGTGGAAGTCTGCACAAAAATTACAAAAGTTGGTCATTCAACATATTTAAAAGATTTAGGGTTTATTTTTAAGTTTGCAAATTGGATATTAGGATAGGTAAAGAGTTTAGATTAGGGTTGATGTTAGGAATTCAGTCAGTGTAGGATATTGACTGAATACTGAACAGCAATTGTCTCTGAAGCATGATCTACCATAAAACCTCTAAAGAATTCACCCTTTGCATGCTACATGAAACTATACATACAAGAGAAAGGAACATGAATTCCAAAAAAAATGTTACTGCTTTATTTGGACATCTTTTGCTTTCTGAATGAACCAGACTACATGACAGAACTTACCATTTGTGGAGGATAATGACAGATCATGTAGACATCATCTACTGGTCTGGCAGCCATGTAACCTTTAGGCTTCATCTCCAGGCTGAGTTCATTCACCGCCATGTCGTCCTCTGCATCTGTGTCGTCGAAGGCAACATCCTCCTTCTGGCTTGAGAGCCTGTTTGCACTGGATGATAACAATACAAATGATATTAATAATCATCATTTAAAGCCCGTCTGCACTAGTTAAGACAGGAGGATTAGACCTACCATCAAGGTCACTGACAGGTGGTTATCTCATCACATCAGCTCTCAATTAACATAAGAAAATGGGGATCATGGGGGACCAACAGGCACCGATTAGGCATTGTTTGCTATATTTTCAATTTTTCAATTTCAATTTATTCTATTCGTCATATAAAAACATACATAATTATAAGATCGATATTTACATTGATAAGTAAAGAACATACAAATAACATAACGAAAGATGAACATAAAATACAAAATATATATACGAATGAGGAACCAGCAAGAAAGAACAATTAAGTCTTATGTGGTGCTGGTCCCTTGCGACATAAAACAAATTTTAACCTAAAACACTTAACACCTTACACCTAACATCTAACACCTGATTGCATATATATAAAAACTAATAAAATACTATTCACAAAAACGTAATTGTTTGTATATCTTTTTAAATGTATACAGAGTTGGGCTTGCTTTAACATTAGGAGGTAACTCATTCCATAAAATTGTATTTTTAGAGACTGAAGTTTTAATAAGTGGTACCGGTATATGAAAATGAGATGATTGCCTAGTTCCATATGAGGGCGCAAGTAGCTATAAGTAGAGCAGTGGGGCTTTAAAGGTAAAGACCAGTATTGGAAACGCCCCAATTTCAAAAAATGAAATGGAAGCTCTTATTACCAATCATGTGAAAGAATATGTTTTGACTAATACATGATGATAACAAATTTGCCGGGAAAACGCCTACTAATTCATATATTTGGTAAACTTGTTTCTCTCATGGTTTGTGAGAGATATAGGGTAGTCCCATATACATCTTTCTGTGTATAGTGCTTGTAACTTTACGAAGAATGGGCCAAATTTCTTATCATTTTGACGATTCCAGAACCTTGCAGATGCTAGATGCTAGATGATCAACCTTTTCTGATCGATTCCACAACGTTTCTAACTGGTCTTTACCTTAATGAATATGTATCCAGCAGTCGTCTCAATGGTTTTAACCCCGAAGTGGCTCAATACTCAACAGTTACAGATTAACTATCTTACCTATGAAACAGACATCTGCTATGATGAGAAGGGAGTACATAGTTTGTCTCCTGAGGCTTGGGGAATACCTTCGTCTGTCTGGCTACCCTCATTGCTCCATGTGGAACTCTCCCCATCAGAAAGCCTGAAATCAAGAAAACACAGAAAGCTGGGTAAGACAGGGTGTGTAACGAGAATGCTCAACTTCTGGTGAAGGTGAGACATAATTTTTTTTTTTTTGGTAGACATTGGCATTTATATATTTGTCAGTACGGTAATTGGTGGCTAGTTTTGTAGGTAATCAGTTGCTTCTACACCCCCCCCCCCCGAACCCAACGGCCAACATTATACATCTCACCGAGTTATTCAAAGTACATTGATATAGTACATGAGGATCGAGCAGGAATACCAACACAGCTGACCCGACACAGCAACATGTGCATCTTTCTGGCTCCCTCGACAAGACCACTCCACCCAACAACCCCCCCCCCCCCCCCCTCTCTAACTCCCACCCGGCACCCCTTCTCTAGTATCATGCTCTTAATAAGTCTTACTCCCCTCTCTCTCTCTCCTCTTTCATCTCCTCGTTTCTATGGTTTCATTTTCATTGTTTTTCACTCTCTTTTTTTTCTTCTCCTTTTTGATCTTATTTTTTTCTTTTCTTTTCCTTTTTCCCTCTCCTTTCTTTCTTTCTTCTCATTTTCTTTCCCTCTCAGGCTCTCATCCCCCCTTTTCACTGACAAAATCCTGAAAGGAGGGGGGGGGGGGGAGGTTGCACCCCCACCCCTTTTATTTTTTTACTTTAGCGAGGCCCCTGGGCCTGGGTATATTTGATCATTTTATTTTTAGTATCTGTTTTAGAGTCTAGTCATTTTCATTTTTACTAATTTCAGAGCATTTTTAGGATGTTCTGGAAGTTTGACTTGAGTTGGGCAGAATCTTAAAAATTATCAATTTCAGTTTTATTAAAGAACTCCCTATATTATAGAATCTATTCCATAACAGACGGTTATCGCTATACGCTAGCTAGCTCGCTAATATCACACCGGCCTCACCACTGAAGCAACTAGCATGACTAGCGGGGCCGGGGAGCAGCTAGCAGGCGCGGCGCGGTGGCACAGCAGCGAGACCCTGCCGCTAGCGCACTCAGTGCTCACGTCTCACGACCACGACGCGCTCCCCTATTTTTCATCAGACTCTGACCTCTGCTGACAGCATGAAATGAAAAAAAAGAAATCAAATGAACACACAAACAACAATTAACAAAATTAATATCGAAAAAAGATTGCACCAACCAATCCTATTGAAAGAGCCACACACTGTCCTTGCAAGAAATTCTGAACTCATGGAGGCTGCCATTTTGAAAGACCATAAAGTACAGGAGCGAAAGAGGGAGACAGATATAAACTCGCATACACATCCATGTTCCTTCCTTCCTTCCTTATTTAAAAAAAAAATTAAAAAAATGTACAAATTTATATAATTTGAGATTTTTCTATTTTCATCGTTCATCAATTGATGTAATTCATGAAATGTCTTGTATTGAAGATCACGTTTTATATTACTTATTGTGATAATTTCTTATAATGTCAAGTTTATGAGGAAGGAAATCAAATATCATTTTAAAACAAAACGAAAAAATGTTGGGACGAAAATTGTACAAATATTATTCCTTGCGTACCAGTATTTCTGTCCTACAAGTTCCATATAATTTGTTTTTAAAGTGTTCATCATATTTAATCCACATCAGAGGGATATAGGGGGAGGGGGCTATGCGCAGGCCCGTAGCCCCCCCCCCCCCCCGGCCCCCAAACATCAAACTCTGGCTACGGCCCTGGCTATGCGGGATCGGGGATGGAAGCTCCCGGCCCCCCTTTCATTGATTAATCAGACGGGAAATAAAGTCAAATTGTCCCCCGCTATTCTATGTCTTTATTATGCAACCATAACTCAAAACTCTTTGCTTGTTAGAAAATTGGGAACAAAACAACATCCCATAAAATGGGATGATTTTAAAAAGATATAAATTGGGGTAAAGACTAGAGACATTCATAAAAGTAATTGAGTATATTATTAATTTGCCCCTCAACATAGATGGATTTCCAGAGAGTAGGATATACTGAGTATTCTGCTCTATCATTTGATCTTGCTGAATTGCGTGTAGGTAGAGAATGAAAAGTTAAACGTGCAATCTTATTTTCATTGCCTAATTTTCTGTGTGCGTCGGGGGTTCGGAGGATTACATTTTATCCTTTTGTGCCAGATCTTTTTAATTTGTAAACTATGCAGCCGATGCCCACAAGAGGGGCGTTTACATTCGGACTGGAATTGTCTGTCGCCACATAATAGATATGTATATATTTATGTTCGGGGGGGGGGGAGGGGGTAATTGCTTGGAAATGTTTCAGGTTAATACCCCTCTGGCCAGTATCAAACATTTACGGCGGGTATATAATTTATGGCTACAACTAAACATTCCTTTTGTTTCAACGAACGACGTCATATCTATTTTGTTTGCGACAGGGGCGACGAAGCGTCTTTTGAAATATGCGTGTAACTTGGGGGGGGGGGGGGAGAGGGCCATAACTTCCTTGAAGAAAATGGCTCCTGCAAAGCGAGATATAGATTTATTTGTAATAGAATACATTTTCAGGGATGTCTTCAAAAAATATATTATTGTCTTTGAGTGGTCAAATCCCCCCCCCCCCCCCCCCCCACTCCGTGCACGGAGGGATACCATGCTGGTTACCAAAATGTCCGGTAAAGGGGTACTTTTCACGCACTAAAGTCCGGCTCGTAGTACACAAAAATCCGGCCCGTATTGACTTTACATACGGCACTTAGGGGGGCGTTTCAAAAGGAGGGAACATGCATATGCGTACCCTAAATAACACTGAATGGGGGGGGGGGGGGCGTGCTTCGATTTCGAGTGTGTGGTGTTTTGAATGGCGAGCGAGCAAAATATTTGAGATTTGTATACGTGAGTTCAGATTAGATTTTAATAAGGGGATACAACCAATTCTGAATGGGTTTAAAGCACGTCATAATTATAGAAGTAAGATCTTTAGTAGTTTACATAATTACATAATCTATAAATGAGAGAGAGTGTTTATATCTTATTTTTAGCAAAATTGAATAAACACTTTGTATTTCAAAACACGAGTGGGAAGTATAAGTATGCATGAAGGGCACTGAATTATCAAAGGGCAATTACTTAAATTAAATCAGAAAAGGAACACCCTCATCGAAAGTAACGAGGGGGAACGTATAATATTTGGAAGGGGAACGTATTAGAAAGGTGAAGGGGCATTGGGTTACTTATCAGAAGTGAAAAGGACACTTATCAGAATGGAAGAGGGCACTTAGAAACTCGAAAGGAAAGCGGGCACGTGCAACAAATGAAATGAGTTGAAAAGCGGCACTTCCCTACCGTAAAAGGGGCAATCTTCAGAAATTAAAATCGGGCATTTACAAGAAGGGGGAATAGGCACTTATTACAATTAGGATAATGGGCAAACAACCAGATTTTTATGGGGGCGTTTAAGGTGAAAAGCCGGGGCACTTCATAAACAGAAAGAAAAAATGGGCGCCTATCAGAAATAAAAGGGGCGCCTTTGGGGATACTTAAATTAGTGAAGGAGGGCACGACACTGTGTACACCCCCCCCACCTGGCGCTTCGGGAGCACCGCCTTTGGTTTGATATTTTTTCAACATTTGATTTTTAGAGAGTGAACCAACACCAGCTTTCGACACCGAACTTGAAATCCCTCAGTGTAGTGTCCCCATACTGTACTATCATCGTGCATTTCAAGCGTGCGTACGTGTGTTTTGTGTGTTTGTGCGTAAAAAAATGGCTCGAACGGACGCGTACGTACGTAATGGTGATTTACTTGAAATATAATTTGCCTGCCATTTTGTGAAATTGCTGAAGGAAAACATAATAACTAAATGTACTATTTGTCTCTTTGCCTCCTGAACTGGTGAAAACCGACTCCATGAAGGTAAGTCCAGGTATTCAACTAATTTTGTGGACGGTTACTGAGTGTGATCCCTTCATGAAACGGGTATAAATTGGCATTGAATTCGCGTGTTGTGGAAGTGAAGTTTTGTAAGTAACGCTTTCCAATGGAGGCCCTTTGTTTGACATGCATTACATTTAGAACGTGTGCGAGTCTATGGTGACTGCGTATGATCTGTATGTGTGTGTGCATAGGCTAGTGTGAGTTTGCAAGGCGACATGATTTTGATAAATGATAATTTTGTAAGTGTAGTCTAAATTTACAAGTTGTATAACTTTTTTTTTTGAAAACGTGAGAAGTTTTAAGGAATAATAGGTGCGAATGTCGAGGATTTGGGGATTGTCAATGACTGGGGGAAATTGAGTTCTCCAAAAAGAGGCATGAACTTCAGAAGTGAACATGATTTTGTCTTCTCGCTATTCACCACTCGACACTCGTGTGGTGAATAGCAGCATTGTGTGTCGGAAAAATATTAAGAGTTTAAGACACCCTTTATTGATCCTCAGAATTCTCAAACACCAATGTACGAAACTCATGAGAATTCACAAAAAATCAGCACATTTGTGACAATTGATGACACGTAATAACAGGGGCGCTGGTCCAAAAAACAAGGAACGTTCGCTTCGACAAGGTTCATCTACGTAAAGGCGAACAGACTTGTCCGCAAAAAATAAGGATAGTTTGCATTTTCGCAGACGTTTCTTATTTTTGATCCGCGCATTGGTGATGCGAAAAACGGATTCCGTGATGATGCTCCTTGACGCATTTTGCACTTACTTTGCACAGAGACTATCACGTTATGAACGATAAATCCTTCGGAAGATAGACAACCCAGTGCATGGATCCGGAACCCTACCACCGCATAGCGCCATAGAAAAAAAAAACGTCCGCAAATTTTTTGGCGGATCCTTATCTTTTAGGACTCGATTTGTCCGCATTCATGAGGATAACTTTGTTGACGATCCTCATTCTCGGACCAGCACCCCTACTGATTGATGACACTTAAATAGCAGGAAAATTCAATCTGTTCAACTAGCTCTGAATTGGAAATCTGTTGTCAATCCTAGAGAATAGCCGCTTTGTGTTCAGTGTGAGCAATTCTTGATAACAACAATAGTGGGCGAGCGCTCGAATCTCTGAACGAAAAATTGCACTCAACCAGAATATGAGTACTTATCGCAAACACGAAAGAAGTCCTGATTTTTGTGTGCAAGACATAGGCGTGCGATCATTGCGATGTAGACCAAGTTGGGAGAAAATATATTGGAATAAGATGATGGATCATTCTACATGTACTTTGTTTTTGTAGGAGGTATTTTTGTCCCTCAGATTTTGCCAATGGCACTTTTACGTGTACAATGTACATGTAAATGTACATGGTCAATTGCAGCCGTCATTGACAAAACCCCACATCAACAATAGGGTGTCTGAACGATTTTTCAATTTTCAATTGATATTTGAATTAAAAATGTAATCCGAATAATACATTTCAAATTTCAAGTCTCACCAATGTTTCTATCAAAAGATACAGCCCCTCCGAAACGCTGCAATATTCATAGGATTTTGCTCAGAATCGACGAAAAAGACGTACACGCAGAGTCATGTTGTTTTGCTAAATTGAGCCAAACAGCTGTATCGCGCGATATGCAAGCGTATGCATAGCGTACGCATGTCATGCACAACTTGCAGCTTGAGCCACGCTGTGCCATTGACTAGTACGGCTATCCATACTTTCATTCACTATACACGCAGATGTTACGGGATGTAACCATGGTTTGGTCTGAGCGGAGCTCACACCTCCCTAATTAGCTGATTCCAAAAATGTGGGAAGGGTATTTTAAACTGTTGGGGCAAGTGATCACTTGGGGCTAGCGAAAAAATAAGTGCATACATATTTTTCTTACGTCTAGCCGGACATAATCCCGGGGGGCGCAGCTCAGGAAAGTGGCAAATTTTGGAGCTAGGATGCAAACAACATTTAAATCGCTGTTTTGACCAAGATATTTTTAGAATTTTGGGGGTGTGTCCCTTTGGGGAATATGGAGAAAAACCTGCTCTTCATATGACACCTCATTTATTGAGTTTCTCCTTCAGGATCACTAGCCCCAAAGGTTTGAATTTCAATTTTTTCATAAAATCATTGACCAATTTTCATGGTCGCGCAATGCATGTAGACTGCATGGATGCGTGCAATCTCTATGGGAAGTATTTTAGCACACAACATCGGGTGCGCGATCAGACACCCTATCAACAATTAACATCAGACAAGTTGATCATTCACACACACAAACCTCTGGCTCTTCAAAAATGATATGATCATGCCCTCGTTGTTCAGTATTTATATCGTAGGTTGTTCATTGTAGACGATCAAAGTTATATAAATGTGTTACATTTTCTCAGTTCTCTAATGCGGTACTCCACTTGTACAATCATAGTCTATTAAATGCACATTAATGTTTCATTCTGCTGATTTCTCTCTATGTTTCACATCTCAGAGGCCACCAGGATGCCCAAAGATAAATATGATAAAGACAAGTACGACAATCACAGTCACCACAACGGGATCGGGATCGGGATTGGAAGTCACAAGGGCCACAATGGGATATCGACTACGACTAGGGGCCATCGAATCATGTCACAGGACGAGGTGATCGGGGGCAAGAAGTCGCACTGGGAGGGGCTAGAACTTACAGGTAAGCAGTTAAACCCTTGATTACTGAATTATCTAATCCCCATAGCCTTAATTCAGGGAACATCAGGTTCCGGTAAGCAATGGGTTGATAGACCGGTTTACTGACATATAAATTCAAGTTCATGGATGTTTCTTTCCTGGGGACCTGGTGACAAGGTATTCTATGAACCTTTTATTAAGGAATGAACTGCAAAACTTGGAATCCGCTCTGCATGCATTACTTGTAAGTTGTTGCTATGTCAGACCAGCCTTAAGCAATCTTACAGGTTGTCAACAATATCAGTGTGAATAAAATTTGAATATGCTGGTCTATTGGTTCATCAATATATTAAAGAATTGATGATGATGATGATGAAAAAAGTTATAGTATTGATGATGACGTCATCTGTGCTCTTGTGGTCATGGAACTCCTTTTGAAGTCATGAAAAATTCTGGAAACTAAGTTATTCAAAAAAAATATGTATGAATATTTTTTAAAGAAATGTAATTTTACATCATTCATTCTCTTTACTAAAATAATTAATTCTTCTAAATTGTGATGATAGAAAAAGGTTATTAGATAAGAATTTTATCTGGTAGAGAAGGGCAGGAACCCAATGTTTGCGTTTTTGTTTTTTGTTGTCCCCATCAAATTAGAGAAAAAAAACTAACAAACAAACATGGATCTGATAATATGGTTTGACTTTGACACATCTACAAGCTTGTCTGTTTTGTTCTGTTCAGGTACTATACGCAATATTAGTCCGCAGCTTTGGAAACTAAACCATTTAACCGTGCTGTACATGACTGACAATCAACTGACCCGAGTGCCTGCTGATATCTGTCAGCTAACTCATCTCATCAAACTAGACCTGTCGTATAACAAGCTAAGGAGCCTACCGGTAGAGATAGGGGACCTGATCTCTCTCAGGTATGTTGTCAGTCACCACAGTGATATTGATCCATATTACTCTATTAATTGGTTTTGTTTTAATGATGATGATTTTTTTTTTTATCTTGATACGTTTTATTGGTCAGAAAACAATGATTTACAGAATATGTGTTACATTTTTTTGCAGAAAAATAAATTAATAATCATATTGTTTTACACTTACAATCATGTCGTTCACATTACAGTTCTACATGACACATTACAGTGATGATTAATGATGATGAGGATGATGATATGAGCTTAATCATCTCATTGAACTAGATCTGTCGTATTTATAACAAGCTTAGGAGCATACCATTTGGAACCTTATCTCTCTCTGGTACTTGGGTTCCTTAGGGAAAAAATTAATGTTTATATTCCGGGGGCTACTTTTCAAGCTTGTCTGCCTGAAAATAACATTCTAAAATTTGTTTTTCATTGAACTCTGTAAATTTATGGGGGCTCTTTTCTGATTTTCGGGGGCTTATTTGGGCACTTCGTGGGCTGTTTCGCCCCGAGCCCCGTGTATTTTTTCATGGGCTTATTACCATTGTGGTAATAATGAGAAAGATATTTGTTAATGAGAAAGATACTTGGCCTAAATGATGTTGGCAGTTCCCTGTAAATGTACTCATGTCCTCAAGCAACACTAGGATAATTCTTCATAAAAGCCACTGATTGAGATATCAGACCATACCCCCACCCCTATCAGAGAATTGTTTTCTTGGTGATAAATATGGATCTTTTTAAATTGTAGGTAATGAATAAATTTGTATAAAGAAGATAAAGCTACATGTAGGCGTCTAATTTCATCAAGTTACGTGAAAATCTGTTGTGTACAACAACAAACATACCGGTACACGTAGAAGCCTATTTTTAGTAATTAGAGATGGACTTCATCTTTCACAGTTATCTTATTGCCATGGTGATGTTGATGTTCATGACGTAAGCTACATGTACGCTTTCATGATGTGTACACATTGTAAGATGTTGGTGTTTATTCTCTTTAGAGTATATACTTTTAATTGAAGGTACATGTAACTCATTCAACTTTGCTTGATAATAATGAAGCTGTTACAGATTTTATTCAGGAAATCTATAAATTCAGTGATTATGATGAAGAGTGTTAAACAATAGTGATGGTGGTAAGATTGTAGAATAATGTGGTGATGAAGAAAAAATGACACATTCAAAACTTTCTAGAACGGTTTTTCTTACTTTTTTTTCTTTTTCCAGAGAGCACATGTATATTTATGCAATATTGTACATGTTCATATAGCTACCAACCAAATTTTTTGTAGTTTTTGGAGTTGGTAGTTGGAACAGAGATTTCACTCAGACACATCAATAAATTGATTTACTACTGTAATTCCTAGGGAATATCAATTCATGGCGGGGGCGATTTTTCATTATATATCAATTTTTTTGCCCTTGTCTTGATTTTTACCGTGGCGATTGCAGAGGTTTAGGGGGCGAATCGCCCATCGCCACCGTGTATTTTTTTCGTTGACAGCTACAGTACTCATAATCTCCACTTGCAAAACTTTCCTTTCCTTTGTTGTTAAATGGGATGACACAAATGTAATAGATGAATTGGATAAGTTTAATAATGGGGATGAATTTTCAGAAACTACATGTACACCTGTATGAATCATTGTAGGATCACAGATCAGACATAAACAAACCTAACATCAAACATGATGCCAATCATGCCATACATTTAATATACCGGTTCATAACTTGTTGAAACAGATGAGATTTATCGGCAAGATAACAAATACAAAATGGATAAATTCTGTTGAACTTCTTGTTTATATGTACATGTACCGTAATCTGGTTCATATACCGGTACAGGTAGCAAAGCTTGATGAAATAGATGAGATTTATGAGAAAGATAACAAATACAAATGTATAAATCATGTCAAAATCCTTGTTTACAAAGTACAGTACTTGTACATGTACAGTACATGTACATGTAGGCTACATGTATAAAGCATACCCGTTGTTTTGTATACTAGAAAGGAATGAAGTACCATCATTTGATACCAATTCTAACAAAAGTGCTTGTACTGTCATATTACTTGTAGTATCATATTACTTGTAGCTCCCATTCCTCCCAATCATAGTTTTGGTTGCGAGTTCTTCAGCCTTTTCACACACAGCTAAAATTCTATAACCATGATTAGTTTAAAGACATCATTCACACACATAAATTTTGGTGCGATCGTTAATTGTTTCGTGATTAACTTCTGCTCTTAAAATGCGCAGTAGTGCCATTGCGCATTGAAGGTCAGGTCATATCAAACGAAGCACACGCTCCATCCAGTTTAAACACGTTTAAACCGTTCACACACAAAATGTCAAGCTCTCTAGGTACGAACTTCGTATCTGCAGCCTGCTTTGAGGGGCATATGAATCGCGACTTCGTATCTATCCGAACATCATATAAACGATGTTCACACGGAAAATTTTCCTTAAAGGTGTTTGAAACTGTTGAGTTAAACATGTTTATACTAATCTCTAGTTACGATGGATTTTAGCTGTGTGTGAAAAGGCTGCTTCTATTTTCCCCTTGAGATGTAGAATTCCATTCACACTTTCAGGTTTAGATGGAAAATATATCTTCAAAATATCTTCTGAAAAAAAAATTACAATGTACATCAAGTAGAAGAAAAAGAAAACTCAAATTTTGATAGGCCATGTTTAGGTTTTGTTAAATTACTTTCGTTGTTTTGTTTAAATTGTTAGAGGCGATAATTTCCAGTGTCATTTGTGTTTACTTCTGATACATGTACCGGTACTGTCGATGTAAGGCCCATTTACTGTCAATTACACTTTTTGTGTGCAGAAAAACCAATTTGAAAAAACCATTGTTCTATTTTAATTACCATTAATTTACAACACTGGAGAAAAAACCTCATTAAACCTGCTGCATTTGTTTATTCTGTGTTGGAGGAGGGGGGAGGGATGGGGGGGGGGGTAGGGGGTAGGTGTCTGCATGCACCACTTGTCGCTGCTCTGCATGCATTGGCAGGTGAGGCGAGTCACATGACCCAAAACACGAAATAGTTCACTGCTGTTATGAGCGTGCGCGTTTACACTGAAATAACTGGTGGAGTTTTCGGCTGCTGTTAAAAAAAACACTCTCCAAAGATAGGTTTTTTGTTGTGTTTTAATTAGTTTCCTAGCATTTTAGCAAATCAACTTCCTATAAAAAATTTAGGAATAACAGAAAAAGTTACAAATCTATGTTTTGTGCTTGCAGTGGAAATGTGGCTGTAGCGTTAGTCTTCAGTTGGAATGATAACACAGGGGAGGAAATATTGATTTAGGGAGGCAAATGTTTGGACGGGTACTGAGAAAACAGGAAGCCTGACGAGTTATATACTTACATGTATAACGTTAATTGGGAGTTTTTTTTACTGTGATGTCACATTGGCGGAAGCTGCATGTTCAGGCTGTTACTTGGATGTTGTGTCAATTCTTAGCTGCCATCTGAAAGATCTTTGCTGTGTACACAATTATTTCTGTTTTACATGAGACCTGCTTTATTAATGCAAAGAAGTTGCCATGTACAGTGAACACGTACTGTACATGTATGCAATCATGAAAACAAATTTGTGATATTTTACTATCGTAAAGTCTTGCATATATTACATGTGCCTGTACATCGTAATTGCCTATCAATGTGAACCTCACTGCACAGTGGAAATATGAAAGTAAATGGTTGAGGTGTTTTGTATTGTATTCACTTAATATTGATGTGTCTCAAATACAATTAATTTGACTGGTTCTGCAGTACATGTAAATGTACATGTATGTAGAGTTGCTGAGCTTGCAGAAACCCTGTAGTATATCATGAATTGAAAACGGTGACAGATTCATTTACATAAGTATACAGAGTTGCTGGACCGTAAATTATAGTACAAAAGTGTTTAGAAATTGTATGTGTACCCAATACCACATGTAGTATTTACATGTGTATTTATGCATACCTAACTTGACACAATATTTTTACCAAAATATCAAATAAACATGTTTATCATACTGCCTTTTTTTTCTCTCAAAAATTTCCAATATCTCCTGGCTATTTTTCAAGATGGCCGCCAGCTTTTATATTTTATTTTTTCTGAAAAAGATTTGATTTTGATCAGTATTGGTTTCGTAATTTTTCAGAAAGAAAAAGGGGAAGAAAAATCAGGCTTACACTGTACATTACAGGCGACCCAAGTGGGTGGGGATGCTAATTGCTAACCATGATCCCCCCCCCCCCCTGCCTAAAACATCCTAGATATTAATACTAGATACATTCTAATACATTATGATGGACTACATGGCAAGTGTCCAAAAACATATTGGCCTCACAACAATCAATTGCCTTCTCCATGCTGTTACAATTCACTCATAACCTGGCAGAGTAAAGGATTGTAAAGGTACTCTTCAGGAGATTACTGTCTATTTCAAGTACAAAAGTTCTTTATAAATGCTCTCTTTTGTTATTCATCAAACAAGGACATGTTTGATGCATGTAGTCATCAAAGTGAAGGAACGCTGGCTCGGCTTGCATCAGCCTCCCACACGATTTCGTTTTCATTGTTTGTGTGTGTTTGTGTATATGAGGTGCAATGCAGTCACCTTCCCACACACTGATGTGTATGAAGGGATTTCCCTATACTTACGTGCCTTGAGTCCCAACTTGTATTCATTGGAAACCACATTGTTAACCACTCAATGCCCTATTGATAAAGGCTTTTGTTGAATTTGCCATGACCCCCTGTGTTAAGGTTCCTTTATTCCTTGAATGGATGAACTTTATATGTGGGTTCCAAGTACATGAAGGCCTACATTTGTACATGTACTCAGACAAAAAGCTTAATGTGTACATAATCAATTTTATTTTGTTTACTGGAATTCTACACTGGAGATTACATGTTCAATACACAACCCTAAATTGCTATTGGCCTGGTTATTATGCATTCATCACGAATACGCAGTTGCCAAGTTTTTTTCACCGCAAATGCCAAGTTTAGTACAGTAGTATGCCTTCACCGCCTGCTGACACATGTACATGTACATGTGCATGTGATATACATTAGTCCATTGTAGTCCTATATCATAGATGTACATGTTTCATGACCCCAAAACATGTAGGGACTTTTTTGTAGCAATTTGTAACTGTTGATCAATGTGCTGTAGATGTAGGCGAATTTTATGTCTTCAATTCAAATATGTATGTACTGTACATGTGTTGAACATATATGTAATGTGTCTTTATGGCCAATTGAACTCAGCAATTTGCACTTATTTACATTACACTAATAAAGGGTTCCATAAAACTGAACCAGCATATTTCTGCTCACTGTGTACATTAATGTACATGTACATGTAGTCAACTGGTAGTCAACAACTAAATTATTCATACTATCAGTCATTACTAAGTTTTTTAATTTTCAAAGTATGTGAAAAGTTTCTTGAGAACAACAAATGCCCTCATTCAACCAGTGTTTTTTTCATTCTTGAGTAATAAAAAAACACCTAACACATCAAATTTACAAGGGGTATGAAATTTATGAATAATATATGCCCCTTCCCCCATACTCAAGAAGCTCTCTCTAAATGCCCTTTTTCATAGAGGAGGTACATGTACAATTCTACATACAGTGTACAACATGTACATGTGTGGGCCTGTGGACCGTGGTTTATTTTGCTGGCATTAAACAGTAATAAACACTCTGTTGCTTCTGTATCGACTATCGAAACTAAGGATTGCTCTTACAAATTCTCTGAAAAGGGATTGTTGACTTTATCGTGAACTGATTCATGCAAATTTTCTGTGGACTATCAGGTGCAATGTAAATAGAAGTTTTATACAATGTATGTGTCTGGATATGTGCCAAGTTTCCTTGTCCTTCCTCTTTGTTCAACATGGTGATATTGTCATAAAAAATGATTGTTCTTTTTTCTTTTAATTTGTTTTAAAATACTTATTTTGCATTGAATATAGGGGAAGAAAATCCCTACAATTTTAAAGAATGATCCATTGTTCAGTAGGAAGATGCATACACTGTACATGTATGGTTATTTTTCCAGCAAGGATGATGAGAATTGTCCTTGTCCCATTCACACTGTACATTTAAACATGAAGGAATAGCACCAAATGATCAAAATCATCATAATAACTAGATGTGTTACGCTTTCGCGGCAATCATTCCACATCTTGTGGTTTAGCTCAGTAGCGTTTGATTCAGAGCCCTAAAAAATATGCCAGATGCATGAGTAGAGAGGGCAAACAAAAATCTTTTCATTTGTTGTATGACTATCTTTTGTTTGATGCCAAGAATTTTGAAAAGGAGAATAAAAATCTTTTATAATAATAATAATAATAATAATAATGGGTTCTTGTATAGTGCTCACGTCAGTCAGATTTGACCCTTCTGGCACCGCATTGAGTTTGAAATAAAAATTGGTAATCTTTTCACTTTTTGACAACATTCCAGCTCGTGTCTATTGTTTTCAGAGACATAACAATTTAGTAGAGAAATAAAGCAATAACAGAAAAATAATGTTGTTGCCAATTTTAAAGACAATACAATGTATGTGATCCGTTTAGCCCTAAAAATAAATCCTGTCCTGGAAGGGTGAAAAAAAAATTGTATTTTACCTATACCTGTACCATTGTTACCTCTTGTTTAATCTTGCCTCCCAGCACCCCTCTCTCTCTCTCTCTCTCTCTCTCTCTCTCTCTCTCTGGATATATTTCAAACATCTGTTTAAAAAAAAAAAGACAATGGGTTTCACAGTTGAAAGTCTGTGGATAATATACTGTACATACATGTACATGTAGTCATGTTCACCCCTCCACTTGAGCAGAAACATATTTTTCCTACAATCGAACAAAGGATTTTCTAAACAGGTTGCTCAACTGCTTAATATTTATGGCACTTGGCAGTTGGAACCACATTTGCACCTTTATTCTACCCTTCTTATTTAATAATTATGATAAAATATGTCTTGGTTGAACAATTAAGAGTCGGTAAACATGAGCCCTATGTAAAACTTTCAGAATTTTTTTGGGGGGTCCATACTCCAGATTTAGATTTATGGGTACCCGTATGTCCTGGGGGTCTACATTAATAGTGTCAAGCCCTGTATAAAGGTACAGTTTATTTGAAAAAGTAATTTGAGTGTACCAAGTTTTTGATATGTGTGATAATGTGTCACCTGCAAACTTATTTTTCTTCCTTTCGGGGCTGGAGGGAAGGGGGAAGGGGTGATTACCGGTATAGTTTCAGAGTTTGAACTTTTGTGACACGTGTGGGTAATTCACACCCATGTTCATGACTTAATGTGCCAGCATTAATGTTGTAATTCTCAACATTGTACGTTTGCCAACACACGTATACCTCACATGTACAGTGTGCTCGCCGATTTATCATGGTTTCCTTTTTCTCATCTCTTATTTCCCCCACCTCAGGGAATTAATGCTGAACAACAACCAGCTGCGGTTGTTGCCCTACGAGCTGGGGAGGCTCATCATCACCCTGCAGGTGCTAGGTCTGAAGGGAAATCCCCTTGCCTCAGATGTCATGGGTATCTACAATGAACCCAAGGGGACACACAAGCTCCTCTCCTACATGTTAGACCACATACATCGTAAGTTTCACATTTATCTATTACCTGTGCCATGATTGAACTCAGGTGGGTTATCATTTTAGACCATATACCGGTACATGTACATGCATATGTGCACACATGTACGCCGAACAGTATAGTACTAGTCAAATCTGAAGGGAATTCCCCTTGCATCCTAGGTCGTGGATATTTATAATGCTACTGACTTCCTTAATTTCTGCCTGGCAACCTTTATTTTTGCCTGAGTGAAAAACTGACGGAAACAAAAATCATGCACAATTAATATTGTTTCACAATAAGTACAGGTACATGTACAGGTGTGTTAGAAAATACCACTAAAACGTTGATTTCCAATCTAAGGAAGAGGTTGCACACCTGGCAACCGTCTAACCCGTGAGAGCACATCACGGGATGTCGACCTTTTGCTTGGCCCATGGGCGCCTGCTCCCCTGAATTAGCAGCGATGAACGCTGTTGATTTCTGGCTTAAACAACCCCTTGCAGTGTTCTTAATCGAGTTTTCCCCCACTGATGGAATCAATCAATCAAACAAGTGCCATGTTAGACATTGGTTGTTTTATATTATGTTTTGAAATGATTCACATTTGACTGATTGTGGTTGTGGTTTGACTGACCATGAATCATCTGAAGTTAGATTGGCTGTTGAATTAGAAGCTGTATGATTGAACTTACGTGGTTTACATGTACAAGTCATTCATGTTTGAAATGCATCGACAGTTGTTATCGGAAGTCGATCTAGATAGCCACATGTTGTTTCCATGCATGTAACTATCCAGGGACCATTTAAACAGTACTAAAATCAGACTACATTATATTATTGTGCAGATTTGTAGAACTTTGTATTTTTCTATGAATACACTTTACTAATACTCTCAAAACTTTCTAATTAATGCACACAATTTATCAAATCCCAGAAATGTGTGCAAGTTTTGTGCTGCACAAGAAACTGAATTTTGCCAGGTTTTTGCAAATTTCTTGCTGCATAATGCCTCATGCTTTTAAAATTAGTGAATGTTTTATCTTTTGATAGTATCTGGTTGTATGATTTGATTTCTCTCTTTTAACATGATATATTCTATTTTTATTTGTCCTGATAGCCCCAGGCACACTGCCCCCAGCAAGGCCTTGGATCCAGCTATCAAATCCAAACAGAAATAAACCATCAGGTAAGATTCCATAACTAATACATCATAAATAGATATTGTTCTTAATCTGGGAAACTCTTGAATCTAATGACATGTTCTGGTGAACCTTAAGATTTCAGTGCCAAGCTGACTCGGTACCATGCCTCATGTTTTTAAGCATTTAAAAAAAATGAATGAAAAAAAAAAGATGAAAAAAAAATTAAGGGAAAAAAAGTGTGTTGAACTCTTATAGCACTTGAAAGCTCCCCAAAAGCTGTGGTAAATTGAAGGAGAAAAAAAAGGTCTGCTAAAAACAATTAAAGAGATTATTTATATCACTATGAGAAAATCACACTTTTACAATACCAAATCCTTAAATGCTCCCACCTACGGAGAATTAAAAAAAAATTAAATCTGGTTGCCAAATTGAAGTGAAGACATTTTTTTGAGCACTGAATCCAATTTGATGGATCTTCTGTAATAATAATAATAATATTTAGCTTTTATATAGCGCTTAATACGAATGTCTCTAAGCGCTTTACAAATCTACTACTAAGAAGTCACCACTTTGGGCTAAGCTTGCCCTTTACAACGCAACCATGTTTTCTGATAACAAGCAATTAGCGAGAGATAAAGGCGTTATTGAGATGAATAAGTTATCAGTGCAAGCATCGCATCGATATTATATATTCACTTTACCTGTATGTGTATATGTGTATCTTGTTTTATATCTCTTTTTACCTGCCCCTCGGGGGTAGGGGATGACAGAAGGGCATAAGTAGACGTAGAAAGAAGACGTAGAAAGAAGAAATGAGATTCTGATGGTAGATACAGTATTGCATGAAAGAAAGTAGACAGTCTCACACTGTGTCACGTGTGACTGCATGTATTATTCGATAGACTTTGGTGTGCCTTGGTGGTATTTGTCTACTTTATTTCAAGCATTACTGTATGATGTACAGTATTGCAATTGTGATGAGAGCCGTACAGACCTACAGCTTTGTGTATCACCCTTCTGTATACACATATTATTTCAATCTCTCAATCTATTCACAGTTGCCAATGAATTGGCGGTTGACATTGCAACATTTTAATATAAATGCTAATGAATATCATCAAAATTGTCAAAGTGTAGACGGCATAATTGAATTATATCACAGAGGATCAGTGATAAGAAATTCCTGAATAGTCTGACAACCAGACTTATAATTCATTAATATCATTCCTGACTGAAAAGATTTTCTGGTCAAAAAAAATATGAAGTCTGTTAAGTATGACAGGATAAAACCAAGTCTAGTTTTCATGTTTTACTTTGGATGTCATTTAGATTTGATGTTAATGGGTCTTATGGCAAGACAAGTCGTAAAAAAACAAAAGTATGATCAGACAAACACACAATGAGCAATAACCCAATCCTGATCCAGGTTTCTTTATGAACAACGTTTTGTGCGCCACACAACAGATCTATTCCTACTGCCTTTTCCTTGACATGTTCATGCAGCCATATTCTCTCTGATGAGTTACAATGATCTATCCAACAAGTAGATCTCTTCCCGCTTTCACACAGGGCTAAAATTCTGTAAAGCTTTACTTATGATATCATTCACACACAGACAATTTTGGTGCGGTTGTTAGAGATCACTGCTATAAGCGGCAGGTGTTTACTATCAGACAGATTGGCGCGGGCTAATTGGCGCTGGTCTTAGCTTGCCCAGTTAGGGACGTACCTGTATATCATTTCACACACAAAATGTCTCGCCTCTAGATACGGACTTTGTATTTGCAGCCTGCTCTGACCAAGTTCGTATCTGTCCGAACATCGTATATTTTGATGTTCACACAGGGAAAATTTACTCTAAAGCTGTTTAGTTAAAGAGCTTTAACCTAAACGGCTTTAGATTAAATTCGTTCACACACAAAATATCTTGCCTCTAGATACGGACTTTGTATCTATCCGAACATCGTATATTTTGATGTTGACACAGGAAAAAATTTACTTTAAGTTAAAGTTAAAGAGCTATAAACAAAATAGCTTTAAATAGCTGATGACTTTTACCCCTGTGTGAAAAGGCCATAAGTCTACTAACCCTGTTCCTTTTCCTTGACATGTTCCTGCAGCTATATTCTCTGTGATGAGCTACAACGTTTTGTGCGACAAGTACGCCACAAAACAGATCTACGCCTACTGCCCCACATGGGCACTGGAGTGGGAGTACAGGAGAAAAGGGATCATGGATGAGATTCTCAGTGCCAGTTCAGATATCATCTGTCTCCAGGTGAGTGCAAATTTAATTTTTAAAGCCCCACTGCACTACTTTTGGCTACTTGCGCCCTCTATATAGCAAACAACGCCTAATCGGTGACCCATGGTCCCCTTTTTCTTATGTCAGTTACCATGCAGATAGGCTTTAAATGAAATCTTACGGTATGCTCCAATGGCAAGTACATCTGGGCTTAATTTTGTTAAAGATATGGGTTGGCCTCTTTTTTAGCCTCTTTAAGGATACTTACCTGTTTACTATCCATGCCAAGAGGGTTACCATCATGCCCAAAATATGAGGGTTGCAGTTGGGGTAACTTAAGGATTAATGTTAGGGTTATGTATACAAATTGGCTCAGTATGCTAGTAATACTTTAATACCACAATAGAAACTTATGTTATTCATAATTTCTGGAAAATACACACATTGTAGTTGTGTTTATAGAAACTAAAATAATTTGTGTTTATAATCTTCCTTTTCATTTCCTTCATATACTTCCTCCAGCTGTAGTCTCCAGTTTCCTCTCATTGTGAGCTAGATTGGCATTAACTCATATTTCCAGGGGGTGTTTCACAAAGAACCAGAGCCATTTGTAGCCTTAAAATAAAATATATTCAAAAGCAAACATTCAAGTATTTAGACTTTTCATAACTTCAACATTAAGAAAAATTGAAATCTCCTTGATAATAGAAAATATGAATGTTTTGATTCAACATTTTATGCCTTTTTAGATAACTTTTACAAAATATTTTCATAGATGCTAACGGCTTCCCATAATTTTTAAGTCCAACTTAGAGATAAGTTCAACTTAGGATCTTTGTGAAACACCCCCCAGCAGGATTACTATCACTGATTAATCACTCTCTTAATGCTTATTTATTTTCAATTATATTTTTTAGTAGGAAGTAGAAACAAAACAGTGTTGCAATTTCTTCAACCTGACCGAAGAAAAGTAGAGAAAATATCGTTTTGGTGTTCCGTATTATTGTAAGGACAGTCAATGAGAGCTTTTAGTATCCAGGCCCTGTCTTACAAAGAGTTGATATCAATCGCAACTATGTACATAAGAGATAGGAGATTGCAATCTTGAGATTGATTACAGGACTTGCGATTGATTTGGATCAATCGCAACTCTTTGTAGAACAGGGCCCCGTACTATATTGATGCAGAAGTACTATTATGAATTAATCACCTTCATGGGTCCTTGATGATTTTCACTTTTTATTTTCAGGAAGTAGAAACAGAACAGTATTACAGTTTCTTCAGCCCGACCCTCAAGCAGCAGGGCTACGACAGCGTCTTCAGCCCAAAGTCCAGGGCCAAGACCATGTCGGAGGAGGATAGGAAATACGTGGACGGCTGTGCCATATTCTTCAGGACCAGCAAGTAAGTTACAGGATTTATCAGGACTATACATACTCAAGAAAGAAAGATTATTGAGAGTCCTTTCCAGGTCTCCGCAATCCTCCCCCCTCTCTCACATGGTGCAACCGCAAGCCTATTGAATAGGATTTATCATGTGATGTACATGTATAACCTGCTTGTAAAGACTCTCGAGGGAATCTCAGGGTGGTCTTTAGAGAGTCGTGATTGACCTGTGAAGGCTGTGATACATCAAGGCTCAACACTAAAAGCCATCCGGGACTCATGTCCGGACCCCCAAACTTTGGAAATTTCTACGTAGGGCTCATGCACACAGATTGTATGTAAAAAGTTCAATCCAGGGACCCTTTTTTCAATGACAAATGACAAAAATCAGTCACAAATCTGCTAATAACCAATCAGAAGCAAGGATTTCAGTAGTTTATAACAAAAAACTGTCATTTGGCACTAATGACAAGTTCTGTGAAACAGGACCCAGATCCCATTCCAGAAAAAGTTAGTGTGAAGCTCTGGATACATGTCAATTTAATTCAGGTTTCGATTGGAAACTGTTTGAAAGGAAAGGGGTCCTAACTCCTTATTTATAGATATGTGGTCTTCATCCTACCTCAGACACACGCCTGAGACCAACACCAGACCATAAAGAAAAAATTACATTACCCGAAATAGCCCCAATCGGTCAATTTTTAGTCGATTTTGAGTAGGTCTTGATTGGTTTGGTGGATTTTGAAATTGGCTTACAGACACTGACTGAAATTTTCCTGACAAGGAAGAAAATAGTGTTGTTGGATTTCCTAATTTGCCGACAAGTCTATAAAATGTTGATTTTGCTTCCATAATTTTTTTAATAGGGGGGGGGGGGGTGTATCACCCTCCCTCTTGCTATATCCTTGTTCAAAGCTAGTTCCTTGTTCATTTATCTGAATTAAGAAATCTACAGTTTCTGTGACTTGTGATCTCTAGTTTTTGCAACAAATTAAATTTTAACTTTTGTTATGTTCATGGCTCTCATGGTATCTGTTCACTCTAAACACGTGCACATTTTTTTTTTGTGCTTGACTTGCCTGTTCAAGATGGCATTGAAAGAGTGAGTCATTCTTTTGTTATCATGTGCCCAGAAGGAACTTACCTGGAAATCCCATTTGTGCAATCTAATGTTTGTGTATTTAGTGTGTTAGTCATGGTTCAGAACTTCAAACAATGTACCTTGTGTTAAAATGGCAAGCATTTTACATAGTAAAAACATGTTATCAGTTCCGGAAACTGAGGGTAACCTGTGCATGAAGACTATTCTTTGGAGGGGGTTATTGAAACGCGTTTGAATATATTCAATTATATGTGAATAAATTGACTGAACAAAGTACCAGTTTTAACATCTTAGGAATTGTGAGAAAATATAGATTCCTAAAATTGTCTTTGCTGTTAGTGCGACATGTAATACATTTAAGGTTTCCTTTGAAACTACATTTGTGGGGTTGTTTTCATTTAGTTACCGTTGTTTCTATTTTTATTTTGTTTTGAGCAACAACACATAAAATAAAATGCTTTTTTTTCTTCAAAGATAGAATAGGAAAAAGTAGTCATAGTATTTTTTTGAAAAACCTTTTGTCATTTGTACAATTGTTTTTGATACAGATTTGCTGGAGTCAAAGAAAACCTTGTGGAAATCAGTGAGCCTGCGATAACACTGACAAAATATATTTGTTAACTTTTCTTTTAACCCTTTTTTATGTCTTTTATAAAACAGATTTGCATTAGTCAAAGAACACCTTGTGGAATTCAACCTGCTGGCGATGGCGAACGCAGAAGGGTCAGAAGACATGCTTAACAGGGTGATGACCAAAGACAACATTGGGCTTGCAGCACTCCTAGAGACAAGAGAGGGGTGCTATGAAGGTTCTGGTAAGAGACATTAACAGCGTCTAATCTTGAGACTTGCTTAAGCGGGACTGCACTACTTGTAGCTACTTGCGCCCTGTATATAGCAATCAATGCCTTATCGGTGACCATTAGTCCCCCATGATCCCCTTTTTATTATGTTAATTGAGAGCTTATTTAATGAGATGACCACCTGCCAGTGACCACGCGGGGAGGTCTCATCCCTCGATGCCAAACTCTTGCAGAGGGGCTTTAGGACTTGCTTAACAGGATGTTTACCAAAAGGCGGTCCTACATTTGCTCCACGATTTATTTTCGTCAGAGAGAGAGAGAGAGATACAGAGTTGGGGCTTCAGTTACAATTGTTATAAAGTGAGACTGCACTACTGTAGCTACTTGCGCCCTCTATAAAGCCAACAATGCCTAAGTGGTACCCATTGATCCTCATGTTCCCCTTTTTCCTATGTTAATTGAGAGCGAATTTGATGAGATAAATACCTACCGGTGACCATGCAGGGAGGTCTAATCCCTCCTGGCCAAACTAGTGCGGTGAGGCTTTAATAGGATGATTACCAAAAAGGCGGTCCTACATTTGCTCCATGCTTTATTTTTTCTGTGAGATGAGAGAGAGAGATACAGAGTTAGGGCTTCAGTTACAATTGTTTTAAAGCAGGACTGAACTACTGTAGCTACTTGCGCCCTCTATATAGCCAACAATGCCTAAGCTGTACCAGTTGATCCCCCATGGTCCATTTTTCTAATGTTAATTGAGAGCTGATCTGATGAGATAACCGCCTGCCAGTAACCGGCGCTCTTCTATGCAGACAGAAAGAGTTTTTTCGGACGCTCATTATTTTAGCGATTATCCCGGTATAACCGGCTGGCAATAAGCCTAATTTACCATTACCTTAGGCGGCTAATCTAAGCTCATAATATGCGGGCCTTGTTCCTTTTAGTTTCTGTTTAGTTTGTTCGATTTCGGCTTTCTGTTTCATTCTTGCATTTTACTCTGATGAGTGCAAGACGAAAAGCTTAAGTATTGCTCTTTTCAACGCGATTGTCCAAACAAAGATTCATTTGACCAATCAATCAATCCTTTCCATAATCTCTCAACAGCGTTCCAGCACGAAGCAGCGAACGCCAGGCAACAGCTTCTGGTAGCGAACGTCCACATTCACTGGGATCCAGAGTACAGTGATGTCAAGCTCATCCAGAACAAACAAACAAACAAACAAACAGATACATTTAATCAATCCTTTCCATAATCTCTCAACAGCGTTCCAGCACGAAGCAGCGAACGCCAGGCAACAGCTTCTGGTAGCGAATGTCCACATTCACTGGGATCCAGAGTACAGCGACGTCAAGCTCATCCAGACCATGATGCTCATGAACGAGCTCAAGAAGATCATCGAGGAGGAGTCGGTCAGCTTCAGACCGGGAGGAGGTGGAGCAGGAGGAGCCGGTGGCGGAGGGGGATCGGGAGGAGGAGGCACTGGTGCGGGCCAGAGAGATTCAGGGACCATTCCATTAGTGATGTGCGGGGATCTGAACTCCTTGCCTGACTCTGGTTAGTATTTTGTAGATCTGCCTTGCACAGTACACCCAGGGATGCCAGTTTTCAGTCAAAATCCTGAATTCAGGCCCTGGCAGGTTATTTTCAGACCATAGTTTAGGCTTTTTTGTGTACAAAATAGCTCATTCTAGGTGATTTTCAGGCCCTCTGATCAATTATAACTGGCATCCCTGTACACCCAAGTTTTAATGTCAAGGTCCATTGATGCAGAGACAATCCTCTTTTATGGGCACATCTGCTCCAAAACAATTGCTCCAGAGACGATTGAAAGCTTTTTAATTTTTTTAAATGCCTTCGGTGAATTGGACTTTCGGATTAGCTTTAGAGTTAGTGGTATTGTGAAGTCCAGGGTTGAAATTTGATACTTATTGAGGGCAGAGCATATATTCTTGAACCATGCGGACTAGGTTAAACAGATATGAAGTTTCGCTGTAGCCATGAAAACCACTCGTAGTGTTATTTTGTTCTCAGCTCAATCAGGATAAATATTATGTAATTGCCAAGTTCTGGTCATGAAGATTACATCAAGGAGATTAAGGCTGATAAATAATATTTTCTAAACCACAAAGGATGCATGGAGAACCATGTTTCTTGATAATGTCCTGCTTCCTCTTCTCAAACTAGAGATTAGAAAGGTGTAAGACCATGATATAAGAGTCAGAATATTAAGAAACCACTACAACAAGTATGTCTTTTTGTATCTCACTTGTAGGTGTAGTTGAGTACCTCGAGATGAGTAAAGTCTCCGTCCGTCATCCCGACTTCAAAGACCTCAACTACAAGGTCCTGCGCAACTTCTCCTCCAACTCGGAGACCAACGGGCACATCTCCCATTCTTTCCAGCTGAAGCGGGTCTACCAGAACAACCCCATGCGCTTCACCAACTACACCTATGACTTCAAGGGCACCATTGATTACATCTTCTACTCACGGCAGGCCATGTCTGTCTTGGGTCACCTTGGACCTATGGACTTTGAGTGGATCGACACCAGTAAGGTGCACGGCTGCCCCAACGCCAGTATCCCTTCGGATCACTTCTCGCTCCTCACCGAATTCGAGATGCCCCTCTCTACGGCACCGTCGTCGCCCCCCTCGTCGACACTCTACCATCCAACACCGAACTACCCCCTCGCGAGGCGGTAGCAAGCGGAGCTAGGGGACTCAGGGTGGTGTTCGTTCTTGGAACTCGAGAATTTTTAAGAAAACTATTGAAAACTAATAATGCAGGTTTTGTGTGTTTTTGTATCTAATTTGTAAATTATAGAAGAGTATTAAAAACATCCTATGAAGTTAAAGTGCTTTGAACTTTGGAAGGGAGGTTAGTTGACACTGTAGATGTCCTGTTGTATAGTGTTGGCTCTTTTTGTGTGGATATAATCTTGTTCAATTCACGACATACCTCATGCCTCGTTTTTTCTGGTGAAATTGTTTGATGTGTTGTTAACAGATCACTTTCTCTTTTTTTTTGTACATAAAACAGTCCAAGTGTTGCAGTCTATGTGCGTGTAGGGTTATTGCAGTCGGTTCGTTTTGCAGTCGAGGGGAAGTTATTCTTTTTTTCCGACAATCGAAATAGGGCTAAGTTCGACAGCACTTTATCTTCATGTTTTTGAAGTATGCAAATACACACAACCTGTGTTAATCAGACCGAGGCTTAAAGCTACAACCGTCCTGGACCCGTTTGGTCGTGAAGGAGCGTGTAGTTTTAAGCCTCACTTGGCAATGTTTTTTGTGGTAAATTTGAAATTTTATGTAATTCGTACTTTGTACAGTGTGTAAATTGATGCTATTTTGCCAGAGAGAAAAAAACACTTGGAGCACATTCTATTCCAAACGCTGTAGAAATCTTTATTACTGCTGTCTGATGGTACAGTTCAGATATGCTCTATGCCAGGTCTTTAGGTATCTTCACACACATCCTATTATTTTTTGTCATTGGTGCAAACATTAATGGGCAATGAAATGTAGGAGAAAAGTAAATGAATGAACTCAATTCTTTACTCCTCCTATTATTAATAAAGGGGTTATTAAATATGATAAAATCCAGCAGTTCGGATGCAGCTGATAAATTTTCACTTGGCCCTTCTCAATGATTCTTATTTATTCATCTCTATACAAGAAAATACTGTCTTCTGGGCAATGTAAAGCAAAAATCCAGAAAAAGAAAAAGAGTTAAGAAAATCAAAAAACCATCCTGTTAGTAACCACAACAGTTTCAAAGAACGTGACCTTTAGACCCTAAGAAGTAGCATTATTCAAATTGTTAGTGTTGTAATATCGACCAATAAAATCTGCATTTTGGATAAATTATGCAATTGCTTCTCTTATCCAGTTGCCAAATTGGGAAGTGGAGCAAGTCTTTTCTTCTTTTCAATCCATACTACTTGGCATCTTTTGTAATATGTGCCCTCATAACAAACAGTGATAATACAGTCTACTGAGCGCCAGAGGGGCGTAAGTCTATTACATAGATATAACACCCTTCTGGCTTTCAACAGACAGTATGACCCGAATTCACAATGGAGGTTTGAATTTATCCCATGGTTTAAACCCTAATTTACATAACCCATGGTTTAAAATTAGCTCAAATTAAGTGTACCTTGCCTTGCGCGCATCTAATATTGGACCCCTGACTGTGTCCCGCTTATTTTGTGCTAATTTAAGACCATGGGTTATGTAAATGAAGATTTAAACCATGGGTTAAATTTAAACCTCCTTTGTGAACTAGGGCCTATGTGTTTAGAAGCCCAACCAATGTGCAATTCTCTGCAAATAGAAAACTAATTTACAAAGCTATGCTTTTGACTGCTTACATATCAATATATATATAGGCAAGGATGACTGGAAAAATATGGCTATTTTAAAGCTCAGATTTATCCAGGACTTCGTAGATAAATATTGAGCATGGATGACGATATTCTTACAAAATTGTCCGGTTTCGTAAGATTTTATTAACTTCCCTTGTGTGGCCTTTTCAATCTTGGACAAGTTCTCCCAGATTATGGCTTATATTTCAAGCTGACTGGGGTCCATGTTGCTAGTATCCTTCAAAGCAGTTGACTCAAAGATCAACATAGATGCACGACAGGGGGGCGTTTCACAAAACTTGTCATCAGTGACAAATGACAGTTTTTGTCATAAGCTACTAAAAATCCATGCTTCTGATTGGTTATCAGCAGATTTGTCATTGATTTTTGTCATTTGTCATTGAAAAAAGGCTTTGTGAAACGGGTCCCTGGTCTAAGAAAAAATGTCAGCAGGATTTGTGAAAGAAAACAGACCTCCCTTGATAGGTGTCTCATAATAAAGGGTCATGAAGAAACTATTATCTAGGTCAGGTGTTAGGGGATGGAATTGTACTCTTATCTTTAAAAGAATGTGAAAAACAGTTTTGCTGCCAATGATTCTTAAATAATGAAGTTGATTATGAAACTTTTTCTGTTGCAGACTTTTCTTCTTAGAACTTGCTCAAAATAATTACAGGCGATTAATCTATTGATGAGAAATAGGTGTAGAATAGTGCATACCTTTCAAAAAATATATATAACCAAGTACCGCAGACAAAAGGAGCATGCATACAATCTGGCATCGTAGCTTATATTGCAGTTTTTTAATGTGGATGGAGGGGATCATATCGTATGTTTTGAAGATATCAGATGATTTCTATTGTAAATCTGTATCATAAACTAGGAATTCATGCAATCCTAGGTCTTGAGAATAAATTGTACATTTGGAGATGAAATTATTCTGGCGAAAAATTCTTGACAAAGATTGGTTTATACTATAATTGATTTCTGGTGCGTGTATCACTCTATACATCTACATGTCGACCACCATTTCATTTGCTTTCTTTTTCTTTTCGTTTTGTATGGCATTTGTTACTGTAATATGTAGTGTACAGTTTCAATATCTTTTTTTTTTTTTAAATATCTCTTGTTTTGCACTGCAGTAGACTCTAGTGCTCCGGCACAAATCTTTGTGGGGAAAAGACTTGAAGTTATGGAAAGGTTGATAGAATGCGATGATGTGTAGGGGAAGTTAGGATGTCAAGACTTGAATTTGTCTTTTTTTCTAATTTATTTTCTAATTTATTTTTTGTGTTTTGTAAGTGAAGTCCTAATCGACCATCCCATTTTTGCGCGGCCGTTCTCCCATCCTTCATGAATATGTAAGTTTTAATGAAATAATGAAAATGCATGTGATTTAATTTGGACCAATGAGAAAAGAGGACCAGAGCTTGATTGTAAATATGCACTAATTTAAAGTGATGGTGCTGTCAACTTTTCTTATGGGGGACTTTCCCGATGCCATTCCAGAGGGACCCTGTGTGCTTGTTCAGTACAAGAATTTTTAGCCAAACTATTGTCAAATTGTACATAGATTTAAAAAAAGAAAAGAATAAGTATGGACAGAGATTAGGGAACTAAGATAACCCCGGCAATCATGCCTGGAATCTATTCAGATCTATCCTTGTGTATCTGTTGAAGTTAGTATCATAATCTGTGTATAGTGTGTTGTTATATTGTTCATGTGTTGAATATTTTTATATGCCTATTCGTCCCTCTGGAAGTCATGCCTTTTTTTTCGCCCGAGGCGAAATGGAGTCGGCCGAGGCTGTGCCTGCTTTCTCTCTTTCGCCTCGGTGAGAACCAGGGTAAACAAAGTTTGCCTAGCCAAGCTTTTTTTTAATTGAATAATGAGATCAAGTAAACTGTTATTGTTCAGTCACAGATTTCATAAGATGAAATAATGAATTCAATTCAGAGACATACAACATCTTTGTCTTAATAGTAATTTGGCAAGAGGCTTTTTAAAGTGTTTTCTAAATGCCTGTTAGATAGTGGAATGTATTTGGTGTCCAAGAAATTGTGTCCATAATTTGACTATTGAATTCATAACCTGACCTAGAAAGTCTTTGAGGGAGACCAACTATAACCTCTTTAGTGCAATTTCTCTTTAACCGTTCATTACCATGAGGTTTAGTAATAGGTTGGATGTGTTCGCACTTAATTATATATATGCTATGCATATCTTTTTTTAATTTTTAGTCCAAGTACATATTTAATTAAGAATTCGTCTTGCAATTACAAAAAAAAGCAAAAAGGTTCAGCTTACATTCCCTCATTAAACAGATTACATTTGGTTTTTAATAAATTTATAGCTATGCATGAATTTCACATATCTTTATGTAATCAACAGGCATTTATGAGACGCTAAACTTAAGTCTTAAAAACATGATCTGAAAGCAAAATCATAGAAATTCTTTCAAATTAACATCACTTTTGAAATCTTTTGAATAATAAGTGTAATTGTCCATTGTGTGACTAAATTTTTTTAAAGAAATTAAAAAAAAAAAAAATATTTTTGAAAGATGGCGTGTATCTGTCAGCAAAAATGGGACCAACGGCGAGGACTTCACTTACAACGTAGAAATTAATATCTTCTTGGTTTTTATTGTAGATTGATGTTGTTTATTATTATTATTAGCTTTAAATGAAAAGAGAGAGCTTTCGATCTGGAGGGTAGATGTTTTTGTGTTAGGAGACAGAGAGATAGTATTGTATATGTGTCCCCCACCCCCTTTCCTTCTCCCCACCCTTTCTCGGTATATTGTGCCGAGGAAGTTATGTTTATTACCACGCGCATTTATTTGATTTTCTCTCACTCAGTGTTCTTTGGGTAGTGTAACTGTAGACTGGCTGTGTCTACACCGCATGTTCCGTCTCTAAGATGACGTTTTTCAGAGCGTAAAATCAACTTCAAATGCTTGTTTTGTGGGAACATACCCTTTTGTGAGTCTCGGGTTTGCTCTGTTTTTAGAGTAACCTTGATTACACACACTCTTATTTATTATAACACCTTTGAGTATCAAAGCAATAGGAAAATTAACTGGGTTTAGAAAACTTTCGATGTAGAATATCATCTGTTTGGAGCCAGAAGGGCATTAACTCACAAACTTTAATCACACAGTTAACGCCCTTCTGGCTGTGAACAGACAAGATGATGGTTCTCCTTAAATCCCCAGATTTTAGATGTGTACAAAAAAAAACATCAGCAAAACAGATGTCAACTAACTAGCTCCAATTATTAAAGAATTTGCCAACTTGGCTTTAACAACTTTCAAAATGGGGTGCATTTATTTATTCTCAAATGAGACTCACATTTAGAAGGAAAATTTTGGTCCATAAATCCACCTCGCAATCAGAAATACGGAAGACCATCTACTGCTACAGAAGGCACACATTTAGCTATATGCATATATATTAATGAATTTGTCCTCATTTACACTATAGGCATCCACATGCATTTGAAAAATGCTTTTACGTTCTGCTTACGCATCTTAGCGATTGGAATCTGTGGTGTAAACACAGTCTTGACAGAGTAACCTTTAACCAGTATTTGGCAGATTTGTGTGACGTCGATTAGCAAGCATTCCACTTTTTTCTTGTACAATTGAATCTCTTTGATTTCAGTCGGGTCCAGAACAATCGAGATCAGATCGGTGCGAATCTCTCGAACAAGTTCTGATTATTTTTTTGATTATCTTTTTTGTTGTTGTATGTGGGGTTTGTCAGGAAAGATGGATTCTTCTGAAGTCAACACCTATCACAACATTAGCTGATAGGAGATTTAAAGTTAATCGGTTCGATGGTGAGCCAAGACTATGTTTTGGAACAAGGGCTTTGGAATTAATCTGGACATGCTAAATAATAATATGAACTTATATTTCACATTTATTTCAATGCTACATAGTTGAATGTGCTATGAATTATGGATTGTATTCAAAATATTATGGAAAATAAGCTTCAAGAATAATTGTATGAATTTGAGATACTCTATTGTTTGGTAGAAACACATTATATTATGGCACATTTTTTTTTTGCAGTATGTGATATTTAGTTGACACCAAGTGGATACATGTCTGTTTCAAAAAATTCCAATTTAAAAAATTGATTATTTGATTTGATTTGTTTGTGAAAGTTCTTTTGATCAAAATCAGGAGAAACTCTTTCCCTACCTCTTTTTTAAAATCCAAAGCTCTCATTCCACACATTTTCTTGGTGAGCCAAGTTTTTAAAGTGTACAAAAAGCACTTTTTAAAAACAGAAAATAAAATTGGCTGGCATTGAAGCGATGGTGCTTATAGGTGGCATCATGATTTTTACGAATGTTGATAATTTATTGCATAATTGCATTCTAGGTCTAAATTGAAGCAGTTTTCCAGATGAGATTTGCACACAAGCGTTTTTTTAATCTAGGAGAAAGATGGCTGCTTAAATTGTAGAATATGTAGGGTAGAGAGAGAGAGAGGAGTTGGAACATAATGATTAGTATCAGAATTGTCTAATATATTTTTTTCTTTCTCCAACCCGATTCAATGGTTTTTCTGCGACATTTTTTGGTGCAGAGAGATTACGTGGTGTCTGTCATTGAGTGGGGATAATAATGCTTGTCTGTTTTAATTGAATTTTCTCCCCATTTTCTGTTGGGATTTATTATTAAAAATGTGGATAATAGAAATGCTAAAAAAACATGAAACCCAGGTTTTCTGAGTTGTTTTTGTTCTGTAGGAAGTGGATGCAGTGGTAGAGATGCGAGTAGTAGAACGTAATGAGTTAAGAATAACCTGCCTATATTTCTTTGCAACCAGTAATCTCTCAATTCCTTCAAAAAATATCCCATAACTAAACAAAGCTCATTTGAACATATAAATGGCAAATGCGTTATACCGTGTGAGTCAAAAAAAAGTTTACACCTAGAAAATTGCTAATTATTTTAAAAATCATCTATGAACAGTAAATTATTATACAGCTTATGAAAGAGTGTTTTATCCCAAATAATTTGGTACCATTTTCGTGTGGTTTGTGTTCACGCTTGGATGAACAGGTGGCGTTGTTTGCGAGAGTGCAAAAATCGACTTGCGCCAAAGTGATGCCTACAGTATGTATTATGTTGGGATTAGCGGAGTGAGAGAATGAATTGAATGTATCAAATGCAATGCATTGCATATGTGTTTTGCAAAGGACAAAGTCACACACACCCACACACGTGCACAAATGTTCGTTGACATTTGATATGTGTGGCATGATTAAATTTGTTAAGGATGTTATTTGGATCTGCAAAGACGGAATTAATACCCAAATCCCAATTGTTTTATTCATACATTACATAGGCAACTTTGGCGCAAGTCGATTTTTGCACTCTCGCAAACAATGTCTCCTGTTCATCCCAGCGTGAACACATACCACACAAAAATGGTACCAAATGATTTGGGATAAAACACTCTTTCATAAGACATATAACAATTTAATGTTCATCAATAATATTTTTAATTATTAGCAATTTTCTAGGTGTACACTTTTTTTTGACTCACACTATAAATACATTATCATTACAATCTTTCATGAAAATCAGATTGTAAGATGATTTTCAAAGTTATATCCCCCTCTCCTCTCTTCTCCCACTCCTCCCCTACTCTCTTCCCGTCTCCCTCTGCCTTTTAAAGAATCTCTCTTCATCTTTCGCTTTTTGTTCCCCCCTTTTCTCTCTCTCCGTCCTTCCCCCTCTCTCTGCTGTTACCCAGCACCTATCTCAACATAAGTCTTCCTCACTATCTTTCTGTGCAAAGCCTTTTTACCTCAAAAATTACCAGAGACATCAACGACTTGCACAAAACAATCACTAAGCTGAATGACACATTAGGATTGTTATTAACATAATATATTTCACATACCCATGTACAAATGTTACATCAAATTATTGAGTATTATTGCTAATACATCCCAGATACCTCTTTTACGACCCTCATTTAGACCTGGGGCCTCATTCATAAAGCTTGTCACAATAACCACATTTTAAAATTCCATGACAAATCTGCTCTCAGCCAATCGAATGCCACGATTTCAGTTGCTTATAACAGTTATGGTAACTTGTGATTAATAACAAGTTTTATGAAACGGGGCCCAGATCTGAATGAGACAATATTATTGGCAATACAAGTCTTTATAGATTCAATTAGTGACCACTGCGTGAATAAAACCATACAAACACATAGCACGCAAGCAATTCTAGGCTATCATGAGTTCTAAAGCGGGATCTTAAAACAAACAAAAAAACCTGAGTCCTCTGGGACCATGGTCAATAACTTAGATAACAAAAAATACATGTAAATAACACTTCTAGTGAAAATTGCAAGGTAAATTAAAGTATCTAACACACATGTGTATAACAAAATCTATATGCACAAAGCAATCTATTGCAATAAACATTTTACCATACAGTATTTTCCATCTTCGTACCAAAATAAATTTTGCAAACCTTTTCACAAACAAAAGCTATAAACATGTTGAAAATGGAAATGAAGGTGGTACAGTTTGGAATGCTTGGAAAGTAGTGCATCAAGCTGTTTAGAATACATAAAGGTACACCATGAACACATTATACAAATAATAGTCCTTTTTTGCAGCTATTACAGTCCCATTTGGCATTTTACTTGTTTTTTTTAAACAAAACTTACCAAAAATTTCACAAACACATCGGAATTCCACAGCAAATTTCGAGTTCAAGAACACATGAATTAAAGAAGCTTAGTGGAAAAAAAAAGAGTTTCCTAAACTCATCAATGAAATTACAAGTATCCTTCGGAGGCAAGCCTCGTGACATGTTTAGCAGCATGAAAAAAGTGGGCAACTTAAATCAGACATGTGTATCGTAATGAACAGTCTGCAACTCTACATGTTTACAGCAAGGTATCTGAATATCATTATATTTGTCAGTGATGTGTCTGAATATATAATTTCTTTAATTTATTACAAATTACTGGAGTGTCCTCATGTATGAAACTGAAATTTTGTCCAAACTGATGACAGCCATGAAATAAATGACTGATAAATTTTGAGCTGGCTTGATTTAATTACTTACTGATTAATGGAAATTTCTACAGGATCAAGTCATAGACATTTGGTGTTCAATTATTTGTGGAATGACACAACTTTTGTTTGTCAGATATGAACCTGTAAAGGTAGTACACTTTTCATGAATATCAGCTTTATTTTTTTTATAGTGGATGAAAATGAAAATCCACTTTATATTGCTAAATAACCAGGCTACATCATATTGCCACAAAGAATTGACAGCATATAATCTAAAAGGGCAGTAAATAACTTTACTGAGCAAACTGGAAACGGGCATTTCAATAAAATACAAATTATAAAAATAGCAGGCACACAAAACAAATTAATTTCCCTTCTTTTTCGGCTAATAAATTACTCTCATCTTGCAAATTAGGTCACATATTCCAAATTTCCTTAAATATGTATATGCGCATAATAATTGCCATTGTAATGATTCTTACACATACTGTATATTTTACTGTAAATTCATCCGATGTAGCTTGGATATTTGGAACTATGCAACTCAATTGACTACTGGTACATAGAATTAATTACTTGAATACCCAACATATTAGTTTCACACAATATCAACCTCTTTAATGAGTTAATCATTTAACACATGATCATTAACTATAAAGTTATCTATAATAAAATTCAGCATATAACTCACATTTCTATAATGGAAATACCCCTCTTATATTTTAAAGTAAATTTAATTCAAATTCAAGTATACTCTATAACCTACATTTCCTACAATTCATGTCCAAATTAATCCTTTTTTTTTGGAACATAACATATTACACTATGACAAACAAGATGTCTGTTTAGAGCCAGAACGGCGTTAAGTCATATCATTTACACATAATGAATGCCCTTCTAGCCCTGAGCAGACGAAATATGCAGACCTGCCAACCAGTACGATTTAGTCGTATTTCGTACGATTTTTAGAAGCAAATACGACAGTACGATTTTCCTCAATAAAATATGATTTTCAAAAAATGGTAAAATGCCAATTCTGTCCTGTAAAGTATCCTACAAGCACCTCACATAGGCAATTTGGGGATGTTCATTGGTTCATCGAACACACCAGTCGTGACGAAATCATTTATATTTAACCAATGATCCTTTAAAAAATTTCTTCCTGAATGTAGGAACTGATGCGCGTAACAGTCCGTGTTTATTTTTAAGAATACAACTTTTGTCAGTAAAATACAACTTTTGGGATTAAAGAATACAGTTTTTGAACTCCAGAGGTTGGCAGGTCTGAATATGGTGATGAAAAAAACCTTAGGGTGCAATTGCATCACACAATATGAATCGTACAGGTATACCAATATTAAATATACAACAAATAGTGAATACATAAATTTCTTCTTTAACATCTGGAAGAACACAGAGATAGGAAAGACCTTTACCATTGCACAAACTACATGATACTCAAAGAAAACCTCAAACTATAGATAGTAGTTTCATCTTTGAAGTATTAAATAACCAAGGTGAACATACCAGAGAATAAAAAATTCACAAATTCAAACCAAACATACAGTAAATGTTTGAGACTTCAAAGATTTACCACTAATCATAAACCAAATGGTCTATCTTCTAGGCACAACCTTTTCCCTGACTTTATTTGTTTACAAAGTTCTTAAAATGTACCAATCACCTAAAAAATAATTTTTTGTGTACAGCTAGAAACTATACAATCAACCTTTAAAAAAACAATTGATCAGGCATTCTATGGTTTATCAGTTAAGAATTAAACCTGACGCACCAAACCTAAGTTGGATGTGGGATCTGTGTGCACCCTATTCTATTGCATCAACTAAGCTACTCACTAGTCGCTTCTGTGTTTTAATATTGAAATTGTGTTTAAACTCACAATGTCTCTTTTAATAATGAAGAATATTTGAAGTTAACATTTTGAATATAAATTCAGGATGACAACATGGAACTCTCGACGTACGTAGCGCAATATTCTCTGGCGATTGGTACACTTAAGTTTGGAAGATGATAGGGACGGTTTGAGATGTTAATCATTAAATACCGGTATACAGTGAAAACTCATTATAAAGAGCTGTGATAAATAGCGAGGTATCTGTTATAAAAAAGATGATATAACTGGTCCCAGCTCTTTATATTCTCTTGTTTTTTTCCCCTGATATAACAAGATTCCTCATATAACAATGTTATTTACACGGTATCAAGGACCTCATTATAAGGAGTTTCCACTGTACTTCTACACACATGCTAGAAGTCAGAAGTACTCAACACTTAACATACTTGTACAATGTATTTACAGGTACACAGACATGTATGACAACGTGATATTTTTTACTGTGAAAATTGGGAGCTTTGTAATAATTGACAAAAGAATTGGGCCTAGTCTTATAAAGAGTTGCGATTGATCCGAATCAACCCTACGTCCTCCAATCAATCGCGAGGTTTACAGTACTCTCTGAACTCTTATGTACATGGTTTATAAGACTGGGCTCTGTTTACCAATTTGATGCCTACTTTGTGAACAAAAGTTCCTTTTGGCAAGTAGACAGGTTGCCAGAGGCTTTCCCAACATAGCAACAGCTAATGTATGCAAAGTAGATTCCATCCATAGAGATGCCATGTAGCATGTGAATGAAATGGCTATTAACCAGGGGTTAGCCCAAGGCTCCGTCTATAAAATTTGGGATTGATCCGAATCAATCGCAACGTTGCAGTCCCATTATCTCTACTGTACATACTGTAGTTGCGATTGACATCAATTGCAATGGCGAAAAAATTGTGATTAAACGCAACTTTTTATAGGACAGGGCCCAGGTTTATTTATCAAATTTGTCACGTTTATAGGGCCTTCTGTACATGAAAATGTACAGGTACTCGAAACGATTATAGCTTGCATAGGAATAAACGTATTGACTTGCAAGATATTAATGTACTGCTTCTTTAGCACATGTCTTTAGACATTATATTATAAAATTAGGATCCCATGAAATTTCATTACGGTAGACACAAATAAAAGTTCATACACTGAACTAATATGACTCTCACTGTGGGAAATGGAATACAGACAACCTGCATACACTAACATAAACAAAGTTGTGTAAAACAAATAACGATATTACAAAACAAAAATGTACACATCATGCAAACTGCTGACTATGAAAGGGGTGTCGTTACTACTAAGGGGGGTATCTTGTCAACCCTGCGTCCCCCTCCGGAGCTGCGTCCTCATCTTTGGGCTCGTCCTCAAAGGGGTTGGGTACGTTCCCGCCCGGATACCGGGCCTCCGCCTCGTACTGGGGACCATCGAGGGCTGGGGGAGGGGCCGACTCGTCCGATCCCGCCATACTGGGAGTGACCGGGGAACTCATCCCTCGTCGGGCGTCGTCGTTGTGGAACCTGCCGTAGGTGCGGCTCCCGACGCGGGTTGAACCGGCGTCCGACTCTGGGTCGTGGTCCTCAGGATCGATGCGGTAGGTGCGGATGATGTAGATGAGTGCCAGAGCATCTAGTATGGCTCCTGATATAGCAGAAATGACAAAGAATAAATTGGTTTAATGATAAATTTGAATACTAGAATATACCTGGTATGAATGATTCTAAACAGAGCCCTGGTAACTAACTATCAAAATCACCTATTATGTCATAACATTACCTTTATGGATATAATCCACTATTCATACTTTACATGTACTTGTTTGCTACTGTAGGTATTACATTTACAAGCTTTCAAGTTGTTAAGAACATGAAATCAAATTGTTTCAAGACTTGTGCATTTCGAGTTTCCACATCCACTTTCGCTATACTACGTTATTGACCAGAAAACTCTACTACAGACATGTAAGAGCCCTGGGCCCCATTTCACAAAACTTGTCATCAGTAAAAAATAACAGTTTTTGTTATAAGCTAGTGAAATCCTTGCTTCTGATTGGTTATCAACAGATTTGTCACTGATTTTTTATTTGTGAAACAGGTTACTGGACAAGTGTTTGTTTGAAATATAATATATATCTACAACAAAATTTAAAAACGAGTGTACTGCTCCAACGTGTCAATTAAGTCTCCAATTATCTCAACACACCATCATATTCACAAAATTGACACTTTCTTTAATATACCTGCAAGATCAAAAGTACTGGACACCGTTTGGTCTAATAAGGCTTTAAAAACAGCTCTGAAAATAATCAGAATATACTCATTCTGGAAAAATTTACATAATTTGAGACAAATTCACAGTTCTTTCTGTAGATACAAAATTGCAAATCACACCATTAACAAGAAGAAAGCACCCTCACTTGCCCAAAACCTTAGACCAATACTGCATACATACAGTACATACAAACAAACATGCCTGAAACAATTGATGGGAGTAGAGGAAGGACAAACAAGAAAGGAAAGAAAATAAAGGCAGATAATTACAAAAGAAAAATAAAAGCAGAAGATACAGAAAAAAGAGAAAATGAGAAAAGCAAACATAACACACAGAGAAAAAACAAACAATTACACGCTCACAAACACTGCTAGAATTATTTACTTTTTTCCATTACAAAAAGATATTATCGCAAGAATAAAAAAAAGCCCTGGAAAAATGCAAGGAAAACAATTGAATTGCCTACCGCACAAGCCTTTCACTTTGAATCATTAGACTACAGTTCCCTAAAACAAATTTACATAATTTTTAAATGAATGAAAAGGATCAATTGTACTGAACAATTAACAACAAAGAACACATACAAATTTGCATGTAATGAAGAAGCAGTAAATTTATTCAAATACCATAATCTTGTACAACACACTAAACACCTATAAAAAAAAATAAGGCATTCACTATTCAAAGACACAAAATACTTTAAACAGAGTAAACTTTGTCAGCAGAAATCAACAAATGGGATTCTGGAGCTAATTTTCAGACATTATTCAAGTGTTAACCCAAATTTATATCATGCAGCATGTTATGCATGTAAAAACTGCTTTAAACAGTTTTCCATATGGAATATTGATCTGCCAGGAGCTCTAAATTTACTCATGAAAATATGACTACCAGCAAAAATATCCTTTACAATATCAATCCTTTTTTATCATGGGTGAGAACTTGAGGATATATACATGTATGCAGGGATACTTTGACAAGCTGTTTACTCTAAAGAGCTCTTTCTCAAACTAGACAGAAGTGGCTTTTAATAATAGTCAAGATGTCTATAAGGAAATGGCAATGATTTTTACAAGGGAGAGGTACATACAACTAGATGCATGAATTTTATACAAGTACATGTATACTTATGTACCCGTACTGTATAGTGATGTTAAATTATATGCACCGTTTGTACATATTGCACACTAAAAAGCAAGGACATGTGCTGAACCCTGTTTAGAACACACTACTCAAGCCTTACAATAATAAAAACTAGGCAATGGCCTTATCTAATAAAAAGTTGCAATTAATTTAGATAATAGGTCAATTTATATAGCGCAGCTACTAATTGAATATACTGTACTCTATACTGCGCTTATTAATAATACAAGGTTTTTTACCCTGGTTGTAGCTGAGCTGCCATAATAAGGGGCTAAAGCATTCAAGGAATTTATTCCTACCGGGTTCCCATTTACTTCACCTAGGTGGAGAGTGGCAAATGTAGATTAATGTTTTGCCAAAGGACATTAGTGTTGCAGCAGGACTCAAACTGCAAACCATGTGATCCACAGTCCGGTGACGTATCCGGTAGACCATGACACCTCAATCGCAACTGGAAATTAATCGCAGCTCCTATCTCTTTAGTACACAGTTGCGATTAATTTCAAGTTGCTATTGATTTGAATTAATCACAACTCTTTATAATGAGGGCCAAGAACAATCTGGCTAATATGTCATGTATATTGTGAATGATCTTTCAAATTTTGTGATGACCGCTGACCTGCTCTCAACTCAACTAATGAAGGTGCAATCCCTAAATTTGGTGTATGCTTGGGGAATTTTTCACGATGAAATCTATACTACCCTTTAAACAACATGCTAACATTGCCAAGTATAAAGGTACCACCTTTATAGAGAAGTCATGTTAAAGGACCAGTATACCCCCCCAAAAAAAAAAACCAAAAAAAAAAACCAAAAAAAAAATATTTTTTTTAAATGAATAAATACACACTCAAATAAATATAAATAAATAGATAAAATGAAGAAAAAAATTAATGTCCCCCTCCCTCACAAATAAGTTCACTTTCTTGCATTTCAAATGGACCAATTATGGTTTCAGTCGTCATTTACCATGAACACAGAGTTTGGCAATGAATGTGTAATTGATGCCCTTTCCGTTTAATTCCATCAATTCTGGATAATTGCTGGATTACATGTAGGACAGGAAACATGTGATAACTTGGCAGGCATAATATCATTTTGATAATTCATAGGATTATCTACTCTTATTCTGAGTTTACTAAAAACAAATTTAAATTGTCCAGGTAAATCATAACAAATTCTTTTCAAAGACCTTAACAATTTGGCAAAAAAGTGACTATAGAATCATTTGTATCAATTAAGATTAATTGAGGCTATAGAGCATAATCTGAGAAGTTCAATTGCACTTTGAACATGATACTGTAACCCTTGTATGTCAAGGCTGGAACACAAAAAACTGACTCTACTATTACCAGTACACAAAATTCCAATCAACCACCTACATTTAAAAAATACTTCATTGCAACACCTTTTTACAAATACAAAGAAATAAACATAGAGTACCGAAGTGTGACGTACATGTACGTCATACTGGCCAAGTCGTCAAGGTTGCTGATTCCAAACGATTTTGTGTTAAACATTGGCATGGTGATCACATCATCCCCAAACACTTGTTGCTTGAATGATTTGCAGTGAACCTCATGCAATGACTCTGCTGTTTAGAACCAGTAACCCGGATGACGAGGGAATTTGGCGTTAGCACTTAGGTACTCTATTGGGTATTTTCTGTGGTTGAATTGGGCAGTGAACATCTTTTCGTTGAAGACAAAAGTAAGAACTGTCAGCAAAACTTATTAAAATCATAGTAGAAAAGTAGTTACATGTAGGTTTAATAATTTCTTCACAAAAGGATTGTGCACCACATCTAGCACTCCATAACTATTCATTCAGAAAAAAGCATCAGCAAAGAAGCAAAATGATATTGTGTAAATGCAAATATATGCATTGATACTGATGTATAAATTAACAATGCATATAAATTTCATGGCCGTTTCGTCAACAAGCTACATAATTCAAAGAATCGTTTTAAAAATACCAGTTTGTGAAATTTTCTCCACAAGAATTAAACAATTTGGGGTTTTGCTCTGCAAGAAATTCAGATTGATATTAGTTCCAAACCTCCAAAACTTGAACAAGAGTGTCAAAAAACTTTCAAGTACATTTTATTTCTACATTAAAGAAGCATGTTCGGGATCAGTCTTATTTTAAAACCTTTTAAACCATGCATGACGTGGTGTTTATAATATACATGTACAATGAGATTTGAACAATGTACATTCCTTTTCCAGCTGATATTAATACAGTAACCCACCACCAATCCAAAACACCATCACAATTCACAACCCCCATAATGAGAAATCATAAATGAATTCCACAAGTTCATCAAAAAATGAGCAAATAAATTAGACCCATGTTACACCAAAATATTATTTTAAATCTCAGGATATCCCTAATAGGGGGGGGGGGGGGGGGGGGGTGTTCTATTAAGATGTACATGCCCAAATTTTTATACATGTGTAATCGAGATTGCTTTTGAGCAAACCTGTCAGGTTTATGCCTGTAACTAGAAAGCTACATTGAACACCCGTCTCCAATAGCTTTTAGGCAAATCAATGGAAACACAAACCCAGTATATGATCACCCTGACATTTTGATTTGGTCTAAAAAGTGGTATAACATCATCATTCATGGGAGATGTTTTGGGTCAGCCTCTGTCAGAATCTCAGGTAGGACTAGGGTAGGTCTCGCGTGGGTCAAGGTAGGTTGTTTTGGTGTAACATGGGCTATTGCTTGAAAACATCAATCACAAAAGAAGTAGAAATATTAGTACTGGCCTAGATGGTGTCCAATGTGTTAGTGTGCGTTAGATGTTAAGGTGTCTATATTTAGCTCGGTGAACAGCACGCTGTTCTTCGGTGTACCCGTCATAGTAATATAGGAAGACGTACAATATGCCCAGGCACGTTAGGATTGCTCCTGGGGTGGGGTAGGTGGGGTAGGTGGGTTAGGGGTGGGGGAGAGAGGAAGAAAACAAACAAGGGGGCTTAATCATTCCATCAGTCTCCAAATCAAATAGGGTGATGTTGTTGTCATGGTGATGCGTGAAACGGATGTTATGCAATGGTTTATGAAATGGATGCTAGGGAGAAGGTGGGTTTCAAGGGAGGTCAATCACACACCATTCATCCAACAACTAAAACAAGGCTTTCTAGGATTTATAACGAAAGTCCAGAATCTGACCGGTTCTTTATATTCCCACGCTTGATTCAAGCTGCCGAAGATAGCGTTTTCGACAAACTCATACACCCACCAGCCATATGGGCCAGGTTAAGAACCCAGGCGTTTTAATTTAAGAACCACGCCATCTTCAGCTGGCAGCAAGTAAGTAGGGGGAGGTCGCTTTGCATTGGTGTGGTGGAGAACGAAATTAAATTGGCTAGATTCTGGACTAGGATGATGGAAGAAATGGATGGTGCAATGGTTTACATGTACATGTACACAAATATATGATGAATTGGTTGCTAGGGAAAGGTTAGTGGTTATAAACACACTCAAATATGGTGCCAACAACTTCAAGTTTACCAGATGTGGTGGAAGCCTACACGACATTTCCTTTAGACAAATATTTAATTTGGGCTCTTTTTCATTGGCAATATCTTCATACTATTCTTCTGTAGTAATGCCTTACAGTAGAATTGTTGTGAATTAGTTATGAATGTTGATATTCAAGGAGAAAGACAACTTCTGTGTCAAAAAAATTTATACTCATGTTATTGTACAGGTCCTAAAGGTGGGCAGTTTAAACTGCATACAGCAAGAGAAGAAATCAGAAATGAGAGTTAGATTAGATGAAAGGCATGCACATTATTAATGAACAGATACAAGATTATTTTATTAGTTTTCAATGATGTAACAATGTACTTTTTTCTATAAAAGGACACTGGACCAAGCTGAACATTACTTGGTTCAAAAGGGAATAAGGCTGATATTCATTTTTATATCAAATTATGAAGAAAATAACAAAAAATACTAGTATCAGTGTTCATAAATTAGTATTCTCATAAAGGCAAGAAACAAGATGAAGGTCAACATATAAATTGTACTCTGGAAAGCAAAATGATTACAACTAGTCAACTACCAGTATTATTTGTATCTTTTAGTATTCCACACCTTAAAGGGAAATCAAACCTTGATAGAAAACTACTCTAGAAGAAACAGAAAAATTAGACAAGCATACTGGTGCAACTTTGAATGAAATCGGACAAAAAATGAGAAAGTTGTGAGTTTTCAAAATGTGCAATCACTGAGGTATGGGCTCTTCAAGTCAGCTGTACCAAATGTACAAACACTAGACCAGTTTACTAACATATTTAAATTTATGGATGTTTCTTTCATGGGGACCTACATGTAGTGACAGTTATTCCATTAACCTAGACTACCGGTACAATATTTGAAATCTGGTCTGCATACTTTACTTGTTGTCTTGTTGCTATGGCAAAGCATCAGGCAAGCTTTCAGGTTGCCAAGAACAACCTTTGTTGATAAAGTATGCATAACATCTGTATGTTAGTAATTTGGTCTATTGTGAAGATGAATTAGACTGACTCATGACAAAAAGCATTTAGTTACAGACTGACATTGACAATGAGCTCCTGTTTGAGTCTGTACTCTGGAGTAAAAACAGGGATCACGACTCACTAGCTGGAACAAAGGCTTGTTTAAGAAATCAATTCTTTAAAATTAATCTTGTCAATGTCAATATATAGATTTCATTTGGAAATGTTATGACTTGATCACATTTTCCTCAAAAACTATTAACAAAATCATGTCTACCGGCAGTGAAATTCTGCTGGTAGTGGTATAGCGTTGGCACTACATCACATAAATGTATACCTAGTCCTTCAAAAAATGAAAATAAACGTCACTGCACTGACTGCACGTCTGCAGTAATGCAATGCACTCAATATACATGAATACATGTACACAGTTGGAGTTACACTGTACTTGTATTTCACTTTGACTTACTGTATTTATTTTATGCATACACCCCTGTACATGTACCGGTACATACATACTCCGTCCCCTCTCACTTTCATCTGCCAATATTTTGCCCATTTACAATTAGTTAAAGATGCCATCTTCCCATTAGGCCAAATAAAAAAACAAAAACATGTTTAGCGTCCTGTTTTTTTGAAAAGTAGGAAGGAGGAGGCCCTTTTTATTTTTTGTTTTTTCTTTCAAAATGGCCGCTCAAAATGGTCGCTCGGTATATTTTGCCTGACAGTCCGGGCCATTTTTTGTCAAGATGGCAGCCGACAATTTTTTTTTTTTTAAAATCAGAAATAGGGCCATTTTAGTAGTGTTTTTCATGTTTTTTTTCTTTCAAAAAAAAAAAAAAATCAAAAAAAAAATTTCAAAAAAAATTAATAAATAAAAAATAAATAAAATAAAAAAAATTAAAAATAGGAGGCGGCCCCCAAAAAGGAAGCGGGCGGGGACGCTAAACATGTATATTTTTTTTAATGGCCTTATAAACACTTATCCTACAGTTCCAGTATAATTTTATCTCATAGGTAATTACTAATTACACATATTCACACAGATGGACAAAGTTTCCTCCATTCTTATCACCACACCAATCAACCGATTTATCCAGACACGTCCATTGTTTATCTCATGCAAATAGTCCTGTTTGTTGACTTGGCACACAAACTAATCTTATTACAACACACAATGTCTAGCTATACCTACATGTACAGTATTATATTTGTATCATACAGTACACGCATCCACGCATACAGTTTTACACATACCGGTATAGTACCTACAGCGTAATACAGCTACTAACACCCTACCAAATACATTACACAAAATTACAAATGTACATTTATTCACATCTAGAAGTGAATGTATACATTTTCAAGTATGGGACTTTAGCAACTTGATAGGTCTACTGCAATTAGACAAAATGGATGCAAAATTTGTTGGTGATATACATGTGTTGCTTCAATTTTAAGAAAATATTTTCATCACTGCATCAAATAAATATCACTGAATTGAATGAAAGATTAATACCCGTACTGAGTTTGCTGTATGATATACTGTACTTTATGAGAAATAATTATTTTAGAACTGTACTCCTTTTCATGGTTATACAAAATAAACAAACTAATTTACGTTTCTGGACCAATACTTCCTAAAAACAGTGGCACATGTGAAAATGTACATGTACATGTACATTGTTGTAGATCAACTTCAAGGGATTTCAAATTAATTTCACAGAAGAAAAAAAATATAATGAATAAAAAATAAAACTTTACAACAAAAAAACCCTTTAAAAATGGCAATGATCTGCATGATCAATCTGTAGGGCACCTACATGTAATTGTAAATGCAGATGTGTTGCTTACTTGCTTTCAATTTCATGCCTGTATATAGAGATGCTGAATAAAATTATGTATTTATAAATATGTGGGACTACATAAAAGTATATATGCATACAAAAGCAAGCACTCCTCCATTCATACTTTATGATGCAATTACTATAGCCATATTACTAGCCTACAGTACAGCTTCTACCGGAGCCAGCCTATTGAAAACACCTGTTCGTAGTACTACATTGACAATGAATGCATTTATAAATAGGTTCACTCTGACTACAGAGTACAACAGGTGACACAAGATGATTGATTCAAGCACCGAAATTACACAAGTGTTGAAGTCTATTTACAGACAATGAATCATTTGGAAGTCCCAGGGTAATGTGCTATAAATAATCTATGGCAGTAAGTTATCAGGTCAGAAACAATTAAATTTTCAGCTAACACACATCTATTGGGTTTAATCCAAAGTTATCTCAGGTTTAATATGCAACTAGTTACACACATGTAAACGAACAAATAAAGAAAAATAGAAAAGAACTAAATAACATAATATCCATATTATCTACATGTATGAATGGTTCTTCAAAGGTACTACAGATTTGTCTTTTAAAACATGGAACTGATATTTTGTCTACATAAAACAATTATACAGACTGACTACTTATTTCAAAAGAGAATAACAAGTGTTTAATACACTTCAAACCCAATAATCATCATCCGCTTTTTATTTTACATACAAATATTACAAAAGCTACGACTGTTTGATTTCATACACACTTCTATAATTAAATGCTGATCCAAGCCAAATTATTTTGGCTAAAAAAAAGCAAAAAGGATAGACCTTCAATAATATAGCAGAAAAATGACTGGCTCTTGGTATAAGATTCATATATTGACACTGCTATTGAATCGGAACGCTTGATGACGTAAAAAGGAAATATAATTATTGAATCAGTATAATATTTACCTGCTAGTATTGCCAATGAGTTGGAATGCTTGATGTAACAGAATACAGAGAGTAGAAGATAAACAATGGCTCTCTTCCAATTGTCTAACCAATTCATATACTCCCAGTATACAAAACACCTGCCATCTCTGTGGAATGCAGAAATAGAAAGAAAGGTAGATGATGAAGGTAGAATAGAGATAATTAAAGCCCCTCTAAACTGTTGGGAGCCCCATATTTGCCAACAATTTAATGACAAAATTTCACTTAAATTGTATCATAATGTGAAAGAGGTTGTCATTTGAGACACACTTCTGCAAAGAATCCCCCCCCCCAAAAAAAAAAAAATAAATAAAAAAAAAAAATAATAATGTGTTTGAAGACAAATAATCACAAAAAACAATACATAATTTAGGTTTTCTGTTGTACGCAGAAAACCTTCGTTCATCAATATTTGACTTCAAACACATTTGTTTTGAAAATCCTTGCAGAAATGGGTCTTATATAACATCCTCTTTCACATTATGATACAATTAATTTTGCCATCAAATTTGTAGGGCTTTCAGGTACAAAGAATAACTACAACACTGCAAGGTCTGCACATTATCATCACTAGAACTATACCAAATAACATTGTATGGAGAACAAAAAAGGAAAAGACCTGTTAAGGTTACACATGTCAGTGGTTTGATTTAATATTTGAGATGCTAATATATATTTTTCTGTACTTTCTTTCTTCTTCCATGACCTGCATAAGAACAGCAAGCAATTGCACATTTAGGAGATCATACAAAATTGCAACCTATCCACTAACTACCGGTACAAATGAATATCATGTCTAGCTTCAATCATAAGGTAGCACAAGTGTCAAATATAAATTAATCTAAAAAAAGAATCGGAACAAATTTTGAAAGACACAAAATTTTAGTTTGATTTTGTGACAGCATTTTGACAGTGTTTCAGCATAGTTTGTGCAACGTTGTCCACTTAGAACCGATCAATGTAATGGAATATTACAGTCAAATCTGCTTTAGCGACCACCTGTATAGAAAGACCACCTGTCTATAGAGACCATATTCTTTGTTTCCCTTAAAAATGGTTTCTTATTGAAACATATACCAGTACTAAAGCAGCCTGTTATCTGTACTTAAATACTACCTGCCTATAAGGACCACTTTTCTTGTTTCCCTTGAGCGGTCTTTATATACAGGTTTCACTGTTCTCTACAATCAAGGCAACACAGAAAGATTGTACCCACCTACTGCAGCAGTTGTCACAACATGGAGTAATAAATATCATAAGCTCTAACAGGGATACTATCAAGGCAGCAAATCTAAGAGAGAGAGGGAGAAAAAAAAGATTAGTTATTCATTCAAAGTGTACCAATCACCCCAAAATAATTTGTATCGTATACGGTGTATGTTAGTCCTTCCATCTCATAGTACTATGAGCTTCAAATATTACGGTTTTCTTTTGTAAAGAGACTTTGCAAGTTACTAAACATTCTAAATGATAAGTAATACAATTGGCAAGTCAAGGGTATGGCCCCCTATGATACTAAGTATTATTGAATAGTATTCTGGAATCATTAACATAGAAATAGCATTTTATTTGATGTTTTGACTGATTCATGTATTACTCTGTAATGAATGTTAATGTAGTATTATTTCATTTCCTTTATAAAGCACATAGAGAATTATATGAATCATTATGCGCTATATAAGCACTTTCCATTATTATCATTATTCATTTTCTAGTACTGTTATGGCTAACGGCTTATTTTAATCATCAAATATAGTGAAATCTTAGTTATGGTATGTATAACAAAGAGGTGTCACGGTCCAGAGGATACGTTGCTAGACTGTGAATCACATGGTTCGCGATTCAAGTCAAACTGTGACATTAATGTCCTCTGGCAAGATATTAATCAATATTGGACGCTCTCAACCAAGATATAGATGGGCAATAATAATAATAATATTCCGCTTTTATATAGCGCTCATCTATGATGTTTCTATTAAAGCGCATAACAGATATACTATTGCCCGGTAGAAAGAAATTCCCTGAATGCTTGAGTGCCTTATCACGGTAGAGCAGCTTAAGCTGGGGGTAATAGTGGGATTACAGGGCCCTCAGGGAGAACAGTATTAATACTAGGCGTGTCTTCACTATCTCGAGATTGCCAAATATCCAGCTATTTGAACTATCCTGATCGAAACTATCCAGCTAATTTGCGTCTTCATTAGACTGAAGTAGCAAATTAGCAGGATAGTTGGTCGGGATAATATCCCAAGATATCTCGGTCTAGTTTGCAAAATATCCCACTATTTCCGAACTAGCGGGATAGTTTGCGACCGTCTTCGTTAGACAGAAGTACGGAGTCAAATATCCCGATCCCATCACGCACAACGATTTCCAGTTGTCCGTGTTTACTAGTTGTACTAGCGCGCTGAGCGGTAGAGATCGCATGTGTGCCGGAAATCGTTGTGCATGATGGGATCGGGATATTTGACTCCGTATTTCTGTCTAATGAAGACGGTCGCAAACTATCCCGCTAGTTCGGAAATAGTGGGATATTTTGCAAACTAGACCGAGATATCTTGGGATATTATCCCGACCAAGTATCCAGCTAATTTGCTACTTCGGTCTAATGAAGACGCAAATTAGCTGGCTAGTTTCGATCGGGATAGTTCAAATAGCTGGATATTTGGCAATCTCGAGATAGTGAAGACGGGCCTACTGATGCGGCTACCCTGGGTAAACAAGACATATTTATTATTTACAATATTACATAAAGGACAACACAGCTTGGGCTTGCCCCTGTACGTGTACATGCTCTCTTTAACATACTTACAAAATATATATGAAGAATAGATCTGTAGCCCCATTATTAGTATCATATACCTGTGTTATACCAATGGCCCATAGTGCTGTGGATGGAAAGAAAACAAAGGGAGAAAATATTTTATTATCATAATATCCTGTTGTATCTATCAAATCAAAACATCTTTTATTGAAGTTATCTTTTTGTATCTATGTACACAAGTATATCATTTTATGTTTCTATACAATGTAAATATACCACAAATTTTCATTGCTAACTGGACCTTATGAATCATATCAAACTGAATTCAAAGATCAATTAAATAAATAATAAAATGATTTGTCACATGTTTGAAACTCCTTTGTGACTACAATATGCTTACATGTACATGTACATGACTGTAGGGTACTTGCTGTGTGTTGCCTCTAAAAGTGCCACAATTACCAACATACACACATATCTCCAAGGAAGCCAAAAGTTATTCCATTTTTAATATCTTTTTTTTTCTTCTCTCTTTTCTATTTCTTTTCTAATTTTATGTTGTTGAGCCATTGTTGAACCATTGTGTTCACGAAACAGGATTTTGAATGAATGTGACATGTTTGGTTTGCAATGTCTGCATAAAAAAGTATTATAAAAGGTGTGTGTTTGCAATACACACCTATTTGCTTTTTTGTAATGTAGACGTGTACTTAGTGTAACCGATACATGTACATCATCTATGCTAACTTTTCACATGGAGAGAAAAGACATAAAGGGAGGGAGAGGAAGAGAGAGAGAGAGAGAGAGAGAGAGAAGGGGGAAGAGATGGGGGGGGGGGGGGGGGGGCAGCAGGAACTTACATGTAGGCTTACCAACTGTGCATAACATTGGGTGGGGGGGGGGACTTACGAAAAAACAGACAAAAGGCCCATTTACATTGCAGAAAAACCAATTTGAAAAAAAAAAAAAATTAAAACTACCAATTGGAAAATGCCATAAAAAGCATCAGTGTTTGATAATTCTGTTTTCTGAAATCAGAATCTATTCACTATTATTATGAGAGCAAGCATTTTCACTGCAAAAACCGTTTGGAGTTTCAGCATGCATTTCAAAAACCATACTCCAAACATGTTTTTTGGTTTTTGTGTGTGTTCATGGTTCTGAGCTTCGCAACTTTAGACAAAACTCTAGAATATGAGCAAATTGACAATTTTTTTCTTCCAGTGTAAACGCTCCTTAGGTCTAATACGAACACACACAATCAAATTAGCACATGGTTTTCAAGCATAATGCATTCATGCTCCAATGATAACAATGTAATATGATCAGTGCGCTAATATTGTCTTATTGCACCCATGGAGACTGTGTCCTAATCTAAACTGCCTAACCAACTGTGCGGAGAGAAGGCTCTCTTATTGTGGACATCTGGTCAAAAATGTTCACTCTTTTCAAAGACCTTCATGTTCTCTTTGGCCCAAATTCACAAAGGAGGTTTATGTGCATCATATGACGCATTTCGATGCGTTTCAGACCAAGGTTCAGACAAACCTTGGTCTGAAACGCGTCAAAACGTGTTAGCACATAAACCTAGGTTTGTCTACAAACCTCCTTTGTGAATTTGGGCCAATGAGTCTGGGTAACGTGTAAAAGTAAAATTGTAAATACTGAATTATAACACAGACACTTACTGTTCACTGTGTCCTAGAAAAAACATAATTCATACGTAAATAAAGAGAAAATCTTCACATCAATTTCAACTACCTGCCAACTGAAATCATATACAATCAAATAAACGAATGTGTTTAATTGCCACATCATTTTATCAAATGTATTATTTGGTTCGGTTTGATAGTTTGTTTAACCTGACTGCTACATGCATGTGTTTGCTTGTAACTTATATATGTAAGCAACTAGGGGACCTACGACTTTAAGTCCTCTACGAGGGACTCGGTCAGGAGGAATACGGCCTGATCAAAGGGCAACAGCGCATCGCGGCTTGGTTTCGAACCCAGGGCCTCCTGGCTACAAGATCACTGACCGCGCTCGACCCCTGAGCCATCGCATCTCCTCTGATTTAAAAAATATCCCATTCTAATTGAAGCCTAAATGCAACTATGAAAAATTTGCAGTTCCAGAGAATGCGATTAATAAAGAAATAATGTAAATAATGAAATAATGAAAAAATAATGTAAATAATGTAAATGACGTGGGCTCAATCCCACCCCCCTTTGTTTTTTCCTTTTATATTACTTCCTTGTTAACGATTATAGCGGCCTTAAGCTTTTACAGGATTTGTGCATGTACGAACATATGTATGATTATTTTTATTAATACATCCTTTTCATTTTTATGAACACATTGATGATTTTATTTCTTCAAAGATTTGTCTTCTTTCATTATAATGCTTTAATGCTTAAGCTTTTTTATTTTTATTTTTTCATTTTAGTAAAGAAAAAAAGTTACATGATATTGTATTATTTTGTTGTATATATGTAAATACAAAACAAACAAGTTTTACATTCATATGTAAAAACAAATTAACAGAAAAAAATCTTGCCAAAGAATGGAACTAGGCTCGACTAGCACTTGTGCTAACTTCTAGTTCCCATTAAAGGTAAAGACCAGTATTGGAAACGCACAAAAAATGAAATGGAAGCTCTCATTACCAATCATGTGAAAGAATATGTTTTGACTAATACATGATGATAACAAATTTGTCGGGGAACCGCCTAATAATTCATATATTTGGTAAATTTGTTTCTCTCATGGTCTGTGAGAGATATAGGGTAGTCCCATATACATCTTTCTGTGTATAGTGCTTGTAACTTTACGCAGAATGGGCCAAATTTCTTATCATTTTGATGATTCCAGAACCTTGCAGATGCTAGATGATCAACCTTTTCTGATCGATTCCACAACATTTCTTTCACAATGCAATCGCATGACCATAACTGGTCTTTACCTTTAACAACTTCACCTAAACATAGTAATATACATATTTACGTATATATCTTTTGTACATTTAATAGTATGCAGATGTATGTCTACAAAATATCGTTTTAAAACCATTACTGTTCAATCGACATTACTCTTGTGTTATGTATACATGACATGTATCAGTATTATTCTTTGCATTATATGATTGTTCATATATAGTGTCATTATTGTGATGTGTTGTTGTTAATAAATTCAAAATTCAAATTCAAATAATAAATTCAAAATTCAAATTCAAGAAGGGTGCACAGAAATTACAAAAAATTGAATTTAAATTGTAATCAGCTTTCTAAAAATACACATACATGTACATGGATCTAAACAATAACTGTTCCTAATTTTATTCAATATTAGACCTTTTCATTTTTTTAAAATACAAATTACTATTGAAGGATTAGTATAAATCTGTGTACATCATTTGCCTGTCATGTCTTGATAGGGACATAATGCATGGCTACCGATGTGTAAAACCAGGGAGATTTATATGTTACATGATACTCTATAAATGGCTGTACATGGCATTATGATCAAGGCATCCTGCATGCAAGGACGCATGTGTTCATGTAGTTGATCTAACAGCTCGTAAGCTCCAATTTTTTTAACAAAAAATGGAAACCGAGCTGCCTGAAATATGCTGGTCCTGTGGGCTATATACTTGCATGTACATGTACACATATCACCCAAAGCTATTATCTTGTATTGGTTGCAAGTGCTTGAGCTTGTTGAGAAACGGCTCTAGGATTTTAGAGTTTATTTCAACCCGTAATACTTATGGCACTTTAATCATGTACATGTAATGAAGATATGCATTATTCTTCTTCTTGTTATCTGAATGATCAGAGATGTAAAGGATGATCTTTCAATCAGCTCTACAAATCTAAAAGGGTGAGATAAAAATAAAAAAGGACAACAAATAAGCATCGCCAAAAGGAATTCCCACTTACATTTTTACCATATTCTCTCCGTTTCATCGTAGGTGAAGCTACGTACTACATAGAAGTCCAAATCACTCCCCCCCCCCCCCCCCCAAACAAAAAAGAGCCAATGAATACACAAGCTTTACTAGATTATTTTAATTTGTTGATGTTTCTTTCCTTGAGACCTACATGTAGTGGCAAGTTATTTCATTAACCTGTTATCATCAATGAATAAACTACAATAGTTAAAATTAAGTCTGCATACGTTACTTGTAACTAGACCTATGTGGGGTAAGCCTTGTGCAAGCTTTCAGGTAATATCATGAACAACCTTTGTTTGAATGAATACATTTTTTGAACATGTTAGTAAACTGGTCTATTCATCACAAGTACAATGCCGATGGAAAGTGTTGTTGTTGTTTTTTGTTTTTTTTCCCCCCAAAATGAAGAGAGAGAGTCCCATAATAAAATTTGTGCACAGGGCCACAAGAGTAGTGTGGCAGACAGAGCATTAAGTTTACAGCGCTCTTCTACTTCATTTTTTTTTTTACTCTCCCCGCCGCACTGTGTAATCTTGAATCAAAACAGGTTTAGATTAATACTTGTCAGCACCATCCTAAAACCTAAATAATGAAAAAACTGAAATATTATTAAAGTCAAACTGGAAACAAACATGACCATGAATCATGATGAACAAACAACTGACGATGTCATTGTCACATGATCATGAACGTTTCTGTTTTATCATCACGTTTGTGGAATGGAATCACAATCACTGAACCAAGGTAAACAATTTCAATTTCAAACATAGACTAATTGTATATTTATAAGTAAACATCAATATCTAAGTACATGTTTTACAACTGACTTCAGTCAGAATTAAATAGGCCTAGGCCTAATAATAGTAATACATCTAACTCTCTCTCTCTATCTCTCTGATCTGAGAGTCTGACAAATCAAATGGCTGCATGAACATGACTTTTTACAAACCCACCTCCTCCGACTAAAACTCCACACGTCCGCACAAAAGGTGAATAATATCTCCACAAACAGGTACAGCAACCGTCTTCACAGCAACCTTGAGCCATTATTTTGAAATTAGTTTACCAAATCCTATGAAATAAAAGTCTTTTTACAGATATACACACAGAGAGTGGGCGCGGCACCCGGCGACGCGACGGATAGTCTAATAATGCTGTGGCTTAGCATGCACTGAGCGGTGGCGCGCCTGGACGGCTGGCGTGGTGGCTGGACTTGTGCTGGCCAAATTGATTCGCCCTGCCTGCCGTGCAGAAAAAGATTGTTTGAGCTGTCACCGTAAGTGGCGCCAATGCAAAACAAAATTGACACACAGTCAGCAGCATGCAGGGCCGGGCTGAAAAATAAACATCCCCAAACAAAAAATAGAAATAAATATATACTTTTTTTAAATATATAAAGCAATTGTGCCTAAATATATGTTCTAATCAGAATTATTGATGTTCAGCACAGTAAGTATATACCTACGTAGAACAAAATTACTGTCGGAAGGGTAAGAGGGGGGGGGGGCGGGGGGGGGGGGGTAGAGACTATGGGGCACAATCATTTTTAAAGGGGACTTGGGTACTTAATGTGAAAGGAAGCCAATTTGCAATACAGTGTACGCTTATCTTTGTATTTCATGTAATAAATATCCTTTTAGTCTAAATACTCTACTTATCCATTATATATATCCATTTTATTTTATATTTTATATTATATTTTATATCCATGTCAAACCGACTGTAGACCGGTTCTACATCGACCAAATCTTGGCTAGTGGGGCCTGGTAATCTGAAGTTAATGGCTCTCAGGCGCGTACGCATGCGGGGGGGGGGGGGGGGGGGGGGGGGGGGGGGGTTAAACCCCCTTTTTATTAAAAAAAATCCTAATGGATGACCTAAAAGAGCTAAAGTCGAATATTTTCAAGATCAAATTGAAGAAAACAAACATGACTCCAGGAAGTTATGGAAAAATTTGAAGGGTTTAGGTCTAAAAGGCAAAGGGAAAAGTGCTCAAGAGACAGTTATTAATGTCCAGGGAGAATTATGTCATGATAAATCAAGAATAGCAAATGAGTTCAATAATTATTTTACAACTGTGGCTGACAAGTTAGCGTGTAAATTACCAGTAAACACGAACAAATTCCATGCCGACAGTGAAAGATTTCAAAAGTTTTATGACGAGAAAGACATCTCAAAAGATAGTTTTCACTTTTCTCCAGTTACAGAAAAGTTTGTTTTAGATGAGTTAAACAAGTTGAAAGTATCGAAAAGTACTGGACTAGATATGATACCAGCCAGATTTTTAAAAGATGGGGCGAGAAATTTGTATGAACCTTTGAATTATATAATCAATTTATCTCTTATGTCTTCTACCTTTCCTGACGACATGAAAATTGCAAAAGTAACACCGCTACATAAAAAGAAAGACAAAACTGACGTTGGTAATTATAGGCCTATCAGTGTTTTAAGCGTAGTTTCAAAAATTTTGGAAAAATCGGTTCATGCTCAAATAGAGAAATATTTTCAAGAAAAAAAGTTAATATATGAATTTCAGTCCGGCTTTCGTAACGGATATTCCACTGAAACATGTTTAATACATTTATCGGATTTTGTTAGGAATGAAGTTTCTCAAGGGCGCTTTGTTGGAATGGTTCTTCTGGACTTACAAAAAGCCTTTGATACTGTAAATCATAACATACTGTTAAAGAAATTGGAAGTGATGGGTTTGGATTCGGCATGTGTTAAATGGTTTAGATCATATTTAACTAATCGTCATCAAGTGGTAACTATGCAGAAGGTAATATCTGATTCCCTGCCTATTAAATGCGGGGTTCCACAAGGGAGCATTTTAGGCCCCATTCTCTTTATGTGTTATATTAATGATATGTGTACTTGTGTTAATGATTCTAAATTACTTTTATATGCTGACGATAGTGTGTTACTATATTCAGATACAAATCCTAAGTCAATTGAAGAAAAACTAAGTGCAGAATTGGCAAAATGCATCGAATGGATGACAGACAACAAGCTTAGTTTACATGTTGGAAAAACAGAAAGTATTTTATTTTGTTCGAAGGGAAAGTTTAAATATACACGTGACTTCAAGGTTACCTATAATAATCAAGTGATTGAGAGAAAAGATTCAGTAAAATATTTAGGAATAAATTTAACTAGTGATCTGTCATGGACAGGTTTGGTAGATTCAATTGCCAAAAAGGCTAATTCTCGCTTAAAATTTTTGTATAGATACCAAACTTGTATGAACATGAAGTCGAGACGTATTTTGTGTTTTGCTTTGATACAATGTTTATTTGATTATGCTAATGCTGCTTGGTACAGTAGTCTGGGCAAGATGGATAAGAAAAAGTTAAGAATAATTCAGAATAAGATGGTAAGATTTATTAATTGCTTAGGCCCAAGAACACACGTCGGGAAAAATGAACTTGAAGAAGCAGGTATACTCCATGTAGGTCAAAGGTCTAAACAACTCGTGTTACACCATGTCCATAAAATATACTACTCAGATGTAGATCATTATATTACTAATAATTTTACTCGTGTCTCAAATATCCATGGATACGATACAAGAAATAGTCATTTTAATTTTGTTTTACCCAAGCGAAAAGGACAAATTGGAAACTCTTTTTATTTTAATGGTATCCAATTTTGGAATTCTCTCCCAAAACATGTCAAAATAGTTAAGAATTGTTCACACTTTAAAAGTGTATTAAAACAATACCTAAAGCATGAATCCCTTCAAGAACAGTAATATCAGTTATCTTAAATCACAGTTCATTATGTGTAGCGCATGTTTTTAAGTTTAATCTTGCATAATATACCGTAGATCATTGTTTGCTATAAGTTCTAGAAATTTGTGTTGTTGTTTATGTTATATTATTTATTCGTAATATTCGTAGTAGTTATTAGTTGTGATATTTTATTCTCATGCCATACTGTACACGTACTTTATAGGACCCCGTTGGAAATAAGCCTTTTCCGGCTTTCATGGGTTATCCTGTCAATGTATCTTCTCGTTCCATTTTGCTTTATGTATGCATTCAATGTACTATACTTGACGAATAAAATCAATCAATCAATCAATAAAAAAGATGACCTTACCCCCCCCCCAACGGAACGGAATATCGATTGGTCAAATTTTCAAAATTTCGGTACCAAAAAAAATAAAATGTGTCCTTTTACCCCCCCCCCCCCCCCCATAACATTATTCTCATTTTCTTCAAATGCATGCCATTTTTTAATGATTACATTACATAATTTCCCACGGAATTCGTTTGATAGCATCCAATGTTGCGCAATGCGTTTAGTGCATGATAGCTGCAGCATGCAAACTTCAATGTCCCATTCTTGTACTAATTGTGTTGTTTTGCTTGTCCTGTCATGTATTGTCTTGTTGTGTATCGTCCCGTTTTCCCCATCCTTCCTTGCATTTTCTACTTTATGATATTTTATGTTAGGGAACCTAAATTAAGCTATGCTTTCCTATGTTACCTCCGCCATTCAGCAAGCAGTATTATCTTCTTTATCTCAATTGTGTACTTTTACTGCATCGCACGTACCCTACCTTATTATGTATATTGCCTGTTTGTTAACATTTTTATTGGAATGACTTTGTAAAACGAAAAACTGTTATTGTGGAATTAAATCAAATGAAATAAAATGTAATTTTTTTCTCTCGTATAGTCGGGCCGGGTTCGGTCTTGTTGGCGTGACAGAGGTAAACTCTCGCTTATGTAGTAGGCCTTTAAATGTAAATGCCATATGTATGTAGTTATTTATTCATATCTTATATGGCAGAAACAAATGTCTTTTGAACTTGGAATATGATCATCACGATTGGGTAACATCTTCACGTTGTATTACCCTTTTAAGGGTGTATGCTGTAATAGTCGGAAGTTATTGGTTTTTCATAGTTTCCCATTTCTTTTCTATTTTGACAAGACGTCATGTTCAGTTGTGCAATATGGATCTTACGTCAATTAAGTTCCACCTAGCAGGTTTGGCATGTGGAAAATTGTCGCAATCCTTTCATAAAGTGATTTCCTTATGCAATGAATCACGTGTATATATTTGTTTTCCTATTTCATCATGCAATATTCTAGAATTATCTTTGTCATATTTTATAATTAGATGGAGTGTCATTTTTTTTTTTTTTTTTTAATGACTCACTGCTATTTGGTAAACAGCGCCATCTGACGGGGAAGCAATATATGCCAAGAAACTCGTCTGCATACAATCAGGACTCTATTTTGACAAGCCAAACTAATCATTCAAATTGGTATGATATATTGATATATTGGGGGGGGGGGGGGGGGTCATCGATTTTAGTATAGGTGGATGACATGCAAGGGTTTTGGAAAGATTCGTAACCACCTTCTTCTCACGTTGGATACCCAATCCCACATCTCCCCCAAATCTCCCCATCTCTAATTTCCCTCTAAAAAAAAAAAAAAAAAATCGGTAAGGGGCTGGGGCATTACCCCCTAGCCCAACAAATGCTCTACTGTTTGGACTCTGTATCCAGATTCGTGAACTCGTTATATTAAAAAAATATGCATGCACTAGGAAATCATTGCCTATACGGTCGCAATGTGTTTAGTTGAAAGTGTGCCCTAAAAAAGGTTCGACATAATTATTTCCATCATGTTTAAATAAATAGTCAAAACTTCAGTCATTTAGGCAACATGATATTGGTTTAAAAAAACTGTATAAAAAAATTCTTATTCATTACAGATTAGTGTAGTATCTTTTCTTTCACCTTCTGATGCAGGTCATTTTTTTTTCTTCAATTTTCCTTTTGGAAGGTTTGATTTTCAAGTTTAAAGATAAAACGATAAAGATGAATTTGAGAAGATACAATGCAATGATGTTGATAATGATAATGATAATGAAAATATTAAAAAGGAAAATAAATAATAATGATAATAATGGTATAATAATAATTATTTTTTATAATGCTAATAATAACGATTGTAATGCTAATAATACTAATGAAGTTGTAAGGAGCTCCAAATTGGGAGCCCCAAGTGTTGGGAGCCACAGAGGATTTCGAAAAAGTACCCTTTTTCTTGAAATTTGACTTTTTTGAACCCCTTAACGCGGCACCACGCGGAACGTGTCCAATCCCCCAGACACCCCTTTATATATGTTTCCTTGCTCACGCATGCTTACAGTATTTATATTTGACTGAGACCCCTTGGATATTCGTCCATTCACTTCCGCAATGCTCATCAATACATTCTTTCATTTTTTTTTTAGCCTGTCCTTCTGCTTGCGTAAGGTTAAAAAGCTCCTCTTAAAGTGTTGGAAGCCCAAAACAATTTGACGGCAAAATGTCAAGTAAATTGTATCATTATAATGTGAAAATATTAAATTTTGTCTTCAAACACATTGTTCTTAAAGGGGAAGTCCACCCTGAAATTAAGTTAGTTCTAATAGGAGTAGAAAAATGAGAGAAACGAGTCAGTGAAAGTTTGAGCAAATTCCGATTAAAAATAAGGAAGTTAGGATTTTTGAAGTTGTGATCAATCAAACACAAATTGGCAACTCTATGACGTATCATGCGAGCTCAACTTCCATTTGCTCAGTACTAAAAAAATCTAAAATTGTCATTTTCCCTCAAGAAAAATTTCAACCATACATGCACCCTAAATATAATAATTGCAAATATGTTTCTATACTCCCCCTGCAAGGAACAAATATATATTCCGTCATCAATAACGAAGAAAACATGATTTTATGGAATATTATGCACAAAGCAAATGAAGGAGAGCTCGTATAATAAGTCACAAAGTTGCCAATTTGTATTTGATTGATCACAACTTCAATAATTCATAACTCTCTTATTTTCATTCAGAATTTGCTCAAACTTTCACTCACCTGATTTTCTTATTATTCTGCCTCTATCGAAACAAACTTATTTTGGGGGTGGACTTTCCCTTGTTCTTAAGAAGTTGGACGCGGTCCGCGCTGTGCCGCGTTAAGGGGTTAAAACACGTCAAATTTCAAGAAAAATGGTACTTTTTCAAAATCCTGCTGTACGCGTTTAGAGATATTTTTCAAGATCCCGACTCAAGAAGTTACAATTTTACAATACTTGTTCAGGTGTACACTTTTGTGGAATACCCGTTAAGGGTGTGCTTTGGGGAAACAACACGCGAAATCCTCATTTAGGATATATTTCGGCTTCAGAAAATATCCTTGTTGGGAGGGGGGGGGGGGGGGTGTCTGGAAAACCTGTGGTCATGACTGAGACCCGTGGGACGAATAATGTATATAGGAAAAGCGAAGCAGTTATTATGAAGCCTTATACTCTTACCGACACCACTGAAACCAGGGCCTGTAACCATGGTAACGCAAACCTTAGGAATGTATTGTAATATTGATTGATCGATAATCGATATTGTGCAATCAATATTGATTGCACATCATGGTCAATTGCAAAATAGCAGTCAACTGCTAAGTTACGTTTTTTTTTACGGTGCCCAGAACGACAACAATCCTTAAAAAACAAAAAAGTAAACAACAAGCTAACAAACAACAAAATCAAACTAGCGCTAGTCCAAGGATCGGTCGGGATGAAATGGGTTTGGAGTTGGGTTGGCTGTGTGACCGGGGAATAAAACTCTTTCTTCTTCGATGAGTTCCGTGTAAACTAAACGGATAAAGGATGTATAAAGTTATTATTCCTGGTGGTAAAATGTTTTGCTGAACTGCCAGTTTGTGCAGCGGCGAAGCTAGGAATGTTTACTCTCATCACTGGGGATGATGGGCATTGCAGTTTGGCTCAATGATGTATTAACACAACGCATTGCATTTAAAAAATGTATGTATGTACTTGCAAAACTTTCGTTATTTTTGCTTCTCTCCCTAAAGATATTGCATACCTGCAATTTTAACTGCATTCTGTCTATTTGCATGAATGTTTTTTTTAATTTTATATATAACATGTTAACTTCAATTGTGTAAGCTTGATTTTTTTTATGTGCTTTTGAATTTTTAGGGAATAAATAACTTAAAATGAAAAATAAATGAATAAAATGTATTACATTTCATGCAAATCAACTCTGTTTTCTCTTCATATAAACTTTTCACTCTATAACGAATGGGGTATAATTTTAAAGAAAAATAAATATAATTTTTATTGATACCAAACATACAGAACTGATGATTGCGCAATGACATGAGAGATATAATCGATCAAAAAAAAAATTTCTCGAGGATTTGTTTTCTGCTTTTTTTCAGACTCGAGAGGTCGGGTGTTAAAAGGGTATTCCCGCGGATGACGCAAGGGGATTCCCCCGCGATGTATTCTACTACTGTTGTCCTGTTTTAACAAGTGCGTGGCGTGGGTGAAGCCAATCATTCTTCAATTTTCTGCATTCGTGTAAGGGTCAGCTGTGCTTAGGCCCACCAACATATGGAAATATTACAACCGGGTTCTCTCAGTGTTCGGTAAGAATAATGTTCTTTTGTGCATTTGGGGGATGTTTCTGTCTTCATTTTCCCTCGATGACGTCATGTGTGCCATTATGATGTACACTATGAGACACATCATTACATTCTGCTAGAAAAACAGAATAGCCTTTATATTGATTCCTATAATTTCAATAAGGGTGACAATTATTAATGGTAACTAATTGTCATGGTTCCATGGTACACGGATGAATATATACATGATTTGCCGATCGAGTATGTTTTTTTTTTCTCTTCTTATTTTCGCTCTTTTTTCTGGTCTCAATCTCGGGCAAGCGCCATTATGTGGATATTTGCTAAGATAAAAACTTGTAAGAAATGTATATGACTAGAACTGGAAAGATGATCTCTTCAGTTTGTAACAGAGATGAACTTAATTGGTCAATATTGCGAAAAATGCAAGAAACTATCGCGTTTTTATTAATTCATTTTTCTTGATTGCAACATTTTCGAGGAGAGAGTGCAGTATTGCCCAGGTATTGCGTTGCATCGTCAGGTATTTGAATGAATTGAAATAACCTTCATTTTACAGGTACGATACAATTACACAATAAGCTGCAATACTTATCTTGTGGATCGTGAAAGCAAGAATGAACTTGCCCTAGCTAATATACAATTTACATACAGCGAGTACCCGTAGGTCTCATAATGCAAAATAATATTGTAGCTATTTTCTAGGCCCATACTTGACGAGCTACATGCACATTGAGCTCCGAGTACGTATACTGCATTATGTTAGAGGTCAAATGCCGTTTCTCCTTACAATAAAACTGACGCTGCAATGGGCAGCTGCTGTATATGATTGTCTTGCATGTCGATCATTGTATATTATAATACATGTACCCGTATCATGGAGCTGGAATGTCCCTGCTCGTACTACAAATACAATGTTCGCTACGTACATTATAGAAGCAAGCTGTTATCGGAATACAATCATACAACCTTAGAAATTCAATGAATTTCAATTTAGCAAGCGAACTGTATTATAGCTACATATTGCTTCGTATGTGTACGTGGCAGTCTATACCCACGCACAATTATCACTGAACTTTGCGTAGTCGTTCAGTGGAAATTATGCAAGCATGAAACAGTTGAGTATTTTAGCCTGATCGACTGACTGTCTTGGTCAATATGGCGTACATTCTTAGTTTCTCTTTTCCCCCACAACCGTCACTAATAGGATCAGAACTTGCATGATTAACACAATGTGAAGTTCCGTTTGTTGTCATCTGACCAAGAAGTTGATCTGACCTACATCGAATATTATTATAGTCTGCAATCACAGACTCTAATTTGACATTTTACCACAATTCCTGAAGCCTTATTGAGCAGAGCCTAGACTGATTTGTCTGTTTCTGGCTGTTATGTTACGAACAAGGATTTGTGCTTGCAAACTATAGTGGTATACCGCCTAATAACCGCACCGGTCGAATAGCACTTCGAACCGCAATGTCAATGGTTCGAACAAAGACCCGGTTACAAATCGGATGAGTCACAATTGACCACTTTCTTGTTGTCTTTCTCAGAAATCCGGATATTTCCGCTGAATCATTCTCATTTTCCATTCTTATTTGCACCCGATATGCACGTGGTGGCTATTGTCATGATTGCCCAATTTCAACTGCACTGCCACGTGCTTATTAATCAGAGATTGCGTAACTCATGTACCATGTGGAGATATCACTACAGTTGGAATGAAATATAGGGCGACTGTTAATTGATATGTGGAAATTCATTTGTGATCGTCATGCACCATTATATCCAAGGTCACTTGTTATCCACACGTGCAATTTTGCACGAAATCGCGAAACAACAGGAGTGCCTTGTGCAACACAATGGCTACGAAATATTACACATTTTCTGGGCTTGACAATAATTTTTTAAGCCCCATGAAACAATGAAAACCCTCTTATCATCAGTATAGATTAATTATTCTTCCACTGGCATCTAAATAATCTTGAAACCTTTCATATAACCTATCCCATGATTATTACAATGTGGCAAAGGGATTGTTTGTATATATTTTATAAAGCGTTAAGTTTTCTTAAACTCTCAAACCATGCCACGTACTAGCCCATGCCATATTCCCCGTAAACCACATTATACTGAGGTGAGTTTCAAAACAACCCTAGAAGATCCTGGGTCCGCTATTTTACATGGATTCATAAGTATATGTGGATGAAATTTTAGATAACAATCATGTTTTTAATGAGAACATATTTTGACCCCCAATGTGTGATCTCACATACTTATCCTATTTTGATCAACGTTTTTTGTTTGTAATGCTTTCTTACCTTTTTTATTTTACTTTATTTAGTTTGTATTGATCATAATTCTTTGATTAGTTAATTAATTAATACATTTATTAAAACTATATTTCTTACTTTTGTTTTCAATTATTATTCCTTTTTTGGGGGGGGGGGGGGGGGGGGGGGGTCACCTTGTCTTTACAATTGGTACCCTAAGTAACAAACAGATCTTCATTTATGACATATACTTCTTGTTGAATCAACATTTTACACGCTATCCCTTCATTAATGGACTGCGGTAGTCACTGCGCATGTCCTTTGTTATGAAATTACAGTTAGAATTTGTTTTTCTTCTTCTGAGATGCATGTTGTCACTATTCGAAACTCATTCATGGTGACAGTAACAGTGTAACACACCTTCGTTACTTGATTTTCTAACTCACAATTTAAATACTGCATTATTCAAATCAAAGCCCGTGACTTTTGATAATCTAGCTTCAACGGCAGCATGCATCAGTGATTTCTTATTCATTATGACGCAGTGGGTGATACCGATGCGGGGGGCAATTACTGGTAAAATCGTTACATAAATATAAAGACAAAACTGTACTTTTCCATTAGCGGGGGTGGGGTAGAAACCCGCCCCCCCCCCGCTTCATCAAACTATGAATTATGGTGATTGATAAAGATATTCGGTCATTATAAATAAGCTCCTCCTAACTTCACACACATGGTTACTCTAAATGACCAGCGTCATAATTGATTTTTTTTCTTCGTTTTCTTGTTACCATCAAAGTATTAAATTCAAGGAAAATATGTATAGAAACGTTTCGCTTCTTGCGTTTTACAGTGCATGACCATGTTTTATAAACCAAAAGCGAAATCGTGCATGTACTACCGGTAAATATCTATACAATTTTATTTTCGGAGAAATATCAAATTTAATGTTTGCTTTCTTGATAATCTTCCTTCAAATCCTACTTTAGAATTACCTTGCAGCTTTCTGTGTTAAATGTCAAATACATGTACATGGACCTTTAATATTTATCAAAAGCCCTATCATGATAAACATTGAGCAATAGTTTTTCTGTCTAAAGTCGAATGATATTAATGCAAATATCATTTCCAAAGGTATAAGTTATCATAAATTTATTTCGAGTTATGATATAGGCCTAAATAATAATGTTTACTCAGAGATACGGTAGTTTGTCTTGTCATGGCGCTGCCAAAGTGATTATTTTGGGGATACTCCCCCTATACTATAGGTCCATACTGATCTGATACTTCTCGAACTCCATCTTTATGATACTCCTATTTCTAATACGAGGGGAGTGGGGGGGGGGGGGGTGAGGAAGAATGGGATGGGTGTGTTCATCATGATTCATTGTCCTCCAAAGCCCATTGGATTGAGGTATTGAGTGAAATACCAAAGTAACCGAAGTGAAGCAATCTTGCGTATTTACTTTCCAGTATTCAGACCACAAGACAAGGATTACTTTATATATTCATATTTATATTCATTTTCATAGTTTATTGCCACGCACGAAAAGAACCGTTCTTTTTGCCACATCCAAACTACCCGAGTGGTTTAAGTCCAGTCCAGCCCGTCTACTATGCACATGGTCTAATAATCATGTTGTCTACTTATCATTTGGTCTAATTACCATTTGGTCTTATCTCCGATAAGTCTACTACCCATTTGGTCTATTGCTCGTTAAGTCTAATTTCCAGTCGGTCTGATTCCCAGTTTGTATAATGCCCATTTTGTCTACCATCCATATGATAATCTTTTAATAATACTTAATAATCCTCATCAAATGATTATTAGACCTTATGGACGGTAGACGAAATGCTCCAATGTTCTTCAAAGATTATACTATCATGTGAATGCACCTCTTATATCAAATGCAAGAGAAATGTCACTATTTGATTTGATACTGAGTACTAAACCTGTAAACAAAAACTGACTTAAATTTGTAATCTTCGTAAATATTGATTTTACAGTAGCTATGATATAGTTATCTTTTAACAAGGGGAAACAGCAATATCGATAATTGTTGGGTAAAAGTCACTCGAGTATCATTTTTCTTTAAGTAATTAATTTTAAATAGAATCAGTATAATAGGAATAAAGATGAAAAGAGTATCTCCATAAAAAAAAAGAATAAAGAAAAAAAGCCAACCTCCGAAAACTGCTCACTAGTGTTTAGGTTTCTGGATCCTCTATTCATTATCTTATGATGGAAATGAATATTCTATTCTCACTTTGTGCCGAATTCTCGGTCTTTGGTTGAGTGAATTCAATTTTTTTTCTCCAAAAAACTAAGTTGAGAAACGATGATAGTTTCAAGCTTTTTGTTTATATACCCTCTCAAAATTGGAAGTAGAGCAATAATGATAGTGATGATAAAAATTAATAATAGTAACAATAATAACTCTGGATTTATGAAGTAACATCCATACAATAGTGTTTCTTGATATTATTATTATCAAATAAATTTGAAAGTCAAGTTTGGAGCTTTCAAATACTAGAGGCCTAACTCTGCCGATATTATTAGGAACTTTTAGATTTGCACAACGAAAACGTGGATTGCTACGATCGACGTCCTTTTAATGCACTGCCTTGAATGGACGTCACACGTACGTATCAGTCCACGCAAATCTAAAAGTCCCTATTGCATTTTTAATTTGCCTGTATAGATAAAGCTGGGAAAATAATGTATATTGTGTCACACTCAAAAAATCATGTGAAAAGCAGAATTTTCAAGGTTAAGACCACATTGTACTAAATATAAACATTGATCTCACAGCGTGTCACATATTCTAAATCAATATGTACGCATTATATGTCAAGCTCTTACTATTCAAGCTCTAGTTTTGTTGGAGGGGCGTCATATAATTTATGTTCGAAATATGCTGTAAACTCCTGGATAAGTATCATCTGACTGTTCTAGACCGAATGACATTTACATGTAATGCCTTGCCGAAGAAATTGAATTAGTATTTGGCCAGCATTACGAAAGGATTAAGCACATATTTCCTGTTGTTGGGCTAGTGTGACTTCCTATATGCTAGGCTTAAGCCAATAGCTCTTATTGTCCTGTTTTCAAAACTACATCGGGAATTCACCCGAAAGACAGAACGACATATCTATTTTAATTACGTCATGTACAGAATGTACACCCACTCGAATAAACAAACACTGTGATATACTCATACATAATGTCTAATAACATACAAATAAAACAGAAATCATTTACGCCCTCATGTACAGGGGTTAGTCACAGAACTATGCCGAACGTGGGGTTTGAAGCGGGGGCGCGGGGGTCACTAAACTGGGCAGCAAAAATAAAGGTTTTTTTTAAAAATGGATCAAGCCACACCCTAAATGACTGTAACATGTTAAGTAAGGGAGCGGGGGCTATAATGAACGAACAAATCATCTTGAGTCAGTGAAATAACTTGTGACGCCCTTAAATAACTTTTATTGTTATTATTATTGAAAAAGGAGGGCGTTTATGAGATATCAACCCAATATAAGGGGCGACTTTTTGTTACATATATAATATATTCCATGACGTCTCATTACGTGTCATGACGAGGACATGATTTTTTTAAATCGTACATGCAATGAGCTACATGTAAGGCGTTGCCATTTCAATGCATGCACTTATATTCCGAAAAAAAAATCCCCAACAGACTTTACATGAATAATGATGTCATGAATTTCATCTGCCCACAAAAGGCTTTCCAGGTGTTTGTTTGTGTTTGTGGGTGGGGGGGGGGGGGGGGTAAGGGGGGGGGGTGAAGGGGTTGTCCCTTTCATTCATGTATGTTATTATTCTCTGCCGTTTCATGAATAAGGAAGTAACGGTACGATATGCCATACAGACATGGAATAGATCGAGAGAAGGTTATCCCCTAATCATAATGCCAATTCTACGCAAAGAGGATATAGTATAAACTAATGTGAAAAGCCTTTACATGTTTTTAGAGATGTCATGTTTTCATATCATAAAAGTTCTAAGAATTCTTTCTTTCATTTCTACGTTAGATAAAGAGTATTATACAAACGATTATTTCATGGTAAAATGTTTCTTTCTAACTCTATACATGGACATCGTGAATGTGATGAAAGGGAATTACTGGGAACTTTTAACTTCTCACTTCGAATTCGTCATTCACCGACGAATCAATAGGGAATTTTAGATTTGTGTGGACTCCTATACGTGTGACGTGCTTGTAAGGCACTGGCAGTCACATGTGACGTCCTTTTAACTATTTTTCGCGATAATTTTTTAACGCAAGAAAATCTTGCACTGAAGCTTTGTGACTTTTTTCTTTCGAGTCTTGCGCATCTTTTGAAAGAAATTTTTCGAAAATCGGCCCTACCATTACAAAGTCACGTGTCCTTTTATCTTTGCATGTCAGCCCGAAAATCGCTCATTTTTGTGATTTGTGTACAAAAACATATGGAAACCTCATTTTTCAAATAAAAAGATAAAACATTGGTTATTTGGTCTTGTTTATAATTTAGGTGTTTATTTTGGGGTCAAAAAGTTGAATTATAGTTGGAAATGAAATAAAACAACAAAAACAATAAAATACATAAGTTAAAAAACAAAGAAATACATAAGAAATTATCGAAACAATAGATAACATAAGGAATAACCTTGTTTTTTCAATTTTTTGTGTTGTATTATTATTCCAAATGGTCTAATAAATATATGTAGTGACCAAGAATGCTTAGATATGAATAATGTCTGATTTATGGGTAAAATGTGAATTGTATGACCTTATTTGCATAAATTACCATAAATATGCAATGAGTGAAGTTTTCAAAAAATTGAAATTACCATAGTATTATATACACTTCACTTGACATGACTTTTGTATGCAAATTTTCGAGGCGATCGGGCGTTTCACGGCCGAGATCATAGGGGGGGGGGGGGGGGTGCCTTAGAAGCCCCCCCGGGCTATGCAGTTTCAAAATAGCCCGGGCTAAATTTAAAGGACGTCACACGTAGCAGTTCACTATGTCGTCGTGCGAATCTAAAAGTCCCTAATGCCAAGTTCAGTAAGAAAGACTACCTGCATTGTTGCCCATAAAGTTTGAATGCTTTCCCTTTCCTACCTCTTTTTATGACATTCTTAATCGTGACAATACAATCTATAGTCTTGAGATATGAATTTGATATCTTCTTAGAACTTTATTAATTACTCTAAAGAGTCGTAAAGATCGATTAATACAGTTCTGAAAAGATATAAGAATGCACTTTGTCACGATCATTTTACAAAATGAGGCAATAAACAAGTTATTCCTACACTATACACTCTAAATTACAGGGATTTAAATTTAAATCTATAGGATTTATTTTTAAATCTTTCATGTACTGTAGGTAGGGACCAATCGATGTGGATTTAAAATTAATCTTCGCTAGGATTAAAAAGTTATAATCTGTAAAGGATTAAAAAATAAGTTCAAAAGATTTATATTATAAATCTTTCTAGATTAAAATTAACCCTGATAAAGATTTAAAAGCAATCCTTTTTGGGACTTCTTTGTCATGTGACAAAATCTTATCGCCAGGATTGGTCAATTTGCCGTTAATTTTCGGAACTTTTTTTAATCTTTTGGGATTGAAAAAAATATATTTGAAACTCGGATTAAGAACCAGTTTAGCAATCTTTTAAGATTAAAAATCAATCTTTATGGATTTAATTTCATTCAAATCCGGCTTAAGATTTAAATTTTAAATCCCTGTAATTTAGAGTGTAGGCAACAACTACATGATCCTGATACTAAGCGTTGTTTGTTTAACAAATAAGATTATTTCGCAATATTTTGATCGATAGTTTCATAGACTCTTGAAGAATATAAAGAACGACAAGTACAAATAATCCCCTGCATGTATGAAACCCTGGTCGTAATAGGCATGTGCAAGACAGATTCTCGGTTTCATGTCAAATTTATCTTTGTAATCTGTTTCGATGTTGATCATTAATTATTGTATACTGAGCTCGCATATTATGTAAAACAAATAGGAAAGGAAGAACGAAAGAAAAGAAAAGAAAAGAAAAGAAAGGAAAAGAAAAGAAAAGAAAAGAAAAGAAAAGAAAAGAAAAAGAAAAGAAAAGAAAAGAAAAATAGAAAGAAAGAGACAAAGAAAGGGAGAAAGGGAGAAAGAAAGAAAAGGAACGATGGTATATTTGGGTTGGCATACATTTTGGGCAATAGAATGAAGGCTATCGGGCAATGTTTATTACCGGAAAACGTTATAAAACCCTAATTTCAAAATTCCAAATCGACATTTAAAAGGGCTGAGAAGGAACAGCATTTGCAAAATGGAAGCTGTTACACGCCTTTAACATACTGGAGCCAACCTTTGGATCTAGCATATCAAAATAAATGCTCTACCATTTTGAAAATGAAAATTTTGATTTTAAACACTTAAGTGTTTTAGAGAGAAGTAACTGGCACGTAAACTTTGTCTTTATACATGTACTAACATGTACTAACAGTTGATTCCTTGTTCCATTTGGCACGTTCACTGTTACGACACAGCTTCCGGGATATATACTCGATTTTATGACCCCTCTTCTGTTTAAAAAGATTGCCAATTGTTATCAAAGGGACGGAATATTAATTTTGAAGAAGAAATCCACCTCTTCCTTATTTAAGGCCTATTTAGGGACGTTATGTCATAATGTTATATGCGCTATACGAGAACACTTCATAAGTTGTGATTAGCCGATCAGCATAATTATACATGACGAGTGAAACGGTACGGACTGGAAATTATCTATAATTGCTACCATTAGTTATTTTAACTTAATTGACATTTTAGAGTTTTTATTTTCAATCATGTCGCCGATAATGCAGGCAAGGTGATTTTTGTTATGGGCATAATACAAACCGAAGATGAACGGCATAGTTTGCCACACGAGGAAGAAACGTTCATGAAATTATTTTACATAAAATCATTGGTCTGACATCAATATTATTCGATTCAGACTAGGCCTTTAAAAAGGGTTTTTGAGGAAAGTCATTATTCATTTTCGTTTTTGTTTTGCTTTGTTTTTCATTCCCGTTTTGTATTTATCTTGGTTGTCATAGGTAAAATGGCAAGCAATGACATATCGCTGACTCCAAGCGATGTTTCCCACCAAACAGTCCCACGCATCGCGAAACCACCAAACTACAATGAGGGGGGCAGCGAAGAGGAGGAAGACGACTTCGATGAGCCCCGACCACCACCCGATGAGCATCCTTCAACCACGGCAGGTCATCAACGTACAACAGAATCAGCGAAACAAATCGACGCTAATGAAGGCGTTGTAAATGGAGACGGAATCGAAAGTTCTGCTCGAGCTGTCGACAACGCCGTCCATCTCGACAACGATACCATTCGTGACGGCGATGGGGACAAGAAACATCCTCCAGGGAAGAAAACGAAGAAGGGAGAAGAAGTTGTTGAGGGAGAAAAGGTCGTAAGGAATGATGGCGGGGAAGGGGAAAAGAAGGGTGCGAGGAAGGGAGGTGATAAGTCACGTGATTGTCAAGACCCATTGAATAAAGAGGGAGAGGTAATTATCAAACTTTTTAAAAAATTATGAAAGGATCAGATGTGAAAAAAGTGCCCATATAAAGAGGAGGTTATGTTCTGTGACATAGGATATTTAAAAAGACTAACAAACACTAGCATAACATAATTCGTTGACAGTGTATGGTTGAAACAAATATATTCTCATTATGCAATCAGAATTTTTTTTTGTCCTAGATAAAAATGTTAATGTAGGAGCCTACAGAAAAGGTTTTTGGATTGCTTTATGATTATCAATATTGGACTACGCTATAAAAATGCATACTTTCACGTTTCCATCAAAGATTCGTGCACTAATAATATTGCGTTCTGTCGAATCATGTTTGGTATTAATGTTAAAATCAACTAACTATACGATCTCTCTTCATCTCTTCATATCTAATCGAGACAGGGACATGAAAAGAAAGCGACATTGCAATAATATCATTGATTCAAGTTAATCAAAATTCACAACGCTTACCATTCAAAAAGTGTTCCCGTTGTGAATAGTGCTCATACCAGAACATCCACACGATTTTGGATAGTCCAAAACCTATTATGCAATATTTTAGAGAGAAATGGAATTCTTTTTTGTTCACATTTTCATGTATGTCAAACTTAGTTTCGTATTGTGTATACCAAATGATCAAACTTTATCCAACTTTATCTAGTACTATTTTCTTTCCCCCGTTCTTCCATTTTTGCATGAACAACTTATAGAAGAGCAAAGACATGTGCGATGGCGACTTCGACTCCGACAATGTGACCGAGCTCGTCGACCGCGTGGAGAGCGCCGTCGATTCGATGTCGAAGGATGAACCGGAGGCTTTCGATGGCCTTGTCGCCATCCTTAGGGTTCTCCTTCCGAAGACACTTTTCATGGCCGACGAAGTTAAGATGTTACGAGTAAGTATACACAGGATAAAGTCCATTAAACGCTATATCCCGTGGAACCACTGAGGTACGTTGGTGAGCTCTCGAGTTCATACGAAAGGTCCAGGGTTCGATCTTTGATTGGTGCTTACATCCTTGGACAAGGCATTTTACCCACATTTGTCCCTCTCTACCCAGTCAATCGCAAGTTTGCAATCTGCTGTCTCTTATGTACATACTTTTGATTGATATCAATCACAAATAAGTTGCGATTAATATCAACTCTTCGTAAGACAGGGCCCAGGGGTAATAATGATCGCAGGGCTCTCAGTAAGAGCTGTATTTTTCATGAGTAAACAGATTATTACGCTTGATTACTATTACCGCACAGGCACACACTCTCTACGATATAAGATTTGATCGCGACCTGAGTTTGTAGGAATCCACATTAGCATTTGACAAGAACATTTAAATATTACAAATCTAAATGATAACAGTTCTGAATTGTCTTATGGATAAAATGAAAAAGAACAGATTTTTTTATAGGGAATTGATAGGAAGAAAAATCTTCTGCTCCCAATCGTAGTGACATAAGACCAGTCGTACAACTGTCTACGATTTGAAACCGATTTAGCCTTTACTTTAAATAAGAAGGCTTGAAATGGACAAAGCTTTCGCTTTCGATTATCAATCCTAAAACACCTTCAGATCATCAGTTCCACTTTCGCTACATACTTATATATATATATATATATATATATATATTCATAATGTATACATTGGTTTCAGTTCAAATTTCATTCTATAAATAGTTTTTAGTTACTATATATATAACTGCTACTCCATATTTCAGAAGTGCTTTTTGTTTTCATATTCATATAATTAAATAAGATGCTCTCCAATCGGGGAATTCGTAAACGTTGCCTACAGGCATTCGAAAGAAATTTGAAGTTGTATCTAACATGACTGACGTTTATAGATAGATATTTCGATCATCTCTATTTAAATGAAATAATAGAAAGTTCTTCTATTCTTCATTTGTATTTTAGGATAGCAAGAAGGATCTGCTTGTTCGTTATCGTACTCTGGCGAAGGAAAACCAACAAGCTCGACTGGAAGCTGAGCAAAGGTATAAAGTTTCTCTGAAAAAATACAAGATGCATACTATTAATGTCAAATAAAACATTATTTAAATAGACAAGATCTTTCTAACCGGCCAAGTTCAATATATTTAGTCCCGTACGTTGCCGTAAACATCAATGTTCTTGTATACCTGATAACTACCTGTATATGAAGTTGTTAACACGACTATAGCTTGGAAAAGGCAACATCTTTAATAAAATTGTACTTTTTATGTTAATTATGTCCAGCTTTCTGTGCCACTTGGTGATAAATGGGCCATAAAATGACCAAATACTTTTCACTTGTCCGGCTATATGCATGCCTGTTTCGAAACACTGGGTGCGTGTGAAGATTTTTTGCATTTTTACTCCAAGAATTTCGATTTTATAAACGTGATTTTCAAACGATGAGAGCCTCCTTTATAATGGTTCTGTCTAACCATGCCACATTCATAGCGATGACGTTCAGCTGTCCATACGGTGTTCGAAGTGTTTTAAAATATACTGCGTGTTCGGAAAAGTAGAATTATTTGAGGTAGCAAAGCGGATCGCTTTGCTTTCCCTTCGCTTCGCTTCCAAATAGGAAACAGTGCTCTGACGCCAATTGCCTCACAGGCCCCCCTTTTTAACACTAACTGAATTCCTAATTTCATCCCTCGATCTTACACTTTTAATACATACCTAGCCGTAAACCAAACCTTACAACTAACATAAAACCCAATCCCAACACTAACCTTATCCCTATATAGATCTATACCTTTGACGAAATAAAGCCCAGAAAAAAAGATCAATGGATTGTTCTGCCTAGTGCATTGACGTGATTTTATTGATGATTATTTGCGACATTGTATTTCAATAACATTAACTTTAATATATTATTTCTTTTCTCGTAAGTAAGTTATGCAAATATGCTGTTAAATGCAATGTTATTCTTCTAGTCCGTTTATCTAGGTTTTTCATTCATTCTATAATGGGTATAACTTCTGATTAATTTTCTTAAATCCAATTAGGACCATCGTCGAGACGAAGTCTGTAGGTACGACTGTAAAAAACGACGAGAAAAATGTAAGTAATTTGATTATTCATTGATCAAACAGTACTAAACGTACTCGAAATATATTCCATAGTGTTCCTCTAGCTCTGGTGTAACACAGATTCGACAGAAAAACAACATCAACAACATCAACAACATGTTTTTTGGAATGTATTTGCGATCGTGTTTTTGCTATTAGTTTAATAGTGTTACGTAAATACTTTTTAAAAAAAATTAAAAAAAAATCTGTGCGCAGTTTATTTATTTACTGGTTCGCTTCCATTCCGGTGTACCATATTACACCAACACATGAGTGCTTGTTTGGCATATTCAGATGATTAAAAAATAATATTTTCCTAAGGAAATCTAGTATTGATACGGAAAACTTGTTGTTTTTGAAGCATCTAATCATTAACGAAAGCTTGCCTACTATGTTAAAAGGCTGGTAGATGCTAAACATGGTAGGCATGTTTCTATAAATAGCTACTGACGTAACGCGAACCCTAATCCTAACCCTACCTGATACACGTTATAAATTATATGCAAAACATGGAATGCAAATTAGCTACCTTGTTAATTATTATATAAGGAAAACCTATACAGACATATTCAATTTTTTTTCTTCTTCTTCAAATAAAGTCTTTATTCAATTTTTCTCGAAGCATGAAACAATGTAAGCAAAATACAAAATGATGGACACATACATTTGACAAAGAAAGGTACAATGACAAACAAGACATAAATCGGTATGGATACCAACAGTTTTTGAATGTCTTATTGACATCAAGAATATTGTGAGGTATTTTGAACCGAAAATACAATAATTTTGTCGACAAAGCACATTTAAAAGGAATGATTTAAATTTATTCCAACTAACAACTGATTCTGAAAGGGAATCTGGAACTTAAAAGCGTGTGCCAACAGACAATTTATGAATTATTTAAAGACTGTAGTTAGTTTTCTCATGATGCAAAAAAAAAAATCTTCTTGGTAATTAATATTTTTCTTAGGTGGGTCTTTACAAAAATGCATACATTTTAAAGGTATAGCTTATATAATTGAACAAAAGTCTAGAAAATCATAATGGAAAGTAGGGCTCTTTACGATGATAACATCAATAACCTTTTATGATTACAGGCAAATTGCGAAAACTGCACTGAGGGAAAACCAGAGGGTGAAGATCCCAACAAACAGAAACAGCAGGAGATAGAAGCTCTTAAGAAAGATTTCAAGAAGCTTCGAATGCAATGCAAAGAGGTAAATATAAAATAACGTTGCTCACATTATTTTTTGTAGCACTCAATTCCCGAACACTTGAAGTATACTTATGATTACCCCGGCTTTTGAATTCAACTGATAATTATGCCGGAAATAGTTCATGTTCTCTCCGCTCTGACAAGGGGTGATCCAACCAGGCGCCATTTTACAGGCGCACGCCTGCTATTAACCTGATTACATTGAGGATTAGTATCCTACCTGGTACCCATTTAACACCTGGGTGGAGAGAAGCAGTGAAGATAAAATGCATTGCATTATAAGGAAATATTAGTGCCGTCGCGGGTATCGAACCCAGATAAGTGCTCAGACCACTCGACTACGACACCATTAAACATGGATTTGTTCCTATACAGCTTCAGATTTGCGGGGGGGGGGGGGGGGGAGGGGGTGATACGTCTCTCAAAGCGTCTTTACCTTGAATCACGTTGGCTATGTGGTATATTCGTAAATCTCGTAACCAGGAGGTCCGGGGTGCGAAACCAAGTCGATGCGCTTGTGCCCTTTGATAAGGCATTGATCCTTATTACTAAGTCCTCCGGAGAGGACTTTAAGCCGTCAGTCCCACGGCTGCTTACTTACAAGCATACGCATGCTTTCCTAAAAGTAAGATAATACCAGCAACCAACCGATTCTCTTCTTATATTTGACTCTTCTACAGCTTCAGCACGTCAACCTCTCTTGGGAGAAATACAGCACCAAGAAATCGAGTCGACACGCGGCAGAGATCAGAAAGATGACCGAAAAGCTTGCTACCAGTGATGAGAAAGCCAGGAAACTGGAAAAAAGACTTGAGGAAAAGTTCCGCAAGTACGATCAGACCTTGATGGAGATGAAACACTCTGAGGAACGTCACAAGGTTGGCAATTTATACTATACAAATGACGCACGGCCCAGCGTGCGTTAGTGGTAAATGCAGTGCACGCGAGGTTTCTTTAGATTGGCGCCGCTTTTGTGCACGAGCCGCTTGCGTCGAGTTCACAGTGCGCACCATCTAAAGATACCGAGCTAGCACTGCATTTACATTAGGCACAACAGGGTCAAGTGCGTTATTTGTTTTATATAATAGCGACACATGAAAATCAAAACAAACGGAAGTCGAGATCTAACGTTAGAGTCTACGAGAGTGACTCATAGAGTTATGTTGGTTCTAGAAATTGAAAAGATAAGACCTTGCTACTTGTTCTACGCGTAGCTGCGCTGGATCCGTGGAGCGTGCAATGAAACTTTTGACTGCGCTTTTTTGGCACGGGTACGGTGCACAACAAAGTTACATGTCATGTGACGCGTTTTGACCAATCACGATGATTAAAATTCTAGAGCTATTTTATAACTAATTTATTGCCTTTCTCCAATTTATACCTATACTCCCTGTTGCATAAAACTGACCATTGGTGGTAACCTTGCCATCAATGGCAACTACTGTGGTTACAGGGCTCAACAACCAATCAAAATCAAGGTTTCCATGGTAGTTACCATCGATGGCAAAGTTACCATCAATGGTAATTTTTGTGCAACAGGGCCCTTATTTCATTGCTTTTGCTCCGATGACGGGACGGTGAGGGGGTGCATCACGAAGTGGTCTTCTATGATTTATAATGAACACGATCACAAAGACAGATTAAAGAAATTTCGATAGTCTTGTTCATCACCTATTTTATTATACATTGACGGACATGTAGTATTATGTAATCGAAACATGATTTCCCTGGGGCATACAATGGGGTATTGTAATTGCTCTTGAGTTTATTTCTCGAAAGTCCTTGCGACCATGTGTGCTTTTCTATTATTGATTTGTAAACATATCTTTTAAAGGGAATTGAATGTATTGTATCAGTCTCGCAGAGTTAGTATTCTCCGTTTTCTCGAATTTAGAAAGAGAACTTGACTACTAGTATTTGCCCAAAATGGCTTTGGGAAACCAGGGAAATATACCCGCCCGTAAGTGTGCGCACAAGATATGAAACCGGGAAACACGATATAGACCCACCCCTTCCCCTTCTCCCTTCCCCTTCCCCATCAGCAGTTTATAAGCATCGCATCACAGTCATGATGATTCGAATGACTGTCAAATAACAATATTTGTACTTTTTTTCGCGCATGATTTTTGTGTGTAGCTTTTGAATAGTTTTATGACTTGTTATCGTGTTCTTTTTAATAGCTCGTTGCTTCTGAATATAAGAAAGAACGTGACGTCTTGCGGATGAAGTACGATGAACTGAAACGGCAGGTGAAGGAACAAGAAGAGGAGATTAAACGACTCAATGAGGTAGGGTAACTTATTCTATATTTTATACTTAAATTATTTAAAGCCCCACTGCACTACTTAGAGCTATTTGTGCCCTCTATATAACAAACAATGCCTAATCGGTGACCATTGGTCCCCCATGATCCTCATTTTCTTATGTTAATTGAGAGCTGATTTGATGAGATAACCACCTGTCCAGTGACCTTGCAAGGTGGTAAAATCCCTCCTGTACACTAGTACAGATGGGCTTTAAAGGACTTAGTTTTACATGCGTTTTATCTTAAAATAGAGATGGAAATCATTTTCTTACTCAAAACGATTTCGCAAACCGAAATTGATTTGATTATGACGATTGCTTTTGGTCTATTTATAAAATGATTATTTTTCGTAATAAGCATGGGTATGATAATAGAGATTTGAATTAATTTTGATTTATTTATTTAAGAGAGAAATTGCTCACAGACTAAAAATAAATGAACATTTGAAGATACAAAATATGAAATTTCCTGCAAATTTGCTAAGTTATATTTGAACAAATATGTGTATAATTGATGTTCCATTGTTTTGCTAATTTTTTGTGAAATTATGTTATTGTTTGAATATTTAATAAACACTTCATTAGAGGCAAAGAGAAAGAAAAAAACTTGATAAATATCTACTGTCATCCACGATCTTTCTCTTCAATAGCGACTTCACAACACTACTGATATATTTATTAATTACTCCCATCAATAACGATAACACAAAATAACAATGGTATAGTAGTAATAATGATGATCAGGAGGGGGGTGACAATAACAACAACGTTAATAATAATATTGATGACATGACACTACTATTACTACTACTACTATTGATAATAATAATAATAATGATAATTTTTGAAATGAATATAAAATAATGGCAATAAAAATAATAACAATAACACTAATACTAATGATGCTGAAAATATTAACAATAATAATGATAATGATAACTAATTGTAGTACTATCAAATTAACGTATTTGTAGATAGGACTTATTTTTTGTGAAAGGTATCAATCTTTGTGCAATCATCTTGTATGTCCAAATGATTCTGAACAGTTTTAACTACTTTCAACTTAAAATCTGATTATTAGTTTCCAACTTTATGTCTAATAAGATTACACCAACGCTACTTTCCTTTCCACTTTGCAGGTCATTGCGCGCAAGGGCACGGCCAAGTTGTATCTGAAGCCTGCAGCACTAGTCGTTACCCAACAAGCTCATATCGACGAGAAGTACAACAACGTACCGCGTAGAAAACCCGAACGCACCGAGAAGCAAGGCACCGCTACCGCAGCGGCTTCGGCGGCCAAAGCGGTTGAACCGCCAGCTCACCGCGAGAAGGGCAAGGCGAAGGATAGCAAGCCGCAGAAAACCAAGCCGGTATCTCCTCCTCTCTCGCCGCGTGGTCCCCCCGGCTACATGAATGCCAGCAGCCCGATGAGCCTGACCCGTGATGAACTGAAGGATCAAGTTGTTCTCTACAAGGAGCAAGTGAGTTTATAATTTCAATGTGAAAATGCAAAGGTCGTGGGTTCGAGCAGTTGTGTCCTTGAGCATGGAATTTTATCTACACAGCTCCTCTCCACCCAGGTGCTTCATGGAGACCCGATACCGGTATGACCCAATGTCAATTTGAATGGATAAGCATTTCACTGTCTTGAATACTCCCCAGTGAACTGGAGAGGGCGCCCCTACAAAGTGTAGACAAAGAGATTCGATCATACACAGTATGTCCTCCGTAGAATCATAATTTAATCCAATGACTGGAGGCCCTGGAGTAATAATTATTACAATATTTTGGTCAGTTGCGTTGTCACTGTCAAGGTACTTTGTTGTTATTACATCAGTGACTGTAATATTTTATAATTTGATAAAAACACAAAATATTAAGAAAACTTGTTTATAACTGTTATAATTGCTATGCTGTTAAATGACCTTTGTAGTATACATCCGTATTTCCAATTCCTCTGAATGACAACTATACAAGTGCAATAATCATGGTTACTGGTGCTCTAGAAATTATGACTAGGTTCCTTTATACGTTACATAATGATCTAGGCGGCATTGACGAATATTTTAGCCACAAGGCATGAGGGCAAACGGAAAAAACAAACAAATTGACTCTCGCTTTATATAGTCCCTTTGCCCAATGGTGGCGCTCTAGATCTTAGTAATTTCCGATGTCGGTATGTGTTCAGATCTAACGTGGATAATCAATTTCCCTGGACGACATTACAAAGTGTGCTTCGTTCTGCTAGCAGTATTACCGCGGCACGTTTTGCGCGATAGCGCTGTTAGGAAAATGGATTTTACAAGCAGCAGCGCTGTATCAAAATGAATGTCGTCGACGGTAAATTACGACTGATGTTTTGACGAATGTGATTGATATATTTTTTCCTGATCATTATACCGTACTCGGGAAGTACCTGTAACAGGAATGATGATGACGTTTTCTATTGGATAATGATTTTTCCTGGGCTATATTACAAAGTGTGCTTCGTTCTGCTAGCAGTATAACCGCGGCGTGTTTTGCGCGACAGCGCCGTTGGGAAAATGGATCTTACAAGCAGCAGCGCCGTATCAAAATGAACGTCGTAGAAGGTAAATTACGACTGATATTTTGACGAATATGATTTATATATTTTTGTTTTCCTGATAATTATACTGTACTCTCGATTCTTGAAGTACCTGTAAAAGGATTGATGACGACGTTTTCTATCAAATGGGCTCAAATATCTTGCTGGTATACGATCCACTGTAATAAAGCGTATAGCAATTATGCTAATATGGTTCCTGTATAGTTGCATGTCGTGATACTATACAAAGGCCTTCTGTTTATTCCTTTAATATTAATATGATAGGTGCTGCTAACTGCGTTTTACGTCCGATGTCGAGAATGAATTCTTATACAACGAACAGAAAGAAAAAGGCATAACATTTTCTATTTCCTGCTCATTCGATCGGGAATTAATCGGGTCCCCCGACTATATTGTCATAATAATAAGAAATTCCCAATTTTGCTGACAGGTTTAATATCCAAACGACACTGTAACACATATTTTGGTCAGAATGGAATTTGAAGATAATGCATTTCCGTTTTGATAAAAATTGTTTACTCAACACGAAATTGGTTTCTGTATCGAGGGGAAAGATTTATATTGACTACCACACATGACTGTCCACTTATAAACCACAGTGCTTTCACTATAACACTATTGCAAATCGTTTCCAGAAACTACAATGGACGCTTATCTGTACACAACAAGATCTATGGATAATTTGCTACATAAAAGCCCTTCTTTGGTTAATGATAAATTATTTTTTGTTTCTATTATGCGGCGCACTTCATTTTAAGAGCATAACTCAAAGGAGGCAATTCAAGCCATATGCAGGAAACTGTACAGTATGAGTGATACTCATTATCAGTGAAATAACATGTCCCCCATATAAACGGTACTAGGGTACAAAGTCCATCAACGGTGCCGGATAAACATAATGTAATAGGAAATACCGTGTTTGTATAGTGCTGGAGTTTGCTGACTGTAAAATTCTATTCAGGAGGTGTTTTTTTCCAATCCTTTTCATTCAACAGTATTAGTCAAGTAGCGCAGGGGCGGTGCCAGAATTTCTGTAAGTGGGGGGGGGGGGGGGGGGGGGGGGGGGGGGTAAAAATAACATTACCACAGCGTCATTATTTCTCCTAAATTCCTGACCAGAAAGAAAATGTATTAAATAGAATAATTATGTGGAGGTATGTTTCCCCCTGTATACCTTAAATTACACTATAATATTCAGAGAGTATTCATGTATGGAAAGCTATTGTGAGGTCAAACACAAGTAATAATGGGCAATTCTGTGCAAGAATGTAAATCTAAACTTTATGACGTGATCTCCCAAAAGGAACTGATTTTCTTTTTAAAGTTAGTTTACAACAATTGTGAAGGAATTTCCTGGTTTGAGAATTAGATCTCCTTGGATAAACACCATTTCTGTGTATAACTTAATTAGGGAAAATTCATTTTTCATACCTTATGTATACAAATATTTCATGTCTATCAACCATTCAATTTTAATGATCTCCATAAAGGAACTTGTATTCTTTTTAAAAGTAAGGATACAAAAATTGTGAAGGAATTTCCTGGTATGAGAATTAGATCTCCTTGGATAAACACCATTTTTGTGTATAACTTAAATAAGGGAAAATCTATTTTTTCATACCTCATGTATAATAATCTTGCATGCTTACCAACCATTCAATTTTAATGGTCTTTTAAAAGGAACTTGTGGTGTGTTTTTGTTAAGTTAGGATACACAAATTGTGAAAGAATTTCCTGGAACGACAATTCATCTTTCTTGGATAAATACCATTTCTGTGTATCACTTAATTAAGGAAAATCCGTTTTTTATACCGCCTATATAGTAATCTTGCATGTCTATCAGTTATTCAATTTTCGGAAATGAAATTTGGAAATTCAATTTTCTTTTAGAAAATATGAAATTTAAGCTGATTGTCGTAGCACCCTTTGAATCGGATAAACTTTATGCCAAAAACAGTAATCAATGTCTCACGTTTACCAATACTTTATCATTTTATTTATCTTCCAAATACGCGCAGAGAAAATTCAAGAAATTACAAATGTTACAACAAAAACGACATGATAGATTTTGTCATAATAACTCAAACATATTATTGTTTGCAAATGACGTAAGAAAAGTAGACCTTCTAATTAAGAATGGCGACAGAAAAAAATACATATTTTTTTGCATATCAAGAATATGACCTCTGTTTTGTGATTAGCAGGCGTGACGGTTGTGCAAACTAAAGTGATTCAAATTGTGAGACTTTTGGCGTGGTCACCCCTCATTGTTTTCATTTATGAAGAGTGAATGACGTCTTTTGAAACTGTCAAAAGATATACAACTTAATTGACACCAGTCAATTGAAGTCACGCGTCTGTAACTGAAGGACGGTCCTTTGTGACTTGTCTTTGACGTAAATTACAGCCATAAGGAGTAGCAAATTCTCACGTTTTCTGCCGTGATGTTTGCGACTAGTAATGAGTGACACGCATAAACTCTTCAAATATGATGTTAAATTGAAGTCAACTGTATCCTATATCCAAATAACGATGTCGCCAAAACAGGAAGAACTATCAAAAGAACTTAAATGAACTTTCAAATTATGGTTAAAAAAGTTGAAGTCGAAATATTTTTTTAAAATATAAACAATACCACACAGACACGATGGTAAACAGTTTCAATTGTAGTGCATTTCCTTATGCCAAGTGCATCCCCTCATTTAATATTCGAATATTACAACTTAATAAATATTATATTACTCATGATATAAACAAATAATTATGATAAATATATTGAAGCTGGCTGCCATTGTTTTTATTGATTACTTATTATATTCATGACCGCTTTCGGGCTTTCCCCCATTCTAGATCGATGTTTTCCGAGCTGATTTCAACCAAGAGAGGCATGACAGAGAGAAGGCGGTTGGGCAGGTCGATTCTCTGAAGAAAGAGCTGGAGAAAACCAAGAAAAAAGTCAAGGAAATGCAAAGGGTAAGATAAACCAAAATGATCTCCAGCTTCAATTGCACTATCTTTTTCTTCTCCAAGTTTTTATACAATAATTTCATAATATTCTCGTTGCTTTGCATTTCATATTTTTGATTACCCCCTGAATTTATATCCAAAGCATACAGGACATAAATAAGCTGCCCGTCTGTAATTTTTATTAGTCATAGATATTGTTTAAAGTTTTCAAGGAAAAAAAAAATCTTTCCTTTCGATGATGCATGAAGCTACGTAGATTTAAAAGTTAAAATTAAAAACTGGCATTCGGTCGTTCTATTTCATTTTATATGATGATATTTGTGCTTTTTTCAATTATTGATGAGGCCACCATCAAATTTAGGCTCTAGCTTAAATGGCAGTCTCCTGCATTTTTCATTATCGAAAGCATTTGTCAACTATGGTTTTTTAAAGGTATAATTGCTTAATCGATTCGTATTAATATATGAATATATATGTATTTTGACTTTTGTTGTATGTTGAAAAATGCAGAAATATAATCAAACAAACAAATAATGATCACTTTTTTTTTTCCATCTGCTGTCTCCATAGCAACGGATGCAGGAGGAGCACGACCTCTACGTTGCAGCCCGGGTAGGAGGTCACGCTCTCTTTCTCCCAGAAGACACCCAGGAGATGAGATTGAGAGAGATCGTAAGTTAGGAAGAAAACAGTTATACCATCCTACTTTTTATTTCAGCAAATACTACATGATACACAACGAACACTATCACCACCACCTCTCCTCCTACTCCACCCCTCCTATTTCTTCTTCTCTTTATCTTCCTCTTCCTCCTCATTCCTTTTCTCTCCTCACCCTCTTCTTTCTCCTTCTCCCCTTCCTTCACCCCTTCCTTCACCTCCTCCCTCTCAACCTACTCCTCGCCTTCCTCCTTTTCCTCCTTTTCCTCCTTTTCCTCCTCCTCATCATTCTCCTAATCCTCCTACTTTTCCTCTTCCTCCTTCTCCTTCTCCTTCTATTCCATATTATATTTACACTTCTCTTAGCATTCATTTTTAATATGTTGGGCTTTTAATCCAAAATTGAACTTCGGATTATAGTTCAAACATTTCAAAAGGTGACGCTCAATGTTTATCGAAATTGCCCAAGGTTGATTTAGTTGAAAGTCTTTCGATTGTGATATAACGTCATTATAATAATATACACATTTACTTAAATCATTAGAATGATTATACAGTCAAACCTGTCTATAAAGTCCACCCAAAGTAAACATGAAAACTGTACACAGACAGGTCCTCCAACACATCTTTCTACCTAGATGGAGATAATATAGTTGACCATTATAGACAGGTGGTCTTCATATATAATGACCGCTGAGACAGGTTTGGCTGTAATATAATTTGTTAACGTCATAATATTGTGATATAATAGCTACAGAGATAAACAAAATCTTTTACTCGATTATTTTGTTTGGGCAGAAGCAGCAAGCGCACGGGAAGCGTACGAGCACGGCACATGGGAGAAAGTACGTCGAGGACAACCTTGAAGGTACCCTGGACTTGCCTGAGGTATATCCTGGCATATCCTAAATAAATCATTTGACATCTAAACATGAGCAAAATCATTGACTAGAGCATGTTTTTAGTTTACTTCCAACAGTTTGCCATGTTTTTAAGTCATACAATGTTTCAAGAATATGTTGGAATATATCACTAATGTGTCAACTTAGTAAGTAGTCATGTTTTGCAAGGGATGGCTACGTAAATTGGAATGCCAGATGATAAACAGCAATTTATTATTGTTGTGAAGATGAAACTATAATTATTGAAATAAATTACTCGATTACTAATCTAATATTAAAATAACTCTTCAAACGGTTATTTCTTTAGCTTCTGTTTTAAACTACCGGTAGATCATATAGGTATATATATACATAAAATACGTGTGTAAATTAGCTTCAGTCTTAAGTCACATCTTCAGCCATTATTTTAAGCTCTTAATTACACTAGCAGCACATTTCTGGAGTTTGCGTAGCCCATCTTTACTCATGCATTATTTTGACTAAATTGTTCTCTTTCTTTATTTGTACAGAATCATCTTTACGCAGAGATTAATTAAGACCTTTATCGCAGGAGGTCGGGAAGGAGAATACATCAAGAGGAGCTTTCCTACAAGATTAACCAATCAGCTAGCTATGTTTTAACACGTGATTATGATCATTCATTCTGGTGCGGTGGCAGTTATTCAGATGTCTGCGTTTGCGGTTTTGTCACTTTAGAAGACGACGTTCTGAGCCCGTTCTACATCTCCACGCTCCAAATGCTGTATAAAAGCAAGAGTTCTGACGCAGTGAACTTTTCGTATATACATTACACACATTATTGTATGGGAAGTAGGTCATACCAGAATATTGCACGCATGAGAATGTTCGATACAAAATGTGTATTTCAGAACGGTTTTGTTCTTTCTCTTCATATTACATCTTTAAAAACTACGATAGAAATGTTATTTGATATGTTTAAACGTTCAGTTTTATAACACTGACTGTATATTATTTACTTCAAATGCTTCAAGTATTTATGATTGATAATCTATTTTTGTAATTCTTTTGGTTTAAGGATGAGAATAAGTATGTAAATAAGTCTTTTTTGATGTTTAGCTTTTGAACATAGTTATAGTAATGTAGGCGAACTAACATCATTTTATAATTTAAAAGGCCTATATATAATGAAGGTCTAATCTGTATTGATATATACATGTTTACAATTTTGACATTTAACAATTTAGAGAAAAGCGTAATAACTATAATTTCGATCATCAAACGCAGTTTACGTGACGTAATTTTCTTGAATTGTTGTCTTATCTTATCGGTTTTTACGCATTTGACATGTGTTGATCTTATTGCATTTAAAGGAAAATTGTAAAAAAAAAAAATCTCCTTCGTAGCTACATTCGTTTTCTTTTTCGGTGTTAGACCATTGGGGTTTACCGTATCTTTCTAATTAAGTTGTAATCGTCATAAATAATCAGCTTGTTGTATATTTGGAATTTTCTGAAATAAACTTTAGATTCTGGGGTATCGCCTAACGCCGGTGTAGTTGTTTATATTTATGTATAGTGCGTGCTGTGTTATATAATGCCGTGGGTGATGCAGTTTTTGCAAGATTAAAAAGACAAAACAACAACAACAACAACAAAACTTGATGAACACCATGGTTTAGTGTTTCATGTCTACAACATGTATGGTCATGATAAACTTGGATAAACTTGTTGGGATGATGTTTGGACAAACAGAGAGGAATCAATAGAAATGACTTTCAGGAGGGGGAAACTGAAGAAAAAGACATAAAACTAGAAGAAAATGAATTAAAGGAAGATGAAGAACAAGTTTATTTGATATGTTTCTCGCCCGTAGATCAAATAAGAAAAACAAAAATCAAACAGAAGATATTTAATTTATAAGAATAAACAAGCAAAGTATCAGTTCATTTTATTTCTTTGCGGCCAGTGCATTTATATCGTCAAATCTGTGCCATTGCACGAGTATTATTATAACCAACGAAAGAAAACGGATTTTATTTCGTTAAGTTGTTCGTTTTGAGCAGATCGTCTTGCTTATAAGTAAAATCTATCATAGTCTTACTATCAATTCTGTGTTTTATGCTTTAACTGGATGTGATTGCCTTTTTGGTTGCAGTGTCAATTTATGACAATAAAATCTTTGCCTATTAATATCGTGGTGAATTACTATTCATGGTATCATTTATTTTCTCAGAAATAATATATTTGTAAAGCGCTTAGAGACATTTGTATTAAGCGCTATATAAAAATTAAATATTATTATTATATTATATTATCGTGAAATAAAACGTCAATAATTTCGTTAAACTAAAGACATTTTAAACTCGAGCGCCAAAAAACACACCATCGAACGAAAAACAAAATAAGGATGTAGAATGAACGAGGAAGGAAAAGACGGAGCGAAGAAGTTTTTTGAGGTTATGACAAAGTTGGCAAAGAAGATGTGATTGGCAATGATTTTGAAATTGAACGTGAAGAGGATTTTTTTTAAGCGATTGTTCAGAGAGAAAAAGATGGGAGGGGGAGGGAGAGAATGAGAGAGAGAGAGAGAGAGAGAGAGAGAGGGAGGGAGAAAGAGAGAGAACATCGGGGATAGTGGAGGGGGCGAGATTGAAACAAAATTGAGTCAGAGAGAGAGAGAGAGAGAGAGGGGGGGGGGGGGAGGAGATGAAGGAGACAGACTGAAAGAGATGTACTATTAGAAGATAAATTGAGATGGGATCAATGGCCAAACTGTGGTAAGTGTATTGCGAAATTATTTAAGTTTGCTCTTTCTTCATACGGTCAAACAACTTGGAATAAAAAGCTAATATTTGTCCATCGAATAATATAGTTCCTTCTAGAGTTCAACTCATGAGCTCATACAGTTGCTTTGGTTTCGTAAACGATGTAAGGGGATTTTTCCTACCTTTTTCAAATTACGCAATCTACAGTGACAAAGGTTCCGATTGTTTTAATAGCCAATTAAATAGAGGAAACGGGTGGGTGACCTGAGTGGAAAATAACAAAAGCTGGTAAAACAAAGTATATCCATATTACATCCATCCGAAACAATCAGCTAGCAAGAAAAGGAAGGAGCTATAAAGTACGACAGGTATAAAGATTGCACAATTCGAACACTTCCGGTAGCTATTTTAAAGTGACTCGGTAACATTGTTTCAGATTCTGAGTGTGTCCAATGTATACAAATCAATGTGAAATTTTACCACTATACTGTGGTGTGTATAATACAAGATTGTGTCCTTATCCACAGTGTGTCAGAGCATGTCATACACTGTGACTGAAAGTGTGTTGCATGTATACAAATCAATGTGTTAATTTATTGTGGTTATACTGTGGTGTGTAAAATGCACGATTCTCTCCTTATCCACAGTGTGTCAGGGCATGTTACACACTGTGACTGAAAGTGTGTTGCATGTATACAAATCAATGTGTTAATTTACTGTGGTTATACTGTGGTGTGTAAAATGCACGATTCTCTCCTTATCCACAGTGTGTCAGGGCATGTTACACACTGTGGCCGAATATGTGTCGCATGTATAGACAACTCAATGTGATATTTTACCATTATACTGTGGTGTGTATAATGCAAGGTTGTCTCCTTATCCACAGTGTGTCTCACTGTGTTACACATTAAAACATAATTTGTTTTGGCATGTAGACAACTCTTTGTGACTCAACGACGATTATCATTGAGGTTAGAAGGTATAGAATAAATGCAACAAAAGTGTGGTTATTGGGAAGAATGGGAATATGTGAGCAAATACTTTACTTTACGTTGCTCGAGTCCATGCGGTTTCACGTGATAGTGATGTAATGAACCCATTACTTCCGATGTTACCTGGTATTCCCTAAGGACATGGTTTCTTAAACTTTTTCACTGACGGTCTAGATGTGCCTTTTGCGCCAAGATTCTTAGGGTCATCCGTATACGTATACTTCAATGAAGTAGAACAATGTACCATTAATTGCTTTTAAAAAAAGCCGGACGCAACTCAAACATGATTCAATTTTGTTTGAGACACAATCACCTGCTAACATTTAAAGTAATGATACTTGTAATAGAAATGATGCTTGTGTTGGATCTATATCTGATCCAAGGGCTACCAGGTGGTCCGGATTGACTTGCCCGGCGGTCTGGACTTAGAGAAGCCCTATCCTAGGACTATAACTTGCAGTCTCGTGTCTTCTTTGAGCACGTTTTCGCTGGTCTTCTGCCCGAGGAGCTGCCTCTTCGCCCATGTGATGGTGTCCATCGCAGAACTTGAACGAATTGTACCATGCAAGACCAGATCATAAAAAGGAGGGGGGGGGGGTGGTAACGCTTTCCAGTTTCAGAAGTGTTTGATTACAATCTTTAAAAAGAAACATTGCCAAAATGTTAACCATAATAATAGCGGCAAATAACGGTATGATATTACATCTGCAAACGAAAATGTTACTCATTTGCAGACATTCCTTAGTGGTTACTGAACACAAGAACCAAATCCTGTCAATTATTTGCTTGATGTTATGAGAGGTCCCAGGTTTTGAGTAATTCATTACAGAGAACGAAACTGAATTATAGTAGGGTATGCTATGAATGATGACGAATTGTTAAAGGGCGCTCGACCCGAGAAGGAACCTCAGGGGCGTAGGCCCGGGTGGACGGGGAATAGGAACCTAAAAAAAGTCCCCCCCCCGAGATTGTTGAAATTACCCGCATTTGGAAGAGCCTCACCCCATATTGGATGAGACCTTCAGGTCTTCTTGTAGGAGGGGGGCTGTAAATGCAAATCAAAAAATGAGTTTTCTATCTCATTCGATAGGTTCACTCGCACAAAATGCTGATTATATGCGAGTCGTAAGAACGCAATATTTTCTCACTTCTTAGTACAATTTTTTTTATATTGGGGAGGGGGATGTGCCCTCACATACGCTAATCTGCCCGGTTGCCATGCTTCCTTGTATGTTACATCTCTCCCCCCCCCTCCTCCCCTCGCACCTGGCCATGACAAGAAATGACCGCTCTTAAACTCGGAATGAACTTTTGTTAACTTCTTTTTATGCAGCGATTGTGAGAATATGATTTATTCTTTATGGATAGATTTTTTTTAAATAACCTTTTCAGAGCTTTTATGATCTACAGAGTCATAGAAATCGATCAATAAAGTTATGAGAGGATATAAATCTTATTTGTAGCGAATAAAACCATCATGTTGTCTCAATCTTTTCACAAAAAGAAGGTTAGTTACATTATTCCAACTTAATGAGCAACATTTTATTTTGATAGTAGAAAATAATTCTGCGTTTTCTGTTAATGTTACTTCCAGGTGGTGCCGCGATGAATATATATATATGACATGTACACTTGATTTAGATTTAAACAAAATTTGAGTATGTCTAAGGAGGTAGGATTTTAGATTGGTCTGTCATATCTTAACATATGTTATTTCAACTGCACAAAAATACAAATCTAGTCAACTGAATATGCAAATGCCTGATATTTTCGTTAAGATGTATAATCATATCATGACATATGGCCTTTTTCATTAAGCATTTTGCTGTAAGAATGAGCACTTTTAAAGTTGAAATAAAAAACACACAACAAAAAACAATTAAACCAGAGTTGCAATTTCTTATATCATTCAACCATGACCAATAAGTGTTGGAACAAAATCCTTTGGAAGATTCCCACATAAAGTGACTATTCATAGCACAAAAACTTTTGACACACTTTGAAACTTTATTCATCAGTAAATTGATTTTTCTTTTGTTGCTGCTTTAGCTTATTAAATTGTGCCTTCCTTTCCCACAGTTTGACACAATAGATTGGAATCTGGGATTTCCCAGGCCATAAATAGATTTCTTTTTATGTGCAGGTAAATAGAGGCCTTTTCGAGGGGCGCGGGGGGGGGGGGGGTGACATATTCTTGTTCTTAGATTATGTGGTTAAGGGGACTAGTCTCGACATTTCCAGACTTAAGTGAGCATTTTTTATTGAGAGAGTGGAAAACTCATTCAGTGTAGAATCTTCTGATCAAAAATAGCTGGACAGGGTCACCCGTAGACAACTTCATTCAAGAGGCCATTTTCACAATGCAATCAAATCTAATGCATAACTCTTTGTTGGGTACCTAGTCACAAATTATTTCATTAACCTATTTCAAATAATAGTATTTGTATAGTCAGATAGTTGCTAGGTAGGACAAACGTTATGGCTTGTCCTACCTACAACACGTAAACTAATTTGTAACGAGGCACTTTAGGTTTGTGCATTAATCATAATTTATACCGAGAGATTACATAAGGAAAGCGGCTTTCTGCTGCCACCCCATGTACTGCACAATGTAACCTGCATGCTTAATTTTATTTCAGATACAATAGAGTACCGAAGCTGTGACATTATAACAATCTATTTCTAGAATTTCTCGATTTTTTTAAAAATAATAATAATAATAATAATAGTGGGTTCTTCATTTTCCAAAAAGAGCATCAAAATAAATGTCCGAATGTCGAAAACCAATTGAATATATTGAGTAATGGCTGAGATATGACCATCTGATTAAATAGATTTCCTATAGTAACTCAGTGTTATATTGCTCTGGCTCATAACATTGGAAAATGAAGAAATAATTGAGAAATTCCAAAAATAGATTTTTGATAACGTACGTCACACTTCACCACTCTATAAAGGCCACGTAATAAGCCGCTTCAATTTTAGAATAATCATGGCGAAATTTATGGAGGTGCTTCGATCATGAATATGTTTTGTTTGCCCTTTTGAAAAGAACACCTCAACTTGTGTATCAAATACAATATTCATCCGGAGCATACATGAATATCTATTACATTGCTTTCATGAACACCCATCCATCAGTATTCTCGATTGGTTTTAACAGTTTTGTACAAATGACCTTGTATGCCCTCTCGTAGATATAATATCTCCGAAGTGGCTTATGACAACCAAAGATAAAACGGCATGGGTATTCCCAACATCTCTCCTCACTCACGCACTCGTTATATTTTTCTTTCTCTTTCTCTCTCTCTCTCTCTGACTCCCTCCCTCTAAAGCCCACCCTCTCTTTCTTCTCCTCCCCTTTTAGCCCCTTCTCTCCCTCTCTCTATCTCCCCTCCCTCTTTCCCTTTTCCCGCTCGTCCTCTCATA